AAGTCACGTTGTTGTTTTTTTAGGATCCATATGGAATAAAGGGAGTTATGGATGTAGTATGTAAACACTGTTCAAATTTCAAAGCCTACGCAAGAAATCTTGTTGACATGTTACTACTAGGTTGATTGTTCTAATGCATTTATTTCCTGGGTAATTCTATAAGGACTCTTATCGTGAAGGCAGGGTTAGCCCGCTGGCCACGTTTATGGTTGTGGTCGACTTAAGGCGGTGTGGTGCCCAATCTCACATCCCCATCCTAATCTTTTAAGAGCTTTTGAACTCGAGTTATAGGAGTTTAAAATAGCGTCTCATGTACGTTCATGACATCAGTGAGCATGAACAGCCAATGAGCTGCTGTTTGCCAACCAATCAGCACTGAATAGCAGTAATGTTAACATCTTGCTGCTCGAAACCCGTTTGGCGTAAAAAAGGAGATATTTAGGTACGTTTTTTTTGCTTTTTTAGTGAAATACGTCCTTCTACTTTCTAAATTAAAGGAAAGTTCTGGGCGAGTGACTAGAAACTATTTGAACTTTTTGTTTTAAGCTGTTTAGCTCCATTTACTCTCATTCAGTGAGGACTCGCTCACGGGCGCCCTCTAGCGTTATGCAGTCACGTTTTTGGTATAACAAGGGAAATAGGAAGAGGCCAGGCTCCTCATAAACCAGCTCTGATTTTACTTCCCCTTGTATTCACAGTGTTATTAGATAAATCATGCACATCACTGCTGTCAATCAACAACTCTGGGATGAACCTCTAAAGGCATAGGTAAATATCTATTTGCCCGTGTTTTTATAAACTTAAATGTATTTGTAAACAAACCCAACAAAGCTGCCGCACAACTGAATTAAAACAGTGACACATTTCACTGTTAACTGTACTGGCTGGCATGGTAAAGAAAATGCGCTAACTTGCTAACTCCGAGGGTCCGTGGGAAGCGAAATCAGGACACGGATGTGAGATTGGGCTTCACAACGGCCCTGACCAATGCTGACTTAATGTGATGCTTGCTGGACTTGAAACAATGCGAGACGTTTTGTCTGCAGAACATCACCACGTCACATGACATTAAAATCTCGCGGGATCAAGACAGCTGCAGTTTTTGAAGCCAGGCGCTGCAGTTGCTCTCCATCCGCTGCACAAACTACAACACACTTTTGTGATGTCAGAACATCTCCCGTGTTGGCTGGAATCTCCGATGACAAACATGACGTGTGTCACATATGTTATGTTTTTATTCTAAGAACTTCAGATCCATTATCTCCTAGGGTTATCTCTCCTAAATGAGATGCCATTTATTTGTTTACCTCCTTCTAGCAGCTCATTTTGTACATACAGCCACAATAAACTATAGTTTTTATTTACAGGAAAAAAGCTGGAAAAAACCCCAAAAAAACATTTAAAATTGTAGCGCTGGAGTCTGCAACACAAAAGGCAAACGCCACAAGATCGGCCGCTGCTGTGAGCTCAGTAGGGAAAGTACAATGTGTCCGACTTGACGGCAGTGTTTTTATACCCCACCCCTGCAGTTTACGTTGAACATCACGTCAGCCAAAGTCAGGCTAAATTGAAAATGAACGCAGCCTATGTGTAGATCAGGAAGAAAGCTGAGAGAGTATGACGTAGCAACGCATCAAGCAAACAGTATTGCTTATGTACAGCGTGGCTGCAAACAGCTGGTTAATAAAGCACTACAACTTGTGCAAAAGCTGTGTCTCTTTAAATAGGGGAGAATGCAACCATACAATTCTCCAACCACTCCATACAGTCTATATATGGAAACTAAACTGCAAAGAAGGTCCAAAGAAAAAGTCTACGTCAGATTCATGACGTGCTCTTAAACCACAGAATTGTTTGCACCTTTGTGCTATTGAGCGTGTGTAGATTCTGTTCTTATCTAAGAACAAATCCCACATGAAAAAACACTGGTGAATCTGAAAATGTTTGTGAAAACTGCATAACTGGGTTTTAATGGTTAGTGAATGAGGCCCAATGTTTTCATGATGTCAATTATGTTTATCTATATATAAGCAAAAACAAGTATGAACTGTTTATATAAGTATTTATAACCAACTGTTCAGCTTACAGCAGCTTACATACATACATACATAAATGTTTATATATATATATATACGTATACACAGTTTTACAACCATCTACAAACAACTGACATTATGCGCTTTATGTACGCAGCAGAGCATAACATTAAGAAACGTCTTCATCAACGTCCCATTCCTGATTCAGGTCTGCAGGACTAGTGTTATTAACTGTCATTTAAAAAGTGCGCTGTTTGGGCCGTGTGTCGTGATTCCCCTAGTTCCCCTGACAACGGCTTGCAGATGGAAGACAAGGGCATTTGAGCATATTTAGCTAGCTACACTGATTTTCCATTAAATTAGCCAAGAATTATTAACGTTTCCTATTCCCATTCACAGAATTCAGTACACTGACGCTAGAGAAACATTTACAGGCTTAAGATAACAAATGACAAACAAACAGCTCTCCAGCGCTCGGTATATACTGTTAGGTTAGCTAGCTAAGTTAGCTACCGCTTGCTAACTTTGGCTAACGAACCTTTGCCGGCATTTAAATGGAACAGTATTATATTAAATGTCACCTACCGGTATTCTTGCTTCGGTATCAGTCTGTATCTGGATGACATCAAGAATATATAATTCGCTAAACAAACTGGTTTATAAGGATGAGAATTAGGCTAAACAAACTAGCCGGTGAAAAACCTTGACGAGCCGGTATGTAAATGTCAAACGTGCTGAAGCCGTAGAGCTGCAGCTGCAGCGCTGGATGCCCCCAAGGACCGCAGATTGCTAACAGTCGTGCTTGCGCAACCTACAGATAAACGTTGTGTCCGTATGATTAGTAGATCGCCGCATAAGTGCTGCGTGTAGGTCACTCGAACGCACCCGTAGCCATTCTGCTAGTGTTGCGGCGACACCTGGTGGTGGCAAACTGTTTCAGTTTTTATTTTTATAATTTTTTTAATACCAGAAATTCAGTTTGACCAGGTAGTGCTAGCAAAATATGGAATTTGAAATCGGATTTTAGGGCCCAAATTAAACCTTTGCTAGTGTACACCTGTATACACTGGCTGTTTCAATGTAGCACTTTCTATAGGATAGGACTATTATGTTATAAACACACGCACACACACACATATATATATATATATATATATATATATATATATATATATATATATATATATATATATGTGTGTGTGTGTGTGTGTGTGTGAGGAGTAAATCAGGCAAAAGGGGGGAATAAATTCCATGTTTTATTAAATCACCAGCGATTCAGAACTCTAAATAGAGGAACACTAAAAACCATGGTATGCAGCTTGCCCCAACTTAAAATACAATAATAATTTCATGATTTACGTGTGTTATAATCTTAACTGTGAAATGAAAAATGAGTTTTGTTACATAAGTAACATAATAAGAGCTCAACAGGCTGCACCAGCAGTGAGTTGGGGGGTATCATGGTTCAATCTTCTGAAACCACGACACGAGACTTTGGATGTTTGTTTGTTTAATGGTTTCGGTCTCAGTTTTATTTATGTAATTGTTACACTCCCTAACACACACACACACAGAGCAATATATATTCCAGTATGAATTCTGTTTAAATATAGTGGCTTTTCATATACAAATATTTTTTTTCAGTGTGTTAAAATGTTTTGTGCTCCACTCCTGATTTTTGACATTGTTCACCACTACAAATAAAGTGCTGAAGCCATACAAATGACAACCAATAGATTGATTATTGCATAATCCCCATGTGAAGATATTGTACATATCAGTTTGGAGTTTTAATTTATATTGGAACATCCATAAAACTGTTAAAATAAAGCTGTTAATGTTTTTTAAGGTAAAAATGGCTGTCCTGTAACTGTGCAACGTGCAACAGAAAATCATAGTAGTGACACTAAATGCTGGAGAAGCTTTGTCTGGTGTAAAAGTGCTTATAGTACACGATCTGATTTTTAAACTTTTTGAGACGTTTCTTTCATGAGACACTGATGTTGCTATGAAGAGCAAATATTTATGGGTGATGTTTAGAACAATACAAGTGCCTATAGGTGTTTTAGGCCACATGTGTGACCAAATCCTGGCACACTAAAAAGACTGTTTTATTATTATGTAGTTCATTTACTACATAAAATCCAAGGCCTGTTTTATATATTAGTAAAGAACACCATGGTTGTATTAGTATGAGAGCCATGAAAAAAGCATGTCATCCAACATTCCTGATCACCTCAGTTGTGACAAGACAGCGTGTGATGTCACATTAATATGAATAATATTTGAATATGCAAATTAAGCAATGCTATTCAGTCTCACTGATCTGACTGTCCAGTAGCTTCAAGATTGCAAAACGTGGATGGACGTGGTATCTCTCCCCATTCTAGGACACTTTTCTTGTCCTCTCATAGAGGATGTGGTCCTATGAATGCTCCTGAGGCTTTTTAGTCACAGGCATCATAGTATGAACACACACACACACACACACACACTCTCACACACACACACACACACACACACACACACACACACACACACACACACATCGTCTAAACCGCTTATACTTCTGGGTCGCGGTGGGGTGCTGGAGCCTATCCCAGCTGTCATTGGGCGGAAGGCAGGATATAATATGAACACGTTACAGAATTACTATTCCTTTGCTAAGATCTTTTTTAAAAAAGTAAAAATAAATAAATAAAAAAATGTAAAAAGCATCGTTTTAAAAGAAGCAACCACTGATTTAAGTGAAAAAAAAACCATATTTAATAAGCTCTATTTACGCTGAAAATAAATCGGTGAGTCCCAAATACATGGTTATGTGAATATTACGTGCACTTTTTATTATACTTTATTATGTTTTGTTTTTTTGTTTATTTATTAATATTTTCAGGCGCCCTAACAATCTCGACAGACGTTTGCATGACGTCACCCACTGTACGGCGGCGATCACGTGACTCGGGTGTTCGAAGCTTCAGTGAACCGACACAGCAGATCAGAGCTTCATTCACTCCTCTGATGTGGCATGTAGCTGTTTACATCTGCCGAGGCGGATCGTCCCGATTTAAGTATCTTCCTCTGAGACTGTAATGCGTGTCAGTGTCGCTGTATAGCTGTATATATATAACTGTACAGCTGGTGAACTTATAGAGCAGCGCAGAACCACCATCTGCTAAAATGTCGGCGTCGGGAGGAACCAAAAACACGAATACGGAACCGTGGGGTGGCTTTGATGACAACATTATCATCCAGGTAACCCGGCTAACGCTAGGTAGTCGGAAATCTCCAGCATGAAACGTAATTAAATGATGTCGTCTCGGTTTAAACGCCACAAGCTTTGTTTCTATGGATGAACCTGGAGCGATGTCGTATGAAAAGTCTGTGACGTAACATTAGCTGAGTAGCTAAGCTAGTCGGTTAGCTTGAGCTGAGGATCCAGCAGGCCCCCCCGGAAATGAGCGGCTTAGGCACGAGAGGACCTTTTAAAAGAAGTGCTGCATTCAAAATTCCACACTAGGTTAACTAAGCTACCAAACTAAGCGTCAAAACCAGGACGCCACCATTAAAAGTCCGTTCATTAGAATAGTATGCGAAGTGCTGGCTAGTAGTTATGCGGTTTTGGACGCAGCCAAGCTCTCCTTTCACTTCCATTCATCTCGGGCTTTTTTATCAGTCCAGAAATACAAGCACTCCTGGGCTGTTTTAGGTCACCTTGAAAAATGCCAAAAAGTTAATAAGATTAATTTATGAAAATGGTTTGAAAGACCCTAGGGAGTTGTAATTATGCCCCTCCCTCCTTTTTTGTTTTGGGTTACTTGAATTTGCGGACTGCTTTCGGTTTGTGTTAAGTAAACAAGTGTGCACTGCATTGCCATGATTGTTTGTTTGTGCATTGATTGTAAAATAAAAGAAAGGCTTTAGGTCAGATTATGGCCCTGTCTTCTTCAGAGACTGGACTGTCTGCCATTTCATCCACAGGCTTGACCATCACTTTATAACTTCAAAATAAACGTTTATATACGATAGTATAAAAAATTTAATAAGGCTGGTACTCGAAAGACTGAGCTGTAATATTTGAAGTAGAACCTGTAATAATAATAATAATAATAATAATAGTGCAAAGGCTCCAGTGCATAATAATAATTGTAATAGCAATAATAATAATAAAATAAGTGTTACTACAGTAATTTACATTTGTTATTGTTCATTTATTTATTTGTTTATTCTGTAATCAGTATTGTAATACATGTTTAGTTGAGGCTGTTTATTTTCGCTGTGTTCTCTTGTTGTTCTCATCTCTAATTCTACAGTATATTTTACACAACTAAAAGGAGGAGAAAGTAGTAACTAAAATTTGTTTTGTGGTGAAAGTGTGCTGTCGTGCTGAATAGATGTGATGATTTATGTTTCTTTTAACATGTTTACTAAAATTTACTGGGCAACTTCTACAAACGGGGTGGTAATTTGCACCGTATGCTTTGGATTTGCATCATTTAGGTGCCTGTGCAGTAGAACACACGTTCCTGCTATGCACCGCCATGAGAAGCCCATCGGGAAGTGACATGATTGATCTCACCTGGTCCCCACTGAAAACAGTGGGATGACTGGGTCCAGCTTAGATATACTGTCAAAGGAGGACTTGTGGCCTCATACTGTGTCATTTAATGACCACAATAAATGTAAAAAAAGTTGAAAAAGAATCTTTATATAATTGTCATATATATATATATATATATATATATATATATATATATATATATATATATATATATATAATTGTTGGCTCTGACATTGGTAGCTTTTAGTTGATAGCATTCACCCTCCACTGTACTATAAACCTACCCTGGGTCTGATTACTTACCACTTTGTGCCCCATCTACCTTATAGGTCCACTACATACACTAGGTAATTACAGGCTGTAGACCATTTGTTATCACTCCCAATATGTCAGTCTGCCCCATTCATCACTGGTTTGTTTCTGACCAAGACACCTCTGTTGACCCAATATTTTTAGGTGTTTTAACAGTATCAACACAGCTGTGCCACTGACCATGATTGGGTGCTGAATGTACTGCACAGTCATGCTTAGTGTCACTGCTAGCTTGAGACTAGTTCACCCAAACATAGTGGTTCTGTAGTCAGAAACTGATTAAAGGATGGTGACAACAAATCGTCCATCAAAAGATGGACTACAGTCTCTAACTGTACAAGGTGGACCTGCAAGGTTTGAGTTTCTAATAAAGTGTCAAGCATCTTGGACTAATATGCTTGAGCTATGTCTTACTTTTTTAAGATCACAACTCCTAAAAATGATTGCTTAACAAGTGATGTTATTTAGCTTTATTTCTCACCTGAGTACCTTAAAATGATTACATTTCCATAACCATAAACATCCTCGTTACATTAAATTATAATTTGATTTTAGGGCAGTGGCTCTGCAGTAATAGACATGGAGAACATGGATGACACCTCTGGCTCCAGCTTTGAGGACATGGGGGAGATGCACCAGCGTATGAAGGAGGAGGAGGAGGTGGCGGAGGAGGCTGCAGCTACAGAAGAGGACACCGGAGAGGATGGAGAGTTCCTTGGCATGAAAGGCCTCAAAGGACAGCTAGGCAGACAGGTCGCCGATGAGGTCAGCTGTAGCATGTAACCCTGAATGACAACATACAAGTGTTAACGTTATTACTGTGTTTCCCACATGTCTGAAATAAACCTGGGAGAAGCGTTAGACAACAGAAATGTTAAAAAAACAACTGATATTGTGTCTCATGTCTCATGTTATCTCAATATGACCTACACAAAAGAATATAAAATATTTTGGAATTTGTTAAAATTGGAATAAACTGACAAAATTTACTTAGGGTGCTGCATTGTGGGAAAGACTGTATTAGTTCCCACTAAAGTCTGCGGTCCTCCTTTGCTGGCTTCTTATCGTAGGCTTGTGGTGTCTTATGAGGTTCATGTGAGCTGTATTCTCAAGCAAAGATTAAATACGCAGCTTAAGGCGACTGCTGATCTTCTGGCAATGTCAAGTGAAAGTTGCAGTCATGCTCCTCTGCAGGGAAAACATCTGGTACATACCGCTGGTGAACTTTGCTTAAAAATCACCAGTCATATTAAGTCACATCAGATGAATGAAGGAGAACTCTGGTATTAGCTTGTGTAGAGAGACTCCCACAGTAGAAGTAGGTAATATAATGATATTTTATAATTACTGTGATAAATGTTACTATCAGGATAAGCAGTATGCTTTTCTGAGCATATTGTGAATGCCATCATTACTTAAAGAACCATGGCCAACTGCATGTTTCTCTTCAAAGAGAACATAAATAGTCCTTTTTAATTGGTTTCAGTGCAGAACAGAGTGTGAAATCCGTTTTCAAATCTAGTGCTAGTGCATTGTGTCCATGTCAAAATATCCTGATATGTATTTTGTATCGTGCAAATGAGATGATATTTTTGCCATATCACCCACCTCTACTTTTCTTGATACAGTATTGATTCACTATTTATCTGTGTGTGATATAAAGTTGTGTATTATTCATGTTCCTTTCATTCATACAGGTTTGGCAAGCAGGGAAGCGGCAGGCCTCGAAAGCCTTTAACCTCTATGCTAACATCGACATCCTTCGACCTTACTTTGATGTTGAGCCTATTCAAGTGAGAAACAGGTAAGGTCCATTTAACAAGCCATGTAAGCATGTTTGAGAGTGTTTGTGATGAGGTATTTTCATTAATAGTACACATTTCTTATACAGATTAATTGAGTCCATGATTCCTCTCCGAATGATTGCTTTTCCACAGGTAAGCATGTTCCACTATTGCTGGCTGCTATTTAGGAAAAACTGTTTTTTTTTAATTAATAAATCATGTCATGGTGCTTCTTAGAGCCTATTTAAAAAGGCTTAGTAGGGACTCATCACTTTTACAATAAATATGAATAGAAGAGCTCTCCCCAAACACATGGTTTCCTTTCATAGAAAGTTGCTGGAGAGCTGTATGGACCAATGATGCTGGTGTTCACTCTGGTCGCCATCCTCCTGCATGGCATGAAGACATCGGGCACAGTCATCGTAAGCAAAACCTTTTATACACGTCACATGTAGCCGCACCAGTTAGAATTTCTTCTGAAGGTTTTTCCATACTTCATGCATTTAGTCCCTCCTGGAGTTCAGAATGAAATACTGTGAATTTTAGTTATTATTACTCTTTCTGAGGCACCTGCTGCTATGAATAATGTTGTTTCCTGAAACAGAGAGAGGGTACTCTGATGGGCACTGCCATTGGAACCTGCTTCGGCTACTGGCTGGGGACGTCCTCCTTCATCTATTTCTTGGCCTACCTTTGCAATGCTCAAATCACCATGCTTCAGATGCTGTCTTTATTGGTAATCACAGTCTCCTGAAAGGGACGACATTCAACATGTTTGCATGATTTATGTTCGTATTGAAGTGGTGGACTATGACTTTTTCAAACTCTGTCACCATGTTTGCAGGGATATGGTCTCTTTGGCCACTGTGTGGTCCTTTTCATCACCTACAATGTCCACTTTCACTCCCTCTTCTACATTCTGTGGCTGGTGATTGGAGGACTTTCTACGCTTCGGATGGTAAGGAGAATGTCAGGTGATACCTAAATAAAGCCATAAAGGTTTGATGGACTGTTAATGTACTTGTTTTCTCAAAAGTTAATCCATATAAATAATTTGGCCAAGATGCTGCTAATGTAAATGTGGTTCAGAGTTGAATGACCCTAAGCAGTAAACTGGATGAAAAGCAAAAGTCTATCCTTCATTTATTTAATTTCCCATAAAAAAGTGCAAGTTATTCATATTTGGGAGATATTTATAAGAATATTAGATATAAGGTAATTTTCTTACATAAAGAAGGGGAAAGTCAAAAGATAATCAGTGAAAAAACAGGAGTTTACAAAATGGCTAAAAGAAATAGATTCTTAACAAGAACTGGAAGACCATCAACATACTCACCGTCAGTTAAACAGTACTCAAGACTTCCATCTTTGAGAGAGAGAGGAAAATCAAGCTCCACTCTTGCTTCAGAAAAAAAAAATCCACAGGTGTTTCTGTCCATCCTTTACTGTGAGAAGACAACTCAGTGCTATGAGTCTGAAAGGATGTGTAGCTGTCAAGAAGACCTTACTGAGAAAAGGAGACAGATAAAAGGAAGAAAATTTGCAAAACCAACAAAGAAGCTGTTGGTGTTCTCAGAATAATGTCCTGACCACCCCAAAATCCAGACCTCAACATCACTGATTGTATTTGGGATTACTTCAGTTGTAACAAGCAGAAAATGCAAGCGACTTCTAAGACTGGACTTTGAAGGTGTAGAAAAATATTTTTGCAGATTTCTTCACAAAACTGAAAGCAAGTCTCCCAAAAAGAATAAAAGCTGTAATGAAGCTATGGTTGGACACAATAGATTATATAAACACTAAATAAAAATGGTAATATGTATAGTTGTTGAGGCATCTTTGTGCTTTTCTTTTATATACATATTTTCGCTTTTCTCCTGACACTGAAAAATTCATAATTTGTACTTAACGGCTGTTTTAACTGGAAATTACATAAATGAAGGGTGGTCTCTGAGATCTGCAATGCGCTATATGTGCAGTGCAGTAATGGCAACACTTTCAGGGGCGATTCAGTCTTTTTTCTGTCCTTCCCTGTTACTTTCCCAGGTTGCTGTGCTGATCTCTCGTACAGTGGGTCAGACTCCTCGTCTCATCCTGTGTGGCACCCTGGCTGCTCTCCACATGCTCTTTCTGCTCTACCTGCATTTTGCATATCACAAGATTGTTGAAGGTAAGATGCATGTGCTGGTTCCTGAGTCCAAAATGTGCACAGTGAATGAGTAATAAGTATGTAACCACAATATTTAGTCACTGTTCAGAAGTGATCTTGAAAAGTTACTTAGGGTTTTGAACTCGTTTAGTGCTATATTGTACAAGAAAATTCACTTTGGTCCCGCTGAGCAACCAAATAATGAAAGTGGTTTCTCCAGAGAATAGCTAGGCATTATTATGACCTTGTGATAATAGAGTTCTTGTCTTTAGTCTATTCTTTAGTCTAATTTTAGAAACAATTATGTTTCCTTAGACTCAAAGTACCTAAGTCTTTTTTTGGACTGAATTTCTGCAGTTTATCACAACTGGGTCAGGTTTTGAGGACTTTTTGTCAGTCTAAAACTTCGTACCGCCAGTATCATTTTCATTAATGTTTAAATATATTTACCAGCATTTATAAAAACTCTGAGGTTAGTGTTGTATGGTGCCCTGAATATTTCCTATCATCAGCGGTTGTTTTGAACATTTACTGGCCATTGACAAACAATATCCTTAACTATTTTTCATTTGTTTTAAACTTGTTTGCTGCATATTTGAAACCCAAATTCAGTTGCTATTACATTATGTTATTCACATGCTATATTGTGACTTTTATATTGTTATGCATCAATAATAACCAAGTATTAATACCACATTTTTTTATTTTTTGTGTGAAGGGATCCTGGACACCCTAGAAGGTCCCAATGTCCCCCCTATCCAGAGAGTGGCCAGAGACCTACCTAACTTGGCGTCTGTTGTTGTGAATGCCACTGTGAAATCTGTGGCTGCAATTGTACACTCACAGTGATCACATGGTTAGTACCAGTGCTTCCTACCTTGGTCAAGGAAGCTGGTTTGGGTGTGCATGAACTGGACAAAAGAGACTGACATGGGAGTTCATACCTAGTGCCCTTCCTAAGCCTAAAAGTCCAGTTGTCAGTTGAATGTCATATGTCTGCCATGATGATGGGCATAAGATCATAGGTCACAGTGGCAAAAAGTGGATCTTGATCTCAGTCGTTTTTGAGAGGCAATACTATTTTTACAAACCTTAACTGTTATTGCTCTCTGTGGTCAACTCTTGTGGAAAAATTCAGTTGCGCAACAGAAAGAAATTGCTTGATATTGGTATTTCTCACATCAGACACATTTAATTATCTGCAGAAAATAGCAACACTAAAGACTAGACTTGTTCATGTATGTAAAGTGCCCTAAGCTTTTCCCCAGATGATCAATGTGCATTCACATGCAAATTCATTTAAAGGTGAAAGGGATAGAACCTCACCTTCACAGCAAGTGCATTTTAGTTCATTTTCAGTTTAGCTGTTTTGTAAACATCAGCTCTTCTCTAATATTGTGCAAGGACTTTTTAAAGATGCTTTAGAACAGGCACGTCAAACTGGGTTCCTTCCGGGCCACAGCTCTGCGGAGATTAACGTTTTTCATCGCCTAATGCTTTGAATTCAGTGTATGAACGTTTTTCTAATTAGTTGATCAGCTGATTCGGGTCTGTGGAATGAGGCAGAATCCTGAAGTCTATGGAGCTGTGGCCCGCAAGGACCGGAGTCTGACACGTTTGCTTCACAAGCAACAAAAACAACCGTGGCAAATTTAAGTGACTCTCATTATGTTAACCTGTTTAATAAGATCTACATAAGATAAACATTAAGAAGCTTACTCTCTGCCTCTTTATTATCTTAAAATATAGTTCAAAGACCTGCATATGTTTACATATATGCAGTTGTAATAGAGAAGCTCTTCCTTTGTCAGTCATTCCACCTGTGCATCCTCACAATTTGTCTAATTTACATAGACAGCTGAAGGTGTTTAACTTCTGGGCCACTTTCTTTAACCTCTGAGATATCAAATGTTTTTGGGTTGGGGACATTTTGAATGAAGCCTGTATCTACAATTACTGTTATCTTGGTTAATAAGAGCAATGCAATGGTGCAGAAATGCAGTGATGATTCAGATTTTTCTTTCTTCTTAATGGTGCATGAGTTTTTTTTAAAAAAAGTTTTTGTTTTACCCAGCCATTATATGTACTGCACTCTGGACTTCTGTTGGGAACACTGGGTAGAGGTCTGTGGCTATCAATACTTGCTTGTTATTTTGTCACTTTATGTGAACTTTCTATTTATAGGGTTATTGTACAGAAAAAAGATGTAGAATCAAAAATAAAGTATTAAAAACACAAGGCTAACCTGAGAGCATTCTTGTTGAGCTGTATTACTGTAATATAGTTATTGTTTATAGTGCATTTTTCATACTCAAAGTGCTTTACAGTGAATTTGTAAAATAAGATTACTGTTAAAGTGTTCAACAAGGAGGGCTGGATTATATATGTAGTTGAAGTTCACCTTTATGTTCCAGTAGTAAAGCTGTCCGTTCTACTGAAACTTTAATATTCCCTTTACAACTCCCAGCTGAGGAAGTTTAAAACAGCAAACTATTGATTGGGTACAATGCAGTGTGCTTTACTGTTTCATTTCAACACCAAAAGAAGGATAAACACTGACCCTTATTCATCAAAGTTACACAAGAAAGCGTGCAGAACTGTCTGCCTTTAATGATGCACTAACTACTGTGTTTGATTCATGAAACGTTTAGATGACGTGGAAATAAGCAGAGGTTTGAGTGCAAATGATGAAGCAGCTTCAGTGCGTGAAATCAAGCGCCAGCACCTTGTTTACATACCATTTACATGAAACGTGTCCTAATTCATGCAGATGTTTCAGTAGGGAGCCCATAAAATGACCGCGATCAGTGACTCGTGAGCCAATGGCTCATAGGCCAAGTTTGAGGGCTCGAAGGTGGAGTTTGAGGTGGAGTGGTGAGTGCACTGCTCCCACCTACTGACCAAACTTTAGGAGGTTAAAAAGGTATGTAAAAAGAATGAAACGTGAAATAAACAAAACATCTTACTTTAATAAGACGGTGGAATAATAATGATAATAGTGGAATAATGTGATTGTGTAGTGTGATAATTTTCCTAAAATAACATATTTAAACGCTGTATAATTGCAGTGTATGAGATGCTTCTGCACTAGCTGTTTCTTGCATTTGGAATTTGTGAGCGGTCTTAGTAACGTATAACACAGCCGCAGTGTAAAATGTCTTTAAATGTCACATAGAATAGTTGCAGCATTTGTTTATACCAATATGCATGTAAAATAAGTACATTACCTTTATACTGTATTGCCATCTCAATAAATTATTACTATTTTTCTATTTTTATTCTTATTATTGGTGTTATAGAGGATTTTGATAATAGTTTTGGTTAACTGCAAATCAAGATGTGGCCAAAGATGTGGGTGAAATTGGTTATGTTATGATCAGATTTGACCATAAACAACTTTGATGCCCTCGCATCAGTATAAGCTGAGATCGGTATCAATGCCCAGAAACAGTGTGTAGTAATCAGTAAAATGTAAGACTGATTTCTTTCTTTGTTTTTATTAATCAATTGAATGTTTCAGGTAGTGAAACAGGATCCTGGGAGAAACTCTAGAGAATAGCTATTGATTTCAGCTGCCACAGCGTGTGTCCTAGTCCAGGTCACACCTGAGCAGTTATATATAATTTGTTAGAAGAACATATGAGCAGAAGGAGATTAGAGAGGAGGCAGTGGTGAGAAGGTGCAGGCCATACAGGCTGGGTAGAATAAACCATTTCTTTTATCTCTCCTCTGAGCGCTGCTGAATTCAGCTGTGTTTGTGTGCTATAAAAGAATCAGGGCTCACATTTCACTGGCCTCCTCAGGGGAGCCACTAAAGAAGAAGCCTCACTACTAGACACGCTCTCTGCGGTACTGTATGACCCATATCTCCCACCACATTCTTGAGAGGTTGTCCTGGAACTGAAGAAGAAACTACATGCCTGTGGATCAGTTACAAATATTGTTTGACGTTCTGTTCCAATTCTATGGGAATTTAAAGGGATGGTCAAAAAAATTGCACAATTTTGTTCTCACACCAAAACGGACATTTTGTTTTATATCATTCCATGTTCACCTCTTTAGTTTTGTAGTGGAACTATGAAGATAATAAAAAATGATGTATGGTACTGTGCCAAAGTCAGAGACCTCTCACCATTTAATTTCCAGTCAAAACAGCCACCAAGTACAAGTTGAAGTGTCAGAAAAAAACAGATTTGACAAAACAATTACACAGAGGTGTCAGCAATTAAATATAACATCATTTTTTCAGTATTTGCCTTTATTACAGCTTGCATTCTTTTTCAGGACACTTGCTTTAAGTTTTAAAAGAAATCTGCAGGAATGTTTTTCAAAGAAGTTGATTGCATTTTCTGCTTCTCGTGAGTAATCCAAGTAATCCAAAACATTTTCCTTTGACTTCCTCCTTCTTTATGCAATTGGATTATTTTATATTCTAATCTCCACAGAAATATATCTTGTACTTCTGACTAGAAATGGAATAAATGAAAGGTGGCCTCTGACTTTTGCACAGTGCTGTACACTTCCAGTATGTTTTAGCTACATTAGCCCTGTAGCTGCAGTGCAAAACTATAGATGCAAACTTTACACATGTCTTAGGCTCAATCCTATTTCACCCCTCGCCCCTACCACTTAGGCCTTGCCCTTCAGTTTTGTGTGTTCACGCCAAGGGGTAGGGTGTCCCGATCTTTGTTGAGATAGGGTGAAGGGATAGGGCGAAGTGTTAGGGCTACACGGCCCTCAAAATGGACATTTTCAGAGACACACTCCAAACTGAGTGATGTGAGGGGAAAAAAAGAAAAGCTTGCAAGATGGCAGCGCGAGCGACCATAGAAACCAAATGTGAGTATTTCCTCTGTTAGAAATTACAGTAATCATTGTATTATCTTAGTTTAATGTCGTTTCAGTGTATTATGGTTGTTTTCTTCATAATAAGTATTTAATAATCGCTAGTAGTAAGCTGATGTGTCGGTAGCTAGCTAGCTAAATTTCCTGTTCCACCTTAAATGGTGCTAGAGTTACATTCTGGCGCCTCAGCTGTCAGAACTGCTTCACCATTTAAGGTGGAACAGGAAAATTTGAACAAGAAGCTGGTAAATAGCTGACTTCAGCTTCATATCACAGAGGAATTAGCGGTGGGCAATAATAAATAATTGTCACACCTCCCCCTTTTTTTGTTTGAGGGTCAACCCATTTCATAGAAGAAGATTTCAACCACTACCCCTTCCAAGGGGCAAGGTGACACTCGAAAACAAGGGGTAGGGGTAAAAATAAGAAATGTTATAGGGCCTCAGCTCAGCGTTTAGGCTAAGGGGAAAACTGTAATTTTGATTTTTTTGTGAAGCATTTCTTTAAAGCATTATTTATACTATAGTAGAACCAATATTGTACTGTAGTACTGAGGTGCACCTTGACTAACTAATGTAGTTACTTGTTTCTTGGATCCTAATTCTATTTATAGACTACTGGACACACATTAAGGTTGATTAACTGGCATTTTGGATTGATGCCACTAGACCCAACTAGTCGCCCGATCCTCCTTAATTTAATATGCTGCGTCTCAGTAGCTGTATAATTGTCCCATCAGTAGCTCTGGGCTCTCCCATTTTCCCTCCTGAAGGAGCTGCAGTACAGGCTAGCCCCTAGCACAAATCCTCCTATTCAGCCCCACAGCGGATTATTTACAGTGCCAAGGACATTGCTGTTTACGCTAAACACCACAAATTATTTTTTCTCTCGGCATTGATATTAATCACTAGTGGCTCGAGAACCGAATATGATAAAAGACCGTTCTCCTCGGTGTTATTCTTTGGCTACAGAGAGGCTGAGAGGAAAGCGATGATGTCAGTGCAACTTTGAGAAGGCGCTAACGTTAGCAGAGTGCATGAGTGAACGACTCGGTTCTTTGGAACCGATTCACAGGTCGAACCGAATCGAAAGGCTGTAGACTTGGTTTAAAAATCTTTTTTTAACCGCATACAATTTAAAACTTAGAACAGCTTTGCAATTCGGTTCGTTCTGGTACATATTCTCTCGAAGCTGAAGTTTCCTATTTGAATTTTCCCATTCCACCTTAGGTGGTGCAGCACATTCTGGCACCTGTAATCGCTGCACCATTTAAGGTGGAACTGGAAAATTAGAACAAGAAGCATATTATCTCTGTTGACTGTAGCCAGCTTTCTCTTTCTGTGTTGTGTAGCACCAAGTCTGACTCCATCGTTGAGTAGAAGCAGGAACACATCAGACTCACTCACTGAATATCCAAGGTTGGGCAGAAAAAAAATAGTGATGGCTGGATACTGAACACTACGGAGCCCGACTGGTGGCATCCTTTATAAAGAAAAAATAATGTGTGACTACAACTTAGTAAGGCGTGGGAACGAGACAAGTCGTGGCCACGATTTAGCAATCTGGGAACGAGATCTTAAAGCATGGCCATGACTTAGTAAGGCATGGGAATGAGATAATTAAGATTTGACCGCAGCTTTATCCACACTGTTCCTCACTGTTACTGGTTGGCAGTTTTCTTCATGTACAATTCTCAGCATCATTTTGGCTCTCATGGCCTGTTTATATAATCTCACTGACCTTTCATGACCTAAGCCAAGAATTTTCCATATCCCAATAGCAAAATATTGCTAATTTGGGCTGTAAATTGGGTAGCTATGTGATTTACAATTAATAACATGTATGTAACTTGACACAAAACATGTGCACAAGTCCAGTACGACACCAAAGCTAAGCTTATAACCTGTGAACAACTGTTCATCCCTCAAAGGAGTTTAGCAACTCAGTAATAACTGATCATCACATTGATTTATCAGTCTAATCAGGCTTTAGCAGAGCCCAGTAACACTGAGATTAATAACTGATCATCACATTGATTTATCAGTCTAATCAGGCTTTAGCAGAGCCCAGTAACACTGAGATTAATAACTGATCATCACATTGACTTATCAGTCTACTCAGGCTTTAGCAGAGCTCAGTAACACTGAGATTAATAACTGATCATCACATTGATTTATCAGTCTAATCAGGCTTTAGCAGAGATCAGTAACACTGAGATTAATAACTGATCATCACATTGATTTATCAGTCTAATCAGGCTTTAGCAGAGCTCAGTAACACTGAGATTAATAACTGATCATCACATTGATTTATCAGTCTACTCAGGCTTTAGCAGCAACTTCAATGTTTATAAAGAAGCCATTGATTTACTTCGTCTTTAGAGTACGTCTTTAAACACCACGCTGATTTAAAATAGTTAATAAACAAGCATTGATGGTGTTTCTTTTAAAGATTGTATATATATATATATTTTTTTTTAATTAGCAGGTACGTATTGTAAAAGTATTCTAAAGGTGTAATAAGTAACTGTATTCTGAATACTGCCTTTAGGAAATGTAACTTGGACTGAACACAGATACTTTATGTATTCTGAATACATAAATTAAGTATCTGTGTTCGTGTAATTGTAAATGGAGGAACGGAAAATACAGCAGACTTGACTTGTGAATCAAAAGAATCATTTAACCGGGGGTTCGATTCATTTAAACGGCCAGTTCGAAGGAATCGGTTCGATAAACTGAATCGAAATTAACATCACTAGTGTCAGCGTCGACCAACGGTTTCGCCGTTCGTTATTTCAAACCGGGCTGCGCGCGCATCGTCGTCGTGTTCGGTGTGTAATCGAGTAAGGCGACAGAAACGGCTCTGTGTTTTCGGCCCGCTCTCTCTCTCTGGTTTCTTCTCTGAAATCTAAGTTTGGTGCCTTTTCGGTTGTCATAGTGAACCGGACCGATGATGATGACGACGCCGCCGCTGCTGCTGCCGCCGCCGCCTCGCGCGTGACTTGCCCCGAGCTTCCGCCGTCATGCTGCCGGGCTCAATCCAGATAACGGGCGAGGCGCTGTCCGGGGCGGAGATCAGGGACATCTGTGAGAGTCTGAAGGAGAACAGCGTCCGGCTGCTGTCCGTGCGGGGCTGCCAGCTGTCTGACCGGGACTTCGGCCGGGTGTGCCGCGGCGTGTCCGAGTCGCGTTCGCTGGCGCAGCTCAACCTGAACCTCGGCGTGGTGTCCAGCGGCAGTCGCGCCAAGCAGCTCGCGGACGCGCTCGAGGCCAACAGATCCATTCAGACGCTTTTGTAAGTGCCTTTTATTAATTAACCTTTTATTTCTTCTAATTATTGTTAATATTCACATATAACGCTTGACTAACGTTGGTGTGGAAAATGAATGGAGGACACTAATAAGTTTTTATAACACTAATAAGTGTTTATAACACTTTACACACTGAAAAAAGACGGTTCTTCAGGGTTTCTTTAGTGAAGAACTCTATTTAGAACCACTTTGGTTCTTTGCATGGTGATGTGGTTCTTCAAATTGCTGGAGGATGTGTTGTATATGGTTCTATGTAGTACCTTTTTGAAAACGGCTCTACATAGCTAGTACCTAAAAGGGTACAACTCTTGTTACAAGCTTGACATCGTAATAATAGAAGAACACTTTTTGGTGCTATATAGAACCATTTTTAAAAAGGAACCATATACAACACATTCTCCATTAGTCTGCAGAACCTTTTCACCATACAACCACCATACAGTGGTTGTGTATAGAACTCATGGTTCTCAGTAGAACCATTGCCTTTACTGAAGAATCGTCTCATTTAAGAGTGAAGCACCATTATTTATTTACCTTAAACATGTGTAATAACACTAGCTAGTCTTCTGACATATGTTTGTTTGGCGTTGTTGCATATTGGTTTTAAAGTGACCTGAGCTGGATAGTAATGAGTTAGATTTACTCAGTTACATGCACTTTTTAATGGATTTGTACTTTTTATTTAGCTACAGTTTAGTCATTAACATGTAGTTCCTGTCAAAAAAATGTTCAAAATTTCTGCCTGATTGATCCATTGAGATGTAAGCAAAGTCGTCCAGAGTGGTTTGGTGTGAAATGGCTCATTGTAGAGAAACATACAACTCGGATTTCTTTACAGTGGTGGTGATAGGAACCAGGGATCACATGTCTACAACATTAATATAGCCATTTTGTTTGCTATCCAAAATGACCAGTGAACCTGCACATGTTTATATATAATACTGATATTGGCAAAATATTGGAAATGTACCTGTTCGCCTTGAATGGATTTATAGTAGTACACTGCAGCCCAAAAACTAAACCTCAAAGCTATCTTAAATTTCCAAAATCTTATCTTAAAGCTATCGTAAAATGTTCAGAAATTTTCTCAAAGCTATTGTAAAACAGTGTCTCAGGCATCAGGCAGCATTCATAACCATTTCATGTAATAACTTTTTGTGAGGGAGCTTTTGAGTCTAAACCCTTAAATTTCTTGGCCGCCTGGTTCCTATCCCCACTGCTGTGAAGGATACAGACTTGGTAAGTTTCCTTAGAACAGAGCATTTCTCATCAAATCACTCTGAATGATTTTGTTTATGTCTTAACCTAAATTATGGGGAACATTTGAAAAATCCCATTTAATTGTGGTGTTTCATTTTGCTGTATTGGTTCAGCACCTGCAGCACCTGGACCGCTTGGCTGTTGCTAACACTTCTCACTTTCAGGCTTTAGAATTTTGTTTTTTAGTCTGAAAGCATCCAAAAAAAAAGGAAGGAAAACCATCAAACAAGCAGTTGCATCCTGAAAGATGCTGGATGTTCTGAGAAGGTTCAAGAGCAGTTTTGTAGTACTATAGACCTTGAAGAGTTTTTGAGATGACCTTTTTCCCCACCCATATTGCTTAAGCTGGCTAATTTTGCTTCTACTTAAATCATAATTTTATTAAAGTAACAAGACTTTTCCTATTTTTAGATTTTAGATTACTGTACTCTACCCACCCCTGTAGTGATGTAGTGTCAGCACAGGTCTATATAGCCTTGGATTATCCTGTGTCCAGCACTGGTGCACTGCACTAATAATGGTGTTGTGTGATAATAGGATTGTCCTTTAAGTCCCAGTCAGGCAGAGTTCCAGCTGGCAGGACCAATATCGTATTTCAGCTGCAGACACCTTTGAACATCCACAAAGCACATCATTAAATGTAATATATATTCTTTTTTCTGTAATATGTCTTACAGTCCTAAGCTTGTTCTGGGTCTTCTATGGCACCATTTCAGCAGTTCCTTAATTCTTAATGCCAGTTGAAACTAATGGGCTATATTGGAGTCTGGTCATGTCTGTATGTCTGATTAAAACATTCCCTCTTCCTCTGTCTGTGCTCTTCTCTCTCTTACAGTCTGCATGGAAGCCCTCTTTTAGATGCAGGGTTGGTCACCCTGAATACAGCGCTGTCAACGCACCCTTCGCTGGTGTCCTTGGATCTGGGGGATTGTATGTTGGGAGATGAGGCAGTTCAGCTGATCTGTGGCATGCTGCCTCCAGACGGAGCCAAATCTGGTATAACTTCACAAATATTCATGGCAGCAATCATGAAGAACCACAGAAAATGCAGTGGGACACAGTGCCAATACACTCAGATTTCCCAGCTATGATAAATATTAACATTACTCAAATGTTAGTATTGAGAGCTGGATTGCAGCCAGTGTTGGAACAAACATTCAGCTTCCAAGTTCATTTTTTTCCCTGCAGATATTCAAGCTCCAACCAAGGGGTGGGCAATGTGGAAAACATAGTATATTACAATACTTAACGAAAAATTCACAATGCATGATACTTGTTACAATATTCTGACACAGACAAAGTGCTCAAGTAGTGTCATTTTTAAAAACTGCTGTAAAAAAACTGTGAATTTGATCATTGTTATTCAACCTTTCACATACTGTGCTGCAATAAGTCCAATTAAATAGGACTAATTGTGCTTTCTTTGGAACGAAACATGCAGTTGGTCAGTACTGATATTCACAATATGCTCATAAATGTATATTATGTATCACAATAGCAAAAAGTATCACAACTATAATAAAATATTATCATATTGTACATCCCTACTTCAATCTAGTAACAACTTTGGTTGTGTTAATTTATGATGTTGCTCTGCAGGTCTTAGGGAGTTGACCTTGAGCGCAAACCCAGCAATCACCACCAAGGGCTGGGCTCGACTGGCCATCGCTGTGGCCCATAGCTCCCAGCTACGGGTCCTTAATTTGGACTACAATCCCTTAGGTAAGCAGCTCGCGACAGGCTGGGTAGAGGTCATATCAACCTTTACTTCAGGGGTATTAAACTCTGGTCCTAGAAAGTCAGCTCCAGCACTCTTTTTTGGTAATTCACCTACTCAGGCACACCCACAAAACCTGGCAATTAACAGATGGGTTAAATCTGGTTTATTTGAGTAAGGAAGTCACCAGACTGTGGTGATATTGCCTTCATGTTTAGCGTCTCAGGCATTGGAGCAATTTATTTGTCTTGGAATACAATATTAGTGACAGGGTACCATGACATTATACTATGTATGGCTTTTCTCAGCTGCATTAGTATGCATGATGATGCTTCATGAGGCTTAAAGCATGATAATATTTGTAATCCATTGATCCATGTCGTAATGTTGTGATATGTCTTAAATACTGGTGTACCAGGATATTGGTATATATATATACACCGATCAGGCATAACATTATGACCACCTCCTTGTTTCTATGCTCATTGTCCATTTTATCAGCTCCACTTACTATATAGGTGCACTTTGTAGTTCTACAGTTACAGACTGTAGTCCATCTGTTTCTCTGCATACTTTGTTAGCCCCCTTTTACCCTGTTCTTCAGTGGTCAGGACCCCCATGGACCCTCACAGAGCAGGTACTATTTGGGTGGTGGATCATTCTCAGCACTGCAGTAACACTGACGTGGTGGTGGTGTGTTAGTGCGTGTTGTGCTGGTATGAGTGGATCAGACACAGCAGTGCTGCTGGAGTTTTTAAACACCTCAATGATACATCAGTTACATCAATATATGTAAACTAAGCTGCAAAAGCAGGCTGTTTTGAATGTACTGAATCTGTGATGTCACAAAAAACAGTGTGTCTACATTTGTCTGCCTATTCAGCCTTCAGCCAACAGTAGTTTAGCTCCTCCTATTCACACTGCTTATTAATTCTAAGAGATAAAGAGAGATTGGAAAATGGTCATGTAAAAGTAAATTATGTTTTTTTGGTTTAAAACCACACAAACATTGTAAGTTGACTTCAGGGGAAAAATATCAGACAAATGTATATGGGCTCTTTAACATATAGTATACTAGCAATAAGAAAGTATGGGGTCATTCACTTTATTATTGCAAACCTATTAACTTTATTAACATTAACTTATTAGCTTTATTAATGCTAACTTAAATATAATGAACTAATGCTAACTTAAATATAATCTGAAACTGAGATATATTTGAAATATCATGATATTAAATTTGGTCACTACCACCCAGCACTAGTTTTGGCTCAGTTGTCCATGGATATAGCTTTATAACTAAAACGACTGCGACCAAATATTGATGTTTTATTTGCAACTGACATTTTCTCTCATTGATTTGCTCAAGAATGTTCAGGATGTAAGGCTAATTGTGTAGCCAGCTTCTGATACAGACTCTACCCACCTCGATAATTACTGACATCAGCAGGTAGGCTTGGTTTCCCCTGAGATCTCAGAGAGAAAGTGTTGGAGCTACATCTTTTGTTTTAGTTTTTTGCTGAGCATTGCTCTCCAGTGAATGAAATTGCCACACTAGTGTCCAAGCTGCTGGAGAAATGCAGTAGTTGCACTTTCTGGACTCCAAGGATAACCATAGCATGACCTCTCTTTCTGTCTCTGCCTTTTTCTTTTGTTCCTCTTGGCTCCTAGGGGACCAGATTGCCGGAATGTTGGCTGTTGCTGTGGCTTCTAGCCGGACTCTAGAAGTTCTAGACTTGGAGGGAACAGGGCTCACAAATCAATCAGCACAGGTAAACAGTTCATTCGAAAGGTACATGAATAAACATGCATGTAATCAAGAAATGCATTTTGCAAGATGTGAGGTACTGTCCTTTAAGTATTTTAATATTTCATAGTCCATGTATAATTCATAAGTTAGTTTTATGTCTGATTTTTCTTTTAAACATTTGCATAACTGCTATACTTTGGCCCATGTTCATTTTCACGACTCTCCTCTGTATCTTTTTGGGGTTTTTACTTGCGAATTACAAGCAATGTAGCCTCTATTCATGCACACATTTAATATGCTGCCAAGCACTTTATCACAATATGTAATAAGCGAATAAACTTTTTATTTCACTTGTTATTTTTATGTTATTCTTCTTCTTCATGTTATAAGGTGAAATTTCAGCAGCAAATCAGCATCAGACTCTGGACAGGGCTTTTCTCGGGCATTCTAAAGCTATTATTGTAATGTATACAGAAAAGTTATCACTATATGGAACACGTTATTTAAACATACACCTTATTTAAAGGCGCATTAGCAAAATTGAAGATACTCAGTCTTTACGAACTCTGTGGATCTACATACTAGAATTGACAGTACTTAGTGTCAAGTTGATTTACAGTTTGCTAGCATTACAAAGGTTTAGTAGTCATTACTTTCTAGTGATGAACTAGGGTATTGCTTTACTTCATAATCTACATACAGATGACATAAGTACACTCCTAAAAACGCTGGTGGTTTGATGGTTCTTTAGTAAAGAAAATGGTTAAATATACATGTATGTGTGTATATATATATATATATATATATATAGATAGATGGATAGATAGATAGATAGATAGATAGATAGATAGATAGAAAAATAGAACACTCAAAGAACCCTTTGCATGATTAAAGGGATCTTTGCATCATGAAAGTGTTCTTCAGATTGATGGAGAATGTGTTGTAGGTGGTTCTACATAGCACCTTTTTGAAACGAGCTCTATATAGCACCAAAAATGGTTCAACTATGGTTATGATGTCAACCTTGTAACAATAGAAGAACATTTTTTTGGTGCTATATAGACCCCTTTTCAAAAATGTTCTATGGAGAATATAATCGTTGTTGTCAGAAGAAAACCTTGTATCTCCAAAATGGTAACTTTACAGGAGAAGGAAAAAACCTATTTTACTGTTAATGAAAGTCAATGGAACCTGACTTTTTTACAAGTAATTTTGTGTCAGTTCTTTTGGTCCATTCATCATGAAATTTATATATAATGTAAAGGCCAACATGTATTTTCAAATTATGTCAAAAACTGAAGTATGGAGATACGAAGTTTTATTCCGACAACAACAGATATGTTTAAAATAGCAGATGTTTTAAATAATGTATATAACACATTTCACAGGTGGAAAAATAATTATATATACACGTTTTGCCTTTTTACAGTGATAGGCTCACATGTGAGTTAAACAAAGCAAGCTCAATAGAAAAATAGTGTGCATTTAAATAAGACTCAGCATTTTGGCATCGTAGTTTCTAAATTGTTTTTTTTAAGTCCTAGTTTTTTTAAGGTCTTGGCTCATTGTTAAGAAGTGAGAAATGTGGGTGAATTTATTGTTATAAATGATGTGAATGGGATGATCGAATGAGGATCATTAAGTAAGGACAGCCATCCAGGCTCAAATATCTACTCACAGCCATGGCCGCCTCTGCATGCAACCAAAAGACACATTACTTTTTATCTTTAGCTCCTCTAAGAAGATATATTTTCTTGAAAGAACATACTCCAACTGTTAGACCAGCAGTGTGACTGAAATTACATAATTGCACTTTAATATATAATATATTATAGTTATAAACTATAATTAAAAACTGTTGATTTCATAAGAAGATAGCAGAACATATGAAAGTAGCTGAGTCCTGATGGTAGCTCAGCATTCAGAGTCAGAAACAGGGATTCAGTTAAAGAGACATAAACAACATAAACTAAATTAAGCTGTGGCATTCGCAAAAGGCGAAAGTATGAGCCAATCAAGATTTCTGTACCTGAGCTGAAAATTCCTGTTTTAAAAAGATGTAACTTTAGAAAACAAAAGAGGTTTGGCTTTCACTGCTGTCCAATAAAATAAACAGAGTACTAACAGACTACTTTTTTTAGTGCTAAATTATTTTTGGACTTTCCCACAAAGGGAAAGCTGAAGTTCATAGGTAGCTTATGAAAAATAAGCCAATGAAACTATCATTGTCCATGGGAGGACATCATTTTTATGATGAGAATTAAAGTCTAATCAGTCAGTAGTGGTGCCAGTAGATAGAGCCTAGGCATGCTATGTGCTATACCACCTTGAAATCCCTAAAAGCTGATGAGATGTGGAAGTCATGCATGTCATGAAACAAGTATGTACTTGTACACTGGTACTTGCACCAATCTCTGCAGCATAATTTGATTGAATGAAAAGGTTGTATAGTTTACCTCTTAAAAATAAAAAGCATGGTGTAATTTAATATTATTTCTTACTTTAGCTTATTGAAATGTGGTAAAATTTTGTTGAAAGTGTGGTTTCTAAACTTTCAGTTAATACCGCATTTATGTTTGTAAGTAGTAGGAAGATATTTTATTATGATTTGAATTTGAAATTCCTGTTAAACCCGTTTTAAAAAGAATGTAAATTGAGAGAGGGTCATGCTCTGAACTCATGATGGTTTGAGGATATAGCCTAGATGGTTATTGGAATATAAATGTAATTCAACATATACACACACACACACACTCACACACACACACACACACAGAGTATGAGGTAGGTTTACCTAATACGATACACAAGTGCGTTAACATCTGAAGTAACATACTGCGGCTAAGCATGGTAGCTGAACTTAGAAAAGATATTTCTCTGCTTTAAATGTTATCATCCACTGAGCAGAAGATAATTTACCTCATTTCTGTTTGGGTACCCATGGATTCGAATAGCTACATCCACACCTATGAAACAATGGATCAGGTAGTTTAGAGTTATATTAGTCATAAAATAAACCTTTTACACCGATACTTACACATGAAATGTCTCACCACAGCCCATAATTTTGGTGGTGTTGCGGGTAAATGCAGTGCGCATCAGCATTTTTGTTAGACAGTCGTAGGCACTTCTGGTCAAATGTCATGTTTTGTTGTTTTTCTAAGTGTAAATAAGTTAACACATCTTCTACAGAGCACACACTCCTGAAAATTTTAATGCACAATGACTGTTTATTTGCTGAATTTAATATTTTTGAATTATTCTAATGAAATGTGGCCTGTTCAAAAGTTATGGCACATTTATAGTTTATGTTAAACTTAGCAAATCAATTGACATTATATACTGATATTTGCAGAAGAATGCCATATTTAGGTTTGTGGTAACACTTTATTTGGAGTAGTTCTTTGTAGATGATTAATAAGCTCTTAACAAATTATCAGTAACACATCAACAACATATCAGCGAGGTAGCAGTAGTGCAGCATCTGAATACACTGAAGTAAATATCTTGTAGATGTTCTGTTGATACATTACTTACATTAAGTAGATGTGTTGTTAATATGTTACTTCCATTATGCAAAACCTAACCATACCAATGTCAACCCAAAACCTAACCCTAACCCTAACCCTGGCCCTATTTCTAACCCTAACCCTAACCTTAACCTCAGCTCAACCATTCCTTTAAAATATGGCCCTCCACAACTGGAACTGTCTGTTGATGAATAAATGGGGCAGAGAAATTGTGCTGTATACAGTGCTTCAGTAGGGGGCGATGTTGCACACCTTATTTAGCCATTAAATGGGCCACGTGTGCTGTTCATCTGTGCACTCCTCTTAACTCCCCTTATTACAGAGCCAGTGCTGTCATTCTCCTGAGCCTTTCATGTGTGTACAGATGAAGGCAGAAGCTGGCTGAGGACACCTTATGGGTGAACACACCTCAACCAAGGACAACCCACAGTGGCTGAAAGTACATGATCAAAGTACTCTCCATCAGCAGTGACAGCCTCTCTTTCTTTCCATGTCTCTTCCTCTCACTCACCGAGTGGGTGAGAAAAAGATAAATAGTAATGTGTTCATCTCTTGCTGAGGAAGGTCAGCTAACTCTTCTGCCAAAGCCCTTCAGCTCAGTAATATTAGAGAAATTCCTGCAAACTGGAGTCAGAAACTAGCTTGAGGCAGAAGTTTCAGCAGAATTTCAGCTTAGTGCTTCCCATAATGGTCTTATTTCAGATGATTCTGTCATTTTTATCTCAATTATCATCTCTTCCCTCCACTACTGGAGACTGCTACCAAGCTAACTGATTAATTCTAGGAAATAATGGACTAGTCCATCCCAAAACTACAATTTAAATCCATATTATGTTAGATTTGAGAGCAGCAGTGACTGGTCAGACACTCAGTGCTTCAACCAAGCAAAAATGTAAATATTACGACTATTTTTTCTCCACTTACTCTTGTTAAGCCCACATTTTCAAGGATGACAGTCTTTCACAGTGTGGATTTTAGAGATACAGTCACGCTGCAGCTACAGTGTTGGCCATTAACACTTTCAGCATCTAAAAATAGCCTAAAAAGCTGATTTCACTTCTGCAAGAGTGTTTTATTTTAGCCAGTCAGTCATAATGTGTTACACCAAACACTGCTTTTTTGAGATATGAAAATATCTTCACATGAAGTGTCCTTCTGTAGTATCACTGAAATAGACTCCACTGTGAAGTCAGTAAGATTACCCAGGCTACTGACAAGACAGTCTGAGAGATGAGTTGGCAATTTAGGGAAAAAGTTGATTATTAATGAAAATACAATCTGCAGGGAATAAACTTTCAGTGCATAATATATATATATATATATTATAGTCTACAGTCCTATATATATATATATATATAGGACTGTAGACTACAAATGACTGAACAATCCATTTTACTACCAAAACCAGCGTAACACTTCTGAAACTTCAGTAAATGTTTCATTAATGACTGTTTCAGTAGTGATAATTGTAGCTAATTTTGAGCAGAACTCAAAAAACACAAAAACACATTAGAACAAGTTTACTTAATTGTAGAAAATGTGCATTTCGGTAGTGACAGTTCTTACTGTTCCACACTGATTTTCAGACTTTGGGACACATTTCCTATAAAACAATGGAATCTAGGGACAGGGATGCAGTCTCACTTCCTGCTCTAAAATGCAGGGGTGTGGCAAAAATAAGGCTCCACCTATATATACTTTTTTTTAATTTAAAAATTAAACTTGATAAATCTAAATATTTCAACCTCACTTTACAAGAAATGGAAAAAAACAACTTTTTAAAAAATGCAAAAAAGATGTAGGTATTAATTTTTACAAGTTAAAATTTAGGTTTGGGACAGCCACCTCCCAATAGAAAGTACCCTATAAATGATGATTTTGTACATATTTAGCGTATTACTATTGATCTATTAATAAAATAATCCTTGTAAATATCTGAGATCTAAATACTTAGTTGTGTTTTTTACTGTGGGGCTGCAGTTTGAATTTAGTAGAATGGTACATATGTATGCGCTTGCTTTCATAACAAAATCTCAGTGGTAACTTTGTAGGAGAAGGAAAAGTGTTCTCAACTTTAAAGTATGTTTATGAGATTTTATATTATTTGAGCTATTTTGGATCAGCTCTGTTGGTCCACTCATGATGAAATGTGCAATGTAAAAGGCAGCTGATGTTTTTAAGTACTGTAAAAAACAAAAACAAAAAAAGTTGAGTTTTTGGAAGTTTTGAGTTGACAGTAACCGATGACGATATCCTTTCCTATATTGGAAGACAGAAGTGTTTGTTTTATCTGTGTTTTCCATCAAACAAAGCAAAGAACAAACAAACACACACACAGGACAGAACAGGAGCAAAAATAGCTCAGCGCTAAAAGCTTTCACTCAGATACTGATGTGCTCAGTTCCTTCCAGTATATCACCCACTCCGGTGTCCTTCATCCTACTGTACTGTGGGCCGTCTCCAGCCTTTTGGGGGCTCTAAAGAGGATTTTTGGGGGCTCTAAAGAGGATTTTTGGGGGCCGCCCATCTTGCTTGCTGATGTACTAGTAGAGGCTTACTAATAAACAATGACGACCACAAGCTGTCTAAATTATGTACAGTTATAGGTGGCTAATTTGTGTATAAATGATGATTGGATGCTCGTTTGAGGTTCTAATCATATATGATCTAAATTACAGACCTTCTCGTCTCACAATGCGTACCAAGCTTATTTCGATCTACCCCGGTGGTGACGTTGCATTTTTAGCATTATAAATGGTTTACTTTCACATATTTAGGTGGAATTATTTGTCATCTTTGACGACTCATTATGTTTCATGTGATTGGCTGGTGGTCATAAACATCACGCTTTCATGTGCACGAGGATTAATTACAGCCTGAGTATCTGGACCTGGAGTAACAGAGGAAGTTGTAGCCGCTGTTGTAAAATGAGTCAACCACGTTTGTGTTTGTTAGGTTTTGTGAAGCTAAAACTGAAAGTCTCATTGAACCTGCCTCATTAGACAGACCTCAGAATGGCATAATGTTAAAAAAAATTTTTTCTCTTTAATCTTTTTCTCTACATTTTCTCTTTTGCTTTTCTGTTTTGAGCCTATGTGCATTCTTTTTTTGAGACATGATTAACTTGTTGCTTCCCCCCCCTCTATAAAAGTATCTTAGGCCTTGTTCAGACTGCAGCCCAAATCAGATTTTTAGCATATCCAGACTGATTTTGACAGCAAAAAAACCACATGAAATTATCACATTTGGAGGTGGTTTGAAATACGATTCTAATCAAATTTTTACAGATGCATCTCATTCTGAATACTCTGGCCGCTCAAATTGGATTTCAGAGGGTGTTTTTGTCACACGCAACACGTCACACAACAACAGTGTCAATCAAATGTCAGAGTGACAGAAGCGCTGGGACTCAAGAAGAGTGCCAGAGATTCATGACTGAGAATTTTGATGAGTTTGGAGGGTGAAATGATGCACCTCCATCTCTCCTACATCTGCGTTTGAAATCCATGTCACCAGTGTAGCTACGTAGTTACTGATGCCTGCATAGTTACCACAGCAACCCATGCAGATAGGTTGATAATGTCTGGACACACAAATCCGATCTGGTCACTTGTAAATAACAGTGAATACAGTCGTCTCAAAAAACCTGATTCAAGAAACAAATCTGGTTTGCCTGAAGCTTTGACATGATGGCAGAGTAATAACCCCGAAGTTGTTATAGGGCCCCCTGGTGGCCACAGTGCCCTAGGCAGCTGCTTATGTCCCTCATTAGATAGAGCTTGCAGTGACTGTATTTATGTGTTCTATCCTTGCATCCTCAGGTCTTCCTGGACATGGTGGAGAACTACCCCACGTGCCTGCGTGTGCTGGTGCTGGCCGAGAACGCCATCAGCCCCGAGCTGCAGCAGCAGATATCCGACTTGCTGTCCGAAGGCGAGGACGACGATGACAAGGAGGCCGAAGCCCGCGGCAGCTCTGTAGCGCCCAGAGAGAAGCCTGCGTGGCTCCCTCACAGCAGTAAGGGCTGATCCACTCTCTCTCTCTCTGCCTCACTCTCCGCTTCAGACTGTTTCAGTTAGGCTCTTTTACTTTTGCTCTCTTTTCTCTTTCTTTGTGTGAAAGACTGTCCAGGGGTCACCGGTTGACTCTGAAGAACAGGAGCCTTGGTGTTTAAAGTAATAAAGGGGTATTTGTAGCCTTTCTTGTGCAATATGAGGACAGATTGTATGCTTTTCAATAGGTAGAGAGTCGTTTCTGTATAAAAGCGAGTAAAAGAAGGTAGCTTTTAACTCAGTGTATCTGGTGAATGAACATAATCGTATATAAAGTAAATGAAAAAGGGAAAAAATAACAGTAGAAAGAGAAGCAGTGTTATAGAACTCGGAATAGTCCTTTCCTTTCTTCCTTAGAATGACATTTTCAAACATTTACCTGATTATCTCTGACCCTTTCAGGCTCCAACTCCCAGATGGTCCTGATGACATCAGGACTGGGTGAGAGCTTTTTGGCAGAGACAGAGATGTGATAACTGGAGCTGCCTTTGGTTTTAGGTTTGCACTGCACGCCGCTACCGCCAGACCACCTGTTAGCGTGCAACCACTCATACTGCATGACCTGTAGCACTTAGCGGTAGACCGTTTGAAGCTGGCACAAAATAAAAACCTCGATCACCAAGTGACTTATGATACTCTATAGTGAATTATTTATTTTCCAGATGTACAGATTATTTATAAGCAGCTATTTAAGCAGCCACAGTGTACTCTTCATTTGAACAGCTATGTAGGATTGTTGTGATGGCCTGATGTCTGAATAAATCTATTTACAACTTTTTTTTAATCGCTTTGTCCTGTTCAGAATTGTGTCTGGTCAACATTCTATGATGAACATAAAGGTATCAAATGAGAGCAAGTCTTCTAATTGCAAGGGGAATTCCACTAGTTTCTCCAAATTTCTGTAGAATTCAGCTGTTCAGAGTGGTTTGATGTGAAATGCTCTGTTCTAGAAATACTTACTGACTCTGATTTCTTTACAGCGGTAGTGATGGGAACCAGGGGTTGCAGCGTCTACAACACAAATATGACAATTTTATTTACTATTCAAAACCATCAGTGAACATGGTAAAATAAATATTTTGAAATAAAATATCTGATAAACCCTTTTCACTGACAGTGCCGTTCATGTACGTTTCCACCATAAATATATTAAAAAAAACATTTTAGACCAAAAGCATCCTGACAATTGTGTATCAGACTTCAGGCAGCATATTCATAACCATTTCAGGTTATAACTTTCTGTGAGGGAGCTTTTAGAGGCATTAAACTCTTAGGACATCTGGTTTCTTTCACCACCACTGTGAACAATTCTGAGTCAGCAAGTTTCTCTAGAGCAGTGCAATTCACTCCAAACCACTCTGAATTACTTTGTTTACATATTAACTATTTAATTATACTGATTTTTTTTATTTGGTGGAATTCCCCTTTAAGAAGGAGCACGCAGCGTATGCTTCTGCTATTACTGCAATGAGAGACACTCAGCACATTACAGATTTCACAGTAAGCATCTTTCTTTCCACAGTCCAGTTCAAGGTGTTATTGCCTGGGAGGTACAGTGAATGTTAAAAAGTCTACACACCCTTATTGAAATTGCAGGATTTTTATGATGTAAAACCAGAAATCATGTCAGACATTTTTCATCTTTAATGTAACCTTGCATCTAACGAAATTCAAGAGAAAAACATAGATAATTATTAGAAATACTAATACTAATGCTACTACTACTACTAATACTAACAATTAAATCCTACAATACCCTGGTTGCATAAGTGTGGACACTCTTATAATCAGGGTGTAGCTGTGTTCAGAGTTAACCAATTACATCCAAGATCATCATCAAAATCATCCAAAAATAAGTAGCATAAATTTACAATCACAGCACACTTACCTAGAGCAACATTAAATGACCTGGCAGATAACTGGCCACTCCTTGCATGTGATGACAATTCCTCACATGTCTGGGCTGTGGGGTAGACAAACTGAAGTCATTTCTCACAAAGAAAAAAGATCTAAGCCCATCTAAAGTTTGCAAAACTACATCTAATCACCTAAACCCATTAGATTTGACAAAGGTTGAAATTTTGGCCTGAAGATGTTTGTTGCAATAACAACACAGCTCATCAACTGAAGAACATCATATCTACTGTGAAGCATGGTGGTGGGAGCCCCATGTTTTAGGGCTGCTTCTCTTGTGTAGGGACAGGGGCTGTAGTCAAGATAATGGCTATTTCCGAATATAAAAAATCTGCTGGCCTCTGTCAGAAAGCTAAAGATGAAGAGGAATTGGAATGTGCCAGTCAGAACCCAGACCTCAATAACCTGTGAAATTACCTAAATTGTGCTGGCACAGGTGACTGATCACCTGACAGGTCCAGGAGGAAAGGGAAGAAATTGAAAAGTCCAGGTGTGAAGACTTATTTATTGGCTTAAAGACTTAAATGCCAAGTGTGCTTAATGAGGTATTAATTGTGCACACCTAAAAAAAGGGGGTGGATTATTATTTTACATAATTTTGCTAAATAATTATTCTTTGTGTTGGTTGCAAAATTCCATTAAAGATGGAAACATATCTAACACAATTAAATTTTTGACTTCACATCACAAAAGCCTACAGTTTCAATAAGTGTGTGTATTCTTCTATGCACTGTAGCTGAACATGGTAAACAGTCTAAGCACTTCAGTGTCTTCACACCAGATGCAGCCTGGTGTTCTTTAAACCTTCTAAAAGGATGAAACTCTCCTTATAATGGTGTCACGTTTCAGTGCTGTTATGCTGCTAAAACAGCTCCTGTGCAAAGCTGATTATGCTGTTTATACCATTCCAGGACAACTGTGATCCGATTAAAGCTCTTTGTTCCAACCTCTTGTGCTTCATGCGTTTCTAACCTGCCTCGTCGGTTCTCCACAGCGGTGCACCATGTTTACAGATGTATATAGAGGTGAATGCCAAAACACACGATTTTTCTTTGCTGTTACTGTTCTGTTTGAAGTTACAGACTGAAGATATAATCCGTAGCATGCAATACAGAGGCCTTGAATAGGAGTTCATGTTGAACAAAGGGAAAAGGACCACGGTGAAGGGCTGAAATGAAACATGGCATTGAATTGGCACGGTGTACACGGCATGTAAGCTTTATTCCCACAACACAAATGGGATTTCCACCCATGTAGACGACAGTGGGGCACTGGCTGCAAGTGGAACGAGGAGGCAGTGTTTAACACCACAGACTCCAGAGCAGTCATGCCCTCCACTGCTGGCAGCAATGATTCAACCTTCTGATTCACATCTTCCCACAACAAGATGATGTACAGTTTCAGGCCTTTCCACAGATAACAGGCAAGACTCCCACTGATGGTCTCTCCACCTCACCTTCACTCTAATCTACATCAACTGGCACCAGTATGTAAGAACACTCATGTTCTTGGTAAGCAGTAGCAGCTTTAGCCGGAGCAGAAGGCTGCACTGGAGTTTCCTCAGTTTACCAGCTATTGTCAGTTTGATTAAGCAGCTCTCTGAGGAGTATCGGAAAACGAAACGGACACCATTGTGTGTGAAACTTTTCGCAGAGCAGCTGCCAGGAAAGCCAAATAACACCAGAGGAACAGGCCTTCTATAATTAATGAAAGGGCTCGGAAATCTCCTGAGTTGCTAAGTGACAGAGACAAATGGAAGGCAGTTTTTTCACAGTGCGTAGTGGTGTAATGAATCGTCTTCCACACTAATCTTCATCCAGGAGGTGGGTGCCAAAAATGATAAAGTACCAATTAGACTATTTTATTCCACAGTTTGAACGTAAAGCTGCACTATGGATTTTTTTCCTGTTTTAATGTAATAGTCAGAGGCAACAGATCAGATTTTAGAGGTTTTGGCCCACTTTGTATGTTTTTTTTACACTTTCACAGGCTCAAAAAGAAGGTCCGGCTCGATGTTTAGATCTCAAATGAGAAATCAACATCATACTGATGAAGATATAAAGACAACAGAAGACAATTCACTTACATCCTCAGAAGACACGTCCTTCACCAAATTTTGAGTTCTCTTTGAAAACTTTTTCAACTCACCTGCAATCATCAGATTCATCCCCTCGGGGAAGGGGTCCGAAGCACAACCCACATTACAAAATGTTCTTCCGCACGTTATGGAGAAGAGGTCTCCAGGGCCATATTACAGAAAATTCCTAATGTGAGATTCTTAGTGTGAGATCTGCTTTGTTGTCATGGCAACTTCAGTTAAGACTGAAGTTAGGAAAGAAACCATTACAGAACAACAGTTCTTAAGTCTGTAATCTTATCTTATTTCCAGATAAGGAAATGGTCTTACAGAAACATCCTAAGTTGCCAAAATATCCTGAATATTTTCTTAACCTTAAGTCAACCCCAGAGCTGTCTCTGTTTTAACCGTCTGTTTCTATTGTTTTGTGTAGTGACAGGCAGCCTATAAGTAGCATAATTATACTACATTTATCTACACTGAAAACGGTGCTGTTTTTTTTCTAACAGCGTTTTAAAAACCCCAGATGCTGCAGACACGAACTCCACCATCCAAGAATTACAAGAAATTAATAAACTGGGCCGTGAACGTCTCATTTAATATGTTTTAATGTTAACAATTCCTTCCGCTAAATTATAGTTCCTTAACAAGCAGCTTGTTGCTACGTCAGAGTAACGAGCTCCGCCCACTCGCTGCACAGCCAGACCAGCTGACAGTTTGGGAATTTAGTGTAGTCTCATCTTCAGGGTCTGACCAAATCGGCTGTCGGTCAAATGTGATCTTAAAAGTGTCCATTTCTGTTTGTGGCAAAGTAAGAAGTAAAAACGTTAAAATGGCTTGAGCGTCTCCTACAGCTGTCAAAGTCGTTGCTTAGCAACGGCGTCTCAGCGGAGTGATACAGTGTGAAAAACCCGTGATGTTATGGCGAAATATCAACACGGTTAGAACGCTTCTCAACCAATCAGCTTGTGTGGCCGGAACTAACTGTTGTATGACGTTGATGAAAGCTCGTCAGATACAGTATTACAGTGATGGTGCTGAATAATGAGGAGGTCGAGCTGAAGTGTGTCTGTCTATTAGGAGGAATAACGTTAGCGCGCTCGGCTAAAGCGTCTGGGAAATGAAACTAACTCGAGAGCGGCTCTGAAAAACAGCACGAAGCGCTCACACAACATTCTTAACTCTCAGTTTATCGCGCTTTAGTTTTGTTCTGCCTGGCAAACGAGCTTGTTTACTTTACGTGTTTACGTTTCGGCTGTGCGCGTATGGTCAGTTGCTAGGTAACAGACATGGCAGTTGATTGTCGACGTCTATCGAGCCTATCTCTAAGTTAAGATTTCTTACACTGAGATAAGATGCTCCAAGATAAGATTCCTAAAACAAGATCAGATTTGCTTCTGTAATGCGAATTTGTGAAAAATCTTATCTTGACCTGTCAGATATTAAGTTAGATAAGAAGTTTCTGTAATTCGGCCCCAGGTTTGTACCTCAACTCTGTGATTCAAGCTACAGCCAGTGTAGCTTTGGATCACCTGCTGAAATGAAACGTTGTTAATTAGGGGTCTGTTCCACCGCTTAGCCTGAGAACCGCCTCACAGTGCAGCCACAGCCCTCGAGTCACTGAAATCTAATCTGAGCTGCAAATGAACCCAAAGCACTGTGTGGAATTTTAATCACCTTTCTTCTGCTGTTAGGACCAGCTGTTTAAGCATCTTACTCGAGGTGACTACCAGCTTTAATAACAGCTTCACTAAAGTTGGCCATCTTCTGATAAACTACACCATTAAAGATTACATATGCCCATCTGATCAACTGCTGTTCTTCTCTGAAGTTGTAAACCTTACTGAGCATTTCACCTACCAGTCATATCTATCATCCTGGATGCGTCTAACATAAGTAGACCCCAGATTTTTTTTTTTTGACACCACTGAAAATACACAACAGGCAAAAGACAATTTTTGCACTCGCTTTTATCATTATTCACACCACAGTATCATCACTACATCACAGACAGTAGTTCCGAAGTCCAGTCTTGCAGACCCCCTGCCCTGCACACTTTCAACGATTCCCCACTCAAACATAGTCAGTCCCACTCAGTAGGTAAATATCAAAGCCTTTATACATTAGAGAAGGTATTTGCAACAGGAAGCTGCAGTTTTTTTGCAGGATTCCACATTATATATTGTCTCCATCTGAACAAAACCTCTATTTTATATCCATTTTTTTTTAAAGGTGCCCTTTATGAGGCATTAAAAGGTTTATGATAAGCGGACCAACAGAAAGTACTTGGAGAAACTGATAGAAATAGAAAGTTTTGTTCGATTTGGTTCCATTAACCTCAATTCAGAGTTTTTTCTCCTCTAAAGTTTCTGTTTTGGAGATACAAGGTTTTGTTGTGACAGTGATTAAGTACTAATAATATAATAATAATATATAATATATATAATATTATATATATAATATAATAATATTAAATAAAATTAATCTTATTCACAGTGGAAAGCAAGTTGCGTTTAATACCCATGGTGGCAATTTTGCACTATTTTCCCAAAAGCCACCCTAAAAGAAAAAAAATGTCAAAACACACTTCATGGTCAGTTTGCTTGATCCAAGCTTCTCCATTTAACCCTTGTAAACTTGTACTACTTGTATCATAAACAGAAATCTAGTGCAGCCCAGAGGAGGACAGGCTGTCCTGAGTTCTCTCAGTGTTTTTCCTGATCTTATTAATGGTCCAAAAAATAAACTTACAAATAAAACACTTATTTTTATCAGATTAAATTATTACTGGCAAGTAGCGTAAGATTTTTCACAGATATAATGCCGACCCTGTGTAGACGAAACCTGTCTTGCTCTCAGGCTGATTCTACACACATGCTCTGAACAGTGCGACCACCTGGAGGCGCTCTAACATTAGCAACCGCACAGCTGCAAGCGCAGGCACAGTGACGTCAGGCCAAAGGATGACATGCATCAAAATCAGTCCACTGGTGGAAATGATGGTGTCAGCACAATGTAAGGAATCAAAGTTTAAAATAGTTTTATTTGTTTTTAAAATATACATCAGTTTACAAATTGAGAAAATAAAATTAGTTGAGTATAACAGTCTTTTTTGTAGAATTTTTCTTTTTTAGGGTATTTTTTTTTTTACAGGAAGGAAAAAAATAAAACAAAATCAGTCATTACACAATGTGTCGCTACATGACCATGAAAGCTTAACGCTCAGGTGAGGCTGAAAGGAAACTCTACAAAGCCATGGAAGAACACAGCGCAGGAGGGGGTGGGGTTGGGGGGTGGGGGCACAAACATTTAAGGTAACTTAACGGAAGGAGAGAAGCACCATATTGCTACAATTAAACCCAAATGTAGACGAGGTGTGGTTTTTGCACCAAACGATCGAGAACATGGACAGACACGTTTTACAGAGACAAACTAGATGTATCTGAAATCTGCCTGAGTCATTATTTTGAAATTCACAGGCTTTGCTGTCACATTCCTAATTCTGCACCATAAATGCAAACTACAATCAAATTAAAGGGCACCCCTGGAAATGCCAGAGGACTCCGATACTTACAATCAAGCGTGAGAACAACAAAAGGACAAATAAGATTCGTAAAATGCAAAAACAAGTAAACACTAAGGAAACACAGACTACTTGTTACTCTGAACAACAGTAGAATGAAGGGGGACCCTTTGGTATCGTAACCAAGTGTGCACATTTACACAGACTAAAAGAAAACGGGGCATGTTTGGAGTATTAGGCTGAGGTCAAGACAACGTAACAAGGAAAGTAATAAAAGAATACTGTACTAAGTAGAACACTGGACTGCAGGTTGGTTTAAAGGGAGTTTACCAAAACCTGAAGTTTAATTCAGATAAAATGTTATTCCAGACACCACAGCTCCTTCACTGATTTCATATTTATACATTTCGCTTCTATCATTTGTTCTGTGTGTGCATATTCCACCACCATCACTGTCAAAACCAGATAACTGGGTATCAGAATAAAGTGGGTGGAGCTTATGTTATACACATTCACAACACATGGAACTGGTTTGTAATTCTTTCACTCACTCATGTTTAGCAGGCTAAAATTCTCCACAAGGGGGTGCCATTAGCACTCAAATAGCTTTTGTCACTTTCTAAGGGCAGCACTTTGCATCATTAGTTGTTTCCATCAATTCTCTGCACAAATGTCTGCAAACACTAAAAGTTTTGCTCCTCAGTAGCTTGTTTCTATGAAATTTTACACACAAATGATAAAAAATGCTTCATATAATGACTTCATTACAAGCCAAAAAACTTTTGGGTTGGGTTATTGCAAAAGTTGCATTTGACATATTTCCATCTTTAATTTCATGTATGAGCTTGTATACATACTGATAAGGAAGTTTGACTTATAGCTATTTATTTGATTTTATTTTATTAGTATTTCTGGAAGTATCTGATTATTCGAATGGTCATGTAAACAACATACTCCAATCTAGAAATCTGATTAAGAAATTCGATGAAGAGACTGGATTTTAGCTCAGTAAATCAGATTTCTCAGTGTATGTAAACTCTTACTCTGATTTATTTCGGATTTCTCAGTCTGCGCATGTGCAGAACAGACGGCAGTACTGGAAATAAGCAAGCAGTGTTACCGCGAGACGCAGCAAAACGCTTCTGGAGCAACGCTGAAACTAAATACATTCTCCACCAAATGAAGCATTTAAATATTCTTCATCTTCGAGATGATGTATGTATATATATTTTCAGGGAAAATGGCGATGTTTTTAAACTTCGGTAAATCTATTGGCTGGTTGCAAAGCAGAAATCTGATTACTGTCTGACTCATATAGACTTTTCACATCATCTGATTACTCAAGTGCATTTAAACGCATTGATCGGATTACTGACAAAATCTGATTTTCTGCAGTTATCAGATTATTAAGTGAATGTACACACTCACTGTTTCCATTAGACTCGTACAGAAAAAAAGTTTTGTTGTTCATAAAATAGACAATTTCCATTTCCAAAGCCTACACTGGCAACCTTTTGAAGCGTTACAACGTTTTTCGTAAAAATCCTTTGAATGGAAACGTAACTAATGACACTGTGTGTCCTTGTTTTCTGAAGAGCTTACAAATTCTAGTGTGATTTCTGGGGGGTTATTTTTTTTTTTAGAGGGTAGCATGGCAGGCATTAAGAAGAACTTCTATTATCTGAGCCAAACCAAACCAAAGAATTAGAGCTCAAAATATTTAAAACAATATCTAAAAAGCTGAATCGAGTCTTGACCTCAGGATCAAAAATCACATAAAACCTGAAAATGTGTAAGACTAGACCCCAAATATACACACACAAATGATAAAAGGAAAATGTGTGTCACTCTGACTACAGGGTGTGTTGAAGGTTAAAAGGAGGATAAGAGTGAGCTTAATATGTGGTTCCCTTGCTGATGCGTCTGATAAAAAAAGATGACAGTTCTGACATTTCGGTTTTCCCCCTTTCGCTCAAATTTCTCAGTCAACATTTTGCTTGCGTCGTACGTCGGGTCACCTTGGATCAAACAACAGAACCGTCAGTCACCCATGCACTCAATTATAGTCATGATAGAGAGTCATTAAACTTGCAGCACACCAGCTGTAAAAGCCTATTTATACGCACAGTACATTACATCGTTTCTTCACTTTCCTTTTCTTTCTTACTCTTTTTTGTATTTGCGCAAGCTCTCGTCTACATCCCATCTGATGAAGCCATGAAATATTTAAGGACGTCCATTTCCATGAGCAAGACCCTGACAGACTGTTCTCTGTCTCCCCCTCTCCTTTAAACATCACCGAGCTATTTTCGAGCATGATAAAACATCAATTATTCAGCACAGGAGCTCGTTACAGTTCTATTCATTATGGGCTGTTACAATTACATATGGAGAGGGGAAAAAAGATGGAACAGCAGGAACAAAGGATGAATAGCAAAAAAAAAAGAGGTGGATTTGGGAGCCCTTCCGTCACACATTCTGTTTGTCTCAACAGAGAAAACGGAGCTGAATTATTGAAGGCAGGGAGTGCACTGTAGTGTAGTGTAGTGCAGACCAGTCACAAGGTAAATACATGCAGCAAGTCTATTACAGAGTGGCTGAAGTCTCATGGCCCTTTGACTTGAACTTGTAATAATATGCATTTTACTACAACCGGCTGATATGTTTTACACTCGCAAGGTTATGAATCATGGTTGCACAACACACAATTAAATATGATGCCTAACCTTGACTTAGATACTGCAAATATTCAGCGTATGTGTCCGATTTCCCATCGACTTTTCTTTTTTCGCTGCATGAAACACGCATGGAGCACAGCGTCTGAATAGCAAGGACCTGAAACATCCAGTGGTCGAGTAACCAAATGAAATCACATCTCCGAATATGAATAAAAAACAACACAGAATGTGTGAAATAGTACTTAAAGGCAACATGCACAGTGTTTTCGACCATCTTCAGAGTATAAAATGAATAGGTGTATAAAAACGTTGCGCTGCCGTGTCTCTGACGTGCACCAGTTCTGGAAATCTGAAATCTTTTTTTTTTTTTTTACTCAGACCTCGAACCAAGCCTTGAAACCATTCAAGATGTCTCTGAAAAGAAAGAAAATCTAAGTAAAGCCATCTTTATAAACGCTCAATGTCAGACGGGCTGATTATAAAACCTCAATGAGGACTAAAGTCTGAACGCACTTGCACACAAATGAACACTGAAAACAAAAAACAAAACATGAAAAAACTGTATACTGCACATACTGTAAGCAAATGTGGTTGCTACATAAACAGAATAACTAATTTTTTTTTGGAGCAATAATGGCTTCCATTAAATTCCGGGCTAATATCAAAATTGTCCAAAAGGTGAGGCTTATTTAGTTCTACACTCAAAGACATAAAGGACAGTCGTTTGGACAGCTCACTTTCTAATTTTGTGGATTGTAGGGCTAAATGGACTGTCTTTGTACTTCAATAGAAGTGTAATCTTACAAAAAGAGCGTCATAACTGACAGAACTGTTCAACTACCTACAGTATAATTCCATTTTTGGAAGTACTTCAAAGTTACATTATGCATAGTTCCAAGTAAATGGCATTAAGTACTGAATATGGCCTCCAGCGACAATCAGCTGATCGTTGACAGTAGCTAAGAGAACACATTACTACCCATATAACTAAACAACAATCACAAATCCTGCTGTTCTCTCCAATACTGAGCTCTGAACACACAACTGTAGTCATTAGGGTTAAATGCCAAATAAAACAGCATTTTAGAATGTAATACAATTATTTGCTGTTGTTTGCTGGTCTTTTTCATCTAAATTGAATAGATGAACTTGTTTAGCTACGGGGCTCCGTTTCCAGTTTCATTTAAACAAGGACATAATACAAATTAGCAAATTCTAACATCTGATTAAAGTCCAATAGTGCTCACCGTGATGTGGAAATTAACAAGAAATTTACTTATTAGTCGATCAGCAAAACGAAATCAACCAAAACAAATAAATACACGCCAATGACAAAATATCTGCTTCAAAATTTAAATCTCTGGTTTAAATATCAGTAGTCAGATTAATCAGCATGGATGCAAATGAATACCTGATGTTGAAAAAAACAAACTAAATAAAATCCTTAAGATCTTCCCATAGTTGAAGTTACACATAAAAAAGGTGTCTTTTTTTCAGTTAAGTCAAGAATTACAGTGGTAGATCTATGAAGAGAGGTGTTTGAAGATTTTGTCTGCGCAGTGGAGGTTTTTTCTCAGTTCCATGTGAGCTGAAAGTAGACTTAAGGAGTAATACTTCCTCTTAAAGGGCAACAGGGAAACCCCTCGTTCAGAAAAAAGGGTCAGGCACTGTAAGTCGAAGAAAGAATCCGTTAGATTTCATGAAACCTGCACCATTCCATCCACGCCAGACCACCAGATCTACAAACAGTCCAATTTTTGAAAACTGAGGGCTCTCACTGCGAAACCCTTAACCAAAACAGAGGGCCCTTGCTTCTGTTTTGTGCGCTATTCCAGTTCCAGACAGCAAAACAGCAATACATTACAGGGCTATTCCATCTCCTCCCATTACAATACACTGGCCACATATGGAGGTGTCTTTATATGGCTATATCCTGTGGTCCTCTTCTCATTTACACCAATTCTGGGAGTCTGGCATTCTTATAGGGCACCCAAATCACTGTTCCATTGATCTGGGATGTTTCAGAATGACTTCTTAAGATACTAACTGATTGCCTCAACTCATACATTTCATAAATACCACATCAAAGTAAACCTCTAGCTTCTGAGAAGTGGCTGAAGAGTTACAGTAATGATTCGGCAAAAAAGGTGATCACACCACCATTTCCCTGCCTCCTTTTGTGGGCTGCTATGACTTGTGATTGCTAGCAAGTAGAAGAGCACTGTAAGTGAACAAGGGAATGAAGTGTGGGTCTCCAACTCAGTCCAGCAGGTTTCCGTGTTCTTGCGCTCTGGTAAGGCTGTCCTTGCGGTGCAGGTGATGGACTCCCATCCTTTTGGGGCTCTTGTGCGGCCGACTAGAGCCACTCTGGGGGTGGTGCCGCTGAGACGGGGGCTTATCCGTATAATCCTCAAGATCGGCAAGGACCCTGGAGCCAATGATAGGAAAATCCTGCGGCAGGACATCCCTCTCCTCGGCAGAGCTGCCTGCCGACCCAGCGTCTTCCGCGAACTCTTGCCGCTTGGCAGAAGCTGGGCTGGTTTCCACTGTGACCATTGTATCACCACTGGCGCCGTCCTCATTGTCAACAGCCATCAGCAGGCGCTCGCTCTCCTCCTGGGAAAAGTCGGCGCCATACTGTCCTCGTTTGGTGCGCAAGTCTGCTACACTACTGGTGTCCGTGTCCAGGCTGGACTCTCTGCTGGCCGTCCAGCTTTGAGCAGAGGAGCCTTCTTCTCCGTCCGAATAAGCGCCCCGCAAGATCCCGCGGTCTGAAGCTTCTCTTCCAGACTTACTGTTGCGACTCCTCTGAAGCTCCTTTACAGTCTCGCTGCTGAAGGAGGTACGGTTGACAAGGGTGCCCTCTGAGGATGGTGCCGTCTTCTCCACGAACATCCGCTGCCAGTTGGCGAGCAGGTCTTCTTCAGAACTCCCTGAGCTGGCAAAGGCACTCGGTGGCTGCGGCGGGCTGCTGAAGGGGCTGGACTGGCTGGATAGAGGGTCGGTGATGTCCGTTTGCTGTGGCGTTCGGGGGAGTGATGTGTGCCCTCCGCCTGAGGACAGGGATAGGTTTTGTTAGAATTTTATCAGTATTACTACTCTTGGCAAAGGTGCTTACAGAGTCAATGTTCTGTAAGTCAATAACTACTCAGTTATCTTTTTAATATTATTGTAAGAGTTTACGTCGAACCCTTATCAATAATATTTGTAAGTTTTACAATTGGCTATCATGGGGGCGTCCCTACCTGAAGAAGAGGAGGTCCCAGATCTCCAGCCTCCGTCAGACACGGCGGGGCTGTTGGGGACGGTGCGCTGCCGTTCTCCTGCTTCTTCCTCGTTTTGCACCAGGCTGAGGGAGATTGCCTGCCGTGTGGCGTAGGTGCAGTTGGGCAGTGGGCTGTTCTTGGGGATCTTTACCTTGTCGTCAGAGGAGAACTCGATCACCTTGCGGCCAGGGTAGAGAGGGTGCGGTGGTGGTGGTGCAGGGTAGGGGTTCAGCTTCTCGAAGGAGGGTGCCATGTCATCAGCCAACGGACCATCTGGACTGGCCTGGCTTCGACACATGCCATTAACGTGCTGCTGATCGGAAGTAGCGCTGCCACTCTGCCTAGCATGTCCTGGACCCCCATTCTCGTTCTGGGGTCCAGTCATATCGACGTGGACGAACACGTCTTCGGCCACCGGCCGACCAGCGCTGCTGCTGGACTGGGCAGAGTTCAGCACTAGCGGTTCGGGTTTCTCAAGCACCCGGGCAATGACGGACGTGGGCACCACATCTGCAGGTGTCAGGCTCAGCGTGTCTGGATCCTGACCCTGGGCTCCTTGAGGACTCTGGCTCTTGTCAGGCAGGCTGCTCTTCATGTGCTTATTCACCATCTCCTGCAGTTCATATGGTAACTGGTGTGCAAGACAAAGAAAAGAGACTTACAAACATGATAGATTTCTAAAACCAAGGCATGTCATTAACAACAACTTTAGAACTCTGACTTAACAAAGATTAAATAAAGGACCTGTAAAACATTCAAATGATGGAGCTTTTTACCTCCTCCTGGAACCACCCTGAAATCCCCCGTTGCTTGTGTTAATGAACCTCATGACCAGCCTCTAACAGTGGAGCCAAATACCATCTGACATGTTGTGCTTTTAAACAGCCCACTTAGCTTCTTTAAGTGGCTGCTAAGGGACAGTTTGCGTGGAGGTGCCAAATTAGATAACTACATACTTAAAGGTGCATTCCAGCTCTTTCTGCATCTAAACCATCATTATGTAAACAAATTGGCTTTATTTGGTGTAACGAAAAGGTGAGTTTTATGACAGATGAATCAGTTTAGGCACCATTAGGTAGCAAAATAAAATGTACACATTGTTATCATATCAAAACCTTGTAACTGCTTTTTTAGAGAGTATTTGAATAAACCAATGTAAGTTATGTTAACAGACATTAAAGTTAAAAAAATTATTTCCCTCTTACTAAGTTATCATTTTAGAGATATGAGGCCACAACAAAAAGCCTATGTTTGACTGTCTTTCAAATTTGACCTTTTCGCTTTTGTACTCTGTACAATTTACATTGTCAAATTCCACCCCAACCACACAACTTGGGGTTATTATAACAATTTTGCGACAGCCCAATCCTAGTAAGACTTTGTAGACTAATTCCTCAATTACACAACCTTAAGACGAAGCTCTTTGTTCCACTTCCTGAGATATGAATGGTCTGGTAAATGAGACCCATTTATAGTGTATCCCCATAAAGTCTGTCTCAACCACCATCAGGAGCAGAAGACAGGCTTTTTTCTATTCAAAAACACCGGATGGGTGGTTAGTGACAAAAAAAATACAAAAGAAGCTCATCTTAAATTAGCATATAACTCAGGAGTGGGGAGGAGAGAGAGAGAGAGAGAGAGAGAGAAATAAAGGTAGGTGTCTGAGGCCTTTATTTCATGTTGCTGCCTTGACTGGACAAAGCCAGGCGGGGCCATCGATTCGTGGAAAACAGACAGGGAAAATCAGTGAACGCACAGTCCAGCTCGGCTCATGCCTTAACGATCCTGTGGAGGCAGCGAGTGGCCTGCAAACCTCCAACTTCCTCTGGCTGCGAGGCCACAGGAGATCAATGCGTCCAGGCAGCGCTTCTGAGCGCGACCCCCGTATGGCCTTCCAAATCAGGGATCTACATACTGCGCCCTGTGCTCTACTTTCCCACAAGGTTAGACTCAACATGTCCTGTCATGTGTACGGCACATGCTACACGTTCACCCCCCCCCCGACCCCATGTACTCTGCCTGCAATCACACACCAGACATCACCAGTGCTTAAACTGCAGCACTGGGGCTCTCATTCACTCCATCACAGGCCATTCATCACATGGACAACAACGACCGCACAGAGCTTTCAACTGCACTTAAAATAATTTACAGCAGGTAGGGAAATGCTACATCACGGCTTAAAGGATTGGTTGGGCCAAAAATCTTATTTACACTTCCACATATGCTAAATGTTGGCTGTTCACCAAGATATGTTTGGTGTCTTAAGTCTGCATCTTTAGTTTAGCACTGGAACTACAACGCTAATGTTTAGAAACAGAACAGCAAGAGGGAGTGTGTTAATGTGAATAGCAAGCCTAGTGGAAAGAAATCCAGTCAGCTGGAGTGCAAAGCAAGCAACTGATGCCCCTGCAGAATGATACACATATTGTAAAACTGTTATCACAAATACCAGCACAATTCTCTCACAGTACAGTAATTCTCAACTAATTAGTCTTCAGAACTAAACAAAGAATGGAAGCTTAAAGACAGCAGTTAGCACAAAGCAAACTATATACCTAAATCACACACTAACCCCAAACAGTGTTAAGTATACTTGTTTATGTTTTTTATTATCTGCAAAAATGAAAAGTGAATGAACAAAATTTGAGATTATCTGACAGCCTACTGCACATGATGCTAACTGGCGCCTATCTAGTCGTACGCCAAAGTTTGAGCTCCCTTGGTAAAATGACATGGTTTCTTGATTTTCTAAGTGAAAATAAGTTCACACATCCTCTACTCTACTGGCTCACAGCCCTGGAGTAGCCCTTACCCAGAACATTTCAGTGTTTCTCCTGCTTCCAACACACCTGATCCAGCTCATTAACCAGCCCTTCATGACTTCAAGCGGGTGTGTTGGGAACAGGGAAAATGTGCAGGGCAGGAAGAACGCCAGGACCAGAGATAGGAACCTGTACTGTACACTGAACTTAAATTTTATATTTTTTATTGTTTATTTGCTGATTAATTCAACACACAACAAATGTGCAGAGGTGAGCCCTCTGGCAAAGATATATTAGCTTATTTTCACTACGTAAATATGTACTTTGACCAAATTTTGCATACGACTGTAAGCATTTATCACTTGGTAGTTGATCTACTGTACTTCTGAAAAGGGGAAACGTTGTTAATTTGGCCAAATGAACACTTCAAGCCCTAGAAAACTGTATCCAAAGCTTGCACTGCTGGTTGTGATGTGGATGTATGCAGCGTGCACTCCCTGCAAATGTCCTGCATCTGGTGTAAATGGAGCAGGTTTAATTTTGATCTCCCCGCTGCTCTGTGTTATGGGCAGACACGACTGCAACCTGCTCCCTCCCGTCCGCTTGTCTGAACAGAAGGATGACTCAGTGCTGCTTCACGGCATCTTCACATCCGAGCGCGCACGCACGCACCCATCCCCGAGAGGCCCACGTAACCATGGTTATCGGCGTTTCACTTTGGACGACTTTTATCTGCCTCAGTCAGCGGCGCTGTTCATCCTGCATCCGTCCACAATGGTGGCTGGCAGGAGGAGGTTTTCCCCAACAGCACATGCTTCCCCTTACTCGCCCTCTACGGCGTGACTGTTGTTGCACTTCATTTGAGGCATTATCTAAATATAGCACCTCACTGTAACAGCGTTCTTCTCCCGAGAGACAACACAACAAATACTACTATGTCAGCGTTCGACTGGAGCATAATGAATCTTAACGTTTCTCTGGCTCTTTGAGGGCTGTTCAAGGATACACACAGCAGCTCGAATCTGTAGCTCACTGCATCACTTTTACAAACAGCATAAGCTTTGCGAGAGGGCAGCCTTCCTCTGGCTAATTAAATGTCTCTGGGAAATAACAAATTGCTCTCATTTCCTATCATTATGTCACCACTTTCCATATGAAAAGGTTTGATTAATACGCGCCAAATAAATCTGCATGTGATTATTCACTTCGAGTGGGACAGACCACCGGAGAAGCATCTCAGCTCCTGAAGCAGGTTAACCTCAGAATAGGCTGCTGCCAGACTAATGAATCCAGCCAGGGTGAGGAGATAATTCAGGCAATGAATAATAGATCTCCTAAAAATAGGCCTGCAGCAAGACACCCACCTTCTTATGAAGGGAGGGCCGGCTGTAATCGTCCCACAGAGAACTGGACATCTGGGATTAGTCAGTTTGCTCGATTCATAAACAAACACGCTAAAGAGAATGACAAAAGGTGGCTCCCTTACATTAACGGTGGGCAGGAAGGAAATCCTTATCTTATCTGAGCTTATTCAAAGCGCAAACACAAGTTAAGCATTAATAACAGGTGAATTTTGCATAATCTCAGATTCAGTAATACCATCGCTCGCATATCAAAACCCACCATTTGGAAATGCCTGCTGCCTTTTACACTGTGAAAATACTTGATGATGAACAGGTTTGGGGGTACAAAGTAAATAGTGTAACACGTTAGTTTCAATTCTTGTAATCACTTTACAGTTACTGACTTATGAAGACTATTAAGACTACTTTATGACTTGTATTATTCACATTCCCTAAGACGGGGGTCGGCAACATGCAGCTCCGGAGCCACATGCAGCTCTTTTACTGCCCTGTTGTGGCTCCACAGCAGAATTTTTAGGTAGAAATAAAATAATCCTCATTTGCAGTAAAATAAAGCTCTGCTGATCGTTCAACACAGTTTAAACAATAAATGGTCTTAAACTCTGGAGTTAATGTAGCCTACAACTGCTAATTCAACCTTTAACCTTGAAGATTGGCGCGCAGATAACAGATAACAATCCTGCCGAGCTAGTAGCTAACGAAAAAGTCAGCTTCTCATTGGCCAGCTTCTTGTTGCCAGAATGTAACTGCTGCACCATTTAATGTGGAACAGGAACATTTGAACAAGAAGCTGGTAAATGAGAAGCTGACTTCAGCCTCGTAAAAAGTCAAATGTAAAAAGACATTTTACAAGAAACTGTTCCACATTTGAGGAAAAGTTTTCTGCCGGAGATGCGAGAAAAGCGGCTATATCTGAGCTAAAGCTTAAAGCAATCTTTCAAAAAAATTTAAAAACACTGAAAAGATAACCAACAAGTAATGAGATTACTTTTCTCAATAAGTAAGTAATTTCACACAGTTTGAAATAAGTAATTAGTAACTGTAATGCATTACTTTTCAAATAATGATCCCATCGCTGTTGACTAACGATGTATTTGGTCTCAGGTTGGGTTCTGATTAACAACTGGATCATCAGATATCACATTGAATCTTTGCCTGTTGATCACTGACATTTTTTTTTACAGGTTTTGTTTTGTATTGGAAATTTTGTAAAAAACAGATTTAGACATGCAAATAAGATGTTATTTAGTTATATATGCATACATTTACATATTTTTAAAACCATAGATGATGGAATTAAAATGGTTATTTCATTTTAAAGACACACTCCAAAGAAAAGATAAAATATTAATTATTAGAATCTTAGCTCTAGAATATTAGAATTGTTTTATTGCTTAATGAAGAAAACAATGCGCTGCTAAATGTCAGGTCACTTTGTAGTGCGAACATGTAAAATTGAATGAATTCTAGAAACTGAGATTTTTGCTTCAGAATGTCAAGAAAAGCTGATTTTGAAGAAAATTATTTTAAAAATGGGCCTCAGAACTGCATTACCCAGTGAGATCTCAGACACCATGCACCATTAGAGTGAATGTTGTTGTCAATTCAAAGTAAATATACATATTTGGATATTCTAGTTAGATTCTACAATAAATAAGCTTTTTAGAGATATAAGACATGATGTGCGTGTGCCTAGTGTGGAAGGAGCTGAGCCTTCATTCAAGTTGCAAGCTTTTGGAAAATACACTTAGATATGCAAATTCACAAAAGATGATGAAATAAACAGCTGAAATGTTAAAATACCAGTTGAGAGTTCAATACAACTATCAAAGGAACTGGATGCAGTTTATATAAAACAAACAGCTGCAGCATAGGTGCAGCCCACGAATCAGGAAGGCCAGTTTAATTCCAGGTTGCAGGCTACAGGCCGCATTGTGCTCAAGTGTCATTTCCCCAGGGCTCTGTGCTCTGCCATGGCTCTGATAAAGGCCTGTTAACTCCTTGGCTCCTTTACACTGATACACAGTTGTCCATCATTCAGACACCTGCTGCTTTCTGGCCCACGGATAAACACAAAGGCCAGGCAGAGTTATGAGTCTGGGCTTTGACACCTTGTCAATAACTCACCTTGCTTTTCCTGGCCAGCCAGCCTGTATCCAAAAGTCCAGCTTTGCTCTGCGTCGTGACTATGCTAAAAGAGCTCACGCTAAAGACTAGTATACAGCACCTGCCGCATCAAAGCCTTGCTTTCTTATCCCATCTCTCTACAGTGTGTATCGCTCTGTCTCTTTGTCTGCTATCTAATGACAGGTTGTACTCAGAAGCACTCCTGCCTCCATTACAACATTAAAAAGTCTCAAAGCAATCACACACTGTCTCGTCCCATCGTCCACCTGGGTTACAGCGGAGTGCAAAACACATTTAGTGTTTGTGCTCAAAGGAACGTGTTTAGTGGCCGAACACGACACTTACATCCGCAAACTTGTGGTTCCTGAAATGTGACTTGTTGCACTTCAACAGTTGCACAGCCAAATTGCAGTCCTGACGGTAGCGCTCCTGAAAGAGAAGAGGGCAAGTCTGTGAGCACAGAGTAGAAAAATAAGGAAAACGCATTAAAAAAATATGGTATACTTTCAATTAGGGCTGAGCAATCAATCTTTTTTATAAAAAAAGTGCAATTTTTGTATCACAGGAGCTGCAATACTGATTATATGCTACATTATTCAAATCAATTATTCAAGTGGCAAAATGTATCCTAATAACGCAGAGATTGTGAACTGACAGTCTGGTATGCTGCATTCAGCATTTGAGCCTCAGGCCTGAAATAATGCATGTGCTCATCATCCAAGCAAAATTAAAGGAATTTTTTATTAAATTTTAGTATAATATAATCTTTGTGATGCAACAGTTCATTCAGAGTGGCTTGATGTGAAATGGTTCACTTTCTAAAACTTTCCATACAGTGGTGGTAATCAGAACCGGGGGGGCGGGGGGTCGCACTGTCTATTATGGAAACATTTACTATAAATTTTCGTTTAAATTTCTCTGGGGACTAGTTTGTCTTATAACGCCCTGCTCATGCGCTATTTAAAAATACATTTTAAGGAAAAATCATATCTCAAAACTATCACAAAACCATGTTTGAGTCACCGGGCCATTAACTTGTAACCATTGAATATGACAACTTCATATGAGGAAGCTTTTAGAGCCCATGTGTCAAACACAAGGCCCGTGACAGTCCTATTCGGCCCGCAAAATTATTTTAATTTTCTATTCTTATTAGCCCATTTTATCCTGAGATGTACTTCAGTCCCCAGCATGCACTGCAACATAGTGTGCATTCTGACCTTCTTCACCCAACAACAATCTATGGACCAGCGGTTACATAAAAAGAAAAGATGCCTGGTGTCTAGTTCAAGCAAACAGGCAGTTTATTTAAAAAAAAATTACCTAAAACAATTTATTTGTATTTTAACTTACTTTTAAATAAGTATTCAGTGCTTATTTTGCTGTTGCAGTTTTGGCATATTTTGAATAAACAATGGCCCGTTCGGGTCGTGGCAAAATGTTAAAATAACAACACAGCAGGCCTACGGATGGGCTGCGATTTTTTTAATATGGCCTTTTTAGTGGTTGAGTTTGACACCCCTGTTTTAGAGCCACTGACGCTTTAGATCTTTGGTTCCTATCATCACCACTGTGAACACTTCTAACTCTGGAACAGAACGTTTCATATTAAACCAAACATTCTGAATGACTCTGTTTACATCAACAATTTAATTTTGCACAAATTTTGAACAAAAAACCCAACCAAAACCAGCCCAGTAAATCCCACTTCAAATCTGAAGCGTAAATGAAATGAAAAAAAATTACATTTTAATAGCAATTGTGTTACTGGTGAGAAAAAATATAATCATAGTTAAATACTTTCCTCAAATCATTCAGGTCTAACTTTCCAGGTACCGTTTCCTGAATTCAGAGCTATTTCAAGAACTAGGTGACTTTGTGTCCAACATACTTGTAATAAGAAGATATAAGTAACCAAAGGAAAAAAAAGCCAGAGAGAGCATCGTTTCCTGTCTGAGAGGGATCCAAGGAGGAGACTTCTCCTCAGAGAGAATTCTGAGTGATCAGCTATGACTGATGGGTGGCTGATCTGCCCAAGGAGATGAAACACTATGCTTAAGCAGCGTGAACAGACGGCTAACTGGTCCCTCACACTCTGTAATTAGCTCCCCACAGCCCTGCTGCATACATACACTCAGCTAGCAGGTGGAATAAGCACATTTTTTAATGAAGCTGCATAAAGAGACCTATTTATGAAGTGGCTCTCTAAATATATGTAAGAGGCATAAAAACAAAATTGAACGACTGATTGAATTTAGTAAATATGGGTACATTTATTTAGCAGAGTCAGATGATATATTGTCCATTCTACTTTACTCCTATTTGTGTCACAAAACAATACTGATTTTAAGCTTTAGCACTATTAATGATTGAAAAAAAAAAACTACAAAACATGACATGCATGTCATTTGCTTACTGCATCATATTGTTCTGAAAGAACAGTTTAAAATACATCCCCGTTTCCAAAAATGTTGAGACGCTGTGAAAAATGTAATACCAATGCAATGATGTGTGAATCATTTAAATCCTATATTTAATTAAAGACAGAACAAAGAAAACATATCAAATGATGAAACTGAGAAATTTTGCTTTTTTGAAAAATATATACCCATTGTGAATTTGATGCCAGCAACACGTTAAAAAAAGTTAGAATAGGGCAACGAAAGACTGGTAAGGTTGTGTAATGTTAAAAGCTGTAGGCTGAATAGACGTTACTTTTCATGACATCGCAAACAAATTCAAGACATGCTGTTTTTGCGGCTCAGTCTTCATATATAGACTGGTATGGACTGTGAAGGTAATTGTATGTCTTGAAACTTGTAAAAATGTTTACATACTACATCAAACTCAAAAAAGGAAAAGCCAGTTTTCCACAATACAGGCCTTTAACTTTGGTAATGCAAACTTTGTAGCTGACTCAATATCAGTGGGTAAGTCAGCTGCTCTGCACGCAGGACAGCACGGTTTAACTCCCCACTCAGAAGAGCACTTCACTGCTCTGATATTAGACACGGCTCCTGATGCTACATTCACATCACATTTAATTACATCAGCCTTGCACTGTGCATGCATAATATAATACAGTTGTACAATTAATCACTTTTTACATTTTTAGTGTGATATGATTTCCCAGTAATGTAGCATTAGGAGCCATGTCTAATAATAGAATAGCAGTGTGCTACCTTTAGCCAAGATTTCTATTTGTACACTGAATCATTGATGCACTTTTTAAATCATAATTAAAATGTACTGCGTCTTATATCACCATCACAATATCCATCAACTTTAACGAATGTCGGATTTTGTGTCCATATTACACAACCTTAGTGTGTTTTGACCTGTTCTGTTATAGGAGCCCTCAAAGAGATGTTACTATCATGGAAAGTAATATTGGGATAATGAAGAAAATGATTAATTGTGTAAACCTATGATATAATTTGAAAATATAGCAATACTGCATTTTATCAGTGCTGCCCAGCACTGTTTCTACGTAAAGCCAGTGTACCCAGAGTGCAATAATACACTCACAGATAAGAGAATTTCACAAGCTGCATCCAAACTTAATCAAAAAGTACAGCCTGTCTAATGTGAAAGTGCTGTTTCCCCCTGTAGACCTCTATCAGGCAAGAATCAGCTGCTGGGCTGCAGACACATCTGACAATGCAGTTCTATGAAAGCTCAGCACAGAACCTCTTAATGCAACTTTCAATTTTCAGCTCCACTGGTTACCATTTGAAGCTATACTACAGTGCTGACACACACACACACACACACACACACACACACACACACACACACACACACTGTACTGCTGTTACACATACATTCAGCTCCTCCAGCTTGTCGACTGTGTTCTTGGCATCCACAAGCTTGTTGGTGAGCTCCACTATCTCTTGATCCATGGTCTTCTTGTCTCGCTCCACTTTCCGAAGCTGCAAGAGACACAAAATGAGCGCACATTATTGTTTGCTCTCTAAGCACTTCTCTGAGGGAAAACAGGCAGAGACTGAGCTAGTGGCTCAGCCACTCTGTTTTAAGTAAAAGCACAGTCATTTCCTCATCGATTCGCAATAAAAGCTTCAAGTCTCTCATCTTTGTCTCAGTGCTGACTGTGTCAGCAGAAAAGCCAGGGCGGGGGGGAGAACAGTCATCCATTCAGCTTAAGAGTATGGGGTCAAAAGTCGGGCAGGAACAAGAAGCAGACACTGACGTACATAAACAGATCGATTGCACATAGATAAGAAGCCCAGATGAATCATTCTGCTGAATCATCTAAAGCAAGACACTCTCAGTCTCGATCTCTCCATCTCTGGACATTCAAAAATAAATCTGGCTCAGAAATAAACCCTAATTGAATATATTAGCACTGATAACACTGTGCAGCAGGAATGCACTCTACAGGAAGTGATATCAGAATGTGATCTGTTCAATATTTGCCTAGTCACACAAAAGCAGAATGGCTGTAGTTTTGAAGGGAGTTAGGCTATTACCACTACCCTCTTGCAACCACATGCCAAAGCCAGAAACAAACTGTCAGAACAAAACCTCTCATCCCTAAACGGGTAAGTTTACAGTGATTCCAGGTGATTTTGGACCATTTCTACTGGTCCATTCACCATGAAATTTTCAAACAATGTACAGTTGCATGCAAAAGTTTGAACACCCTTGCCACACTATGTGTTTTGTTGATTTTCTAAGTGAAAGTGGTTTCACTTTTAGTTAAACATACTGGAAAAAATCATACAAAAAACATAAAATATGCCTTTCCTTTTGCACAGCCAACATTATGTTTTATATATTATGTTATTATACACATAAATACATGTTACATATAGCAAATAAACAGTAAAAAGGATTAAAGTGTGCAGAAGTGTGTTCTTGCTCTTGTTGGTCAGGTTCACCCGAAAATGCTGAAAAATGTGTTAAAGCGTCCATATAATAGAAAAACAAATGTTCCTGTGTTTTTTGTTTTTATATAGGTTTGGATATTACTTTGTATGAGGTTATTAGTTTGGTGTAGCGCAGTCTACAATAATCCGTCTCTGTTAATGTCAGAGCATGTAAGCTAGTTCAGGTTTCCAATTTAGCAGTACCCACCGGGTCGGGTCAAGTTAGGTCGGGTCTCAAACTTGCGGGTTCAGGTCAGGTTTTGACTTCCTCTACCAGAAGTTTTCAGTCCTGTGCCTGGAGTATTACTAGCCCTACATGCTGTGGTTTTCCTGGTCCAACACACACAGTTCACCTCAGTTCATGGCTTGTTAGTTAGCTTACTAATTGGATCAGGTGTGCTGGAAGAAGGGAAACTAAAGCACAGAGGGCACTGGGACTCAAGGACTCCAGGACCAGGACTGAGAACCTCTGATAACCAAACAAACACATACAAATTTAGTCTACTACCAAAATTTAAATATATTCATTCCAGCGTTTGCAACATAAATTATTCCCCAAACCTCTGGGCTGGAAAACCTCCACATCAATTAGAAATACTGTGCAGATCCAACCGCTCACTTTTTATGTGTGTGTTGAGGGGCACAGAACAGCGTGGAAAGGTCTACTTTCTACATACACACATTCCATGTCATCATTATGACTGCATACAAAGCCAGTGTCTTTATTATGGACCCATTGCATGGTTGCATTGAGAATGCAGAGAGACAGACATTGGATTTAATTGAATTGAGCGTAGCATCACAAAAGTGAAGAGCTAAACAGATCCACGCTGGCTAAAATGTAACTGAAATGGATATGTAATCTGATGGCTGCACATTACATTCCAAAAATAAAGACAAAATCAAATCAGCAAGACATCATCTTCTGGCTTCTCACCCACAGGTTTAAGTCTATTCCTCCACTAAAAGAAACCCTTTGTAAAACTGCCCCTGTCATTTAGGGCCAGGACTACACTCATTATCTCAATATATATTTGGGAAAATGTTCCATGGCTACTTCATCTCTTAGCTTGACAGGACACTGAAAGAGAAAGACAGAGAGCGAGAAAGCAGAAAAAAGACAGCAGCAGCAGCCTACTCTGATGCTAGTCAATAAAAGAGCATTTAGCTTCGCAGCTGCTGTTTGACTGAAGTGGACAAGGTGGGGCAATAAAACCAGGTCACAGAAACAGCAGCTGTTCATTGAGAGTCCACTTAAAATTTGTAATAACAGCCATCACAGGAGATACCCAGCACTATCACTATCAAGCATTCCAGCAAAAGGGGAACAGAGAAGGAAAGAAACAATAACAGGATGAGGAAAACTGGTTCTATTTACAGCATTCAAAGCTGAAGTTCAGTGGTTGAAATATAAACAAACAGTCTTACACACTTAAAGTGTAAATAGTTTCTTGATAGTGAAGTTGAAACAGAACCCACCCTTCAGTGATTTAACATAACAGTCAAAACAGCCATTCAGTATAAGTTATTCATTTTTCAGGGTCAGGAAAACAGCAGGAAATATATCTGAAAGAAAACTAAACAGACGCCTCAACAACTAAATATAACATCAAAACTTTCAGCGTTTAGTGTGTCCACTCATTATCTTTTTTGTGGCTCCCGTTCTTGTCAGGAGACTCTCTTTCAGTTTTTCAAAGAAATCTGCAGGGATATTTTTCCACATGTCCAAAGTTCAGTCTTAGAAATTGGTTGAATTTTCTGCTTTTCACGATCCAAGAAATCCCAAACACATTCAGTGATGGTGAGGTCTGGACTCTGGGGTGGTCAGTCCATTGTTCTGAGAACACCAACAGCTAGTTTGTTCATCTGCAAATTTTTCTTTTTATTTCCTTTTCTCAGTGAGGCTTGAATTTTCTCCTCTCTCTCAAAGATGAAAGCTTTAATTGCTGTTTATCTCATGGGGACAGTTTTAGTGGTCTACCAGGTCTTGCACAGTTGTTAGGAGTTATATTTTCCCTGTATCTTAGTCATTTTACGTATTTTCTTTTGACTTTCCCCTTTCCTTATGCAAGTGGATTATATCTCCACAGAAATATTTCCCGAAAATAAAATTACTTTTATTTAACTTCGGCTGCTTTGACTGAAAATCAAATAAATAAAGGACAGTCTTTATTGTACATTATTTAAAAAAGAGGCATTTGCTTTTTAGAGTTTAGAACGTCAGGGCAACTTAGAGCTGGAAAATGTCCATAAATCATATTCTCCCTATCTTTCTATTCGTCTTGTGAAAAGGTAATTGAAATGCCTGTCATTGTTAACGTGTCTGAGCCAGTCTGTGGTGCTGTGACAAAGTAGGGTGGGTATAAATAGCTATATTTTAGTAGAAGCCAGCATCACTGATTATAGTTATTCATACTTTTAACGCCTTTTGCATTTCCAAAATGTGGAAAATAGCAAAATAAAGGAAAGCTCTTCTAAATTGTCCAAAACTGGTACTGCAAGTGATAATAGCAACATAGTATGCTGACTAAACCTGCAGCAGATACTCCTGGTAGTTTGTATATTACAACCACTGTGCTGCACACTTGAACCCACAATGGCATCCACATTATAATGCTACCGGGAAGGTTATCACATGCAGAATGAGGAGATGAGGATGAGGCAGGGGAGGCTGAAGAATGACATCTACACTAATACACTCTGAAGAACAAGGAGAGAGAAGAGAAAGAGCCATCACGCAACTGCATAGACCCAAGTTTGACTGACGGCAGCCTGATGATGATGATGATAATGGTGGCGGTTGCGATGGTGATGAGATACCCAAGTCACAAGGCAGCATGAATGGTAAAAGAAGAAATAAGGGAAAAGAGAAAGAGAGAGAGAAAGCACTGATGGAGAAAAACACACAACATGGTAAGTACAGTGTTTGTACCCTGGATCTGCCGTTATAAGGGGCCGAACCTCTTCAAATAATACATTACATGCCAGACTGAGAGTCCTGAGAGCACCTGAAAAGGTAAGATGAGAACAGCCCTGCCCTGCCAATGCACTGCCCAGGCTGCCAACATCACATTACCTGTAATGCCACCTGCACCAACTGGACAAGCTTTCAGCAGGGGGACACTGATAAGAGATTTAATCGAATAAAAGTAGAAATTAACTGAAAATGTATACCTAAGGGAAAAAAAAACAGCATTCCCTTTAGGAAGCGTGAACTACTTTCTAAAGCCGAGCTACTATAAAAGAAAAAATACACCTACATCTAAAACTACACTACTTGTAACTAAATTCATATTACTTATTAATATATTATTTGTAATAAATAATAATGATACATTTTTTGTTACTCTGGTAGCAAAACACATTCCCACAGCAACTGTTTTGTCCAATAAACTTTTAAAGTTAGTAAATCAATAAACTTTACTTTCTTTAGCCCAGGGGTTTTAAACCGTTGGCCATGAGCCCCTGGTGGGTCGCAGTGAGGGGATAAGCAGGTCGGGAGGAAATGGGAACAGTGCATTTTTTTGTTTTTCTCTGAGGGAAGAGATAATTAAGTGCATTTTAGATTAGAAGCAGGAACCACACTGTTTCTGCACCACTGCTTCTTCCACAGCAATCCTGTTATCAAAGTAGCTTTTAATACCTGCTGCATGCAGAAAGCACACCTGAATTTCAGTGACTGAAACCCATACCACCCATTATGGACAGCAATAATTAATGTGTCATAACTGGTTGCCTGACATTAATGTAAAACATTGAGTCATATGCAAAAGTTTGAACACCCTGGTCAAAAAATATGTGAAAATCCACTGCAGGAAACAAACAAACACAGCATTTCTTCAGCTAATTTTTCTGGCACAGTTTCTGTTTGCTGAAATTTAACTTATTGGGGGGAAAAATAAAACATAAAATGTATCATAACTTCAGCACAGGCTACAATTTATGTTTTTCCCACTCAGTATATCAAATTCAGCAAATAAAAAAAAGATTGTGCCTTAAAGTGTATTCTCTCTAGAGACTGTTCTCCTAGAAAATTAGCAAAATGTGGTGCCCGAACTTGCATGACAGTATATTAAAATTTGAAAACATAAAAGTTTTAAAAGTTTGCAAAGGCTCCAAAAGTCTGGCTGCCATGGACCCCCTGCACCCTCTCAGCCCCCAGAGGTTCTGCCACTGATTGAAAAAGAGTAATATTGAGTAAAATGGGTGGAAAGATTCAGGGATTAAGACTAATTTGATGAGATTATGTCTATCACTTCATGCTTAAACATTTGGTGGGTCTCAGGACAAACACTACCTCTACATGGGTCCCTTTTCATGGGTTCTGGCATTAAAGTTTGGGAAGCCCTGGTTTAGCCCCTGGAAGCTGCATAGAAAATATGTGGCCAATATTAACAGATGTCAACCCATTTGCTAGGAATGATTCTGCAGACTGCCTTCAGGGGACGGGATGGTTAAGTCTTGTGATTTGAGAGTCACTCCAAGACTTTTCACTCCAAAGATGTTTGATTACATTAGCATTTGAATGGCACTGAGAGGATAAAGGATGTACAATTATGTAAGGTTTAAGCCTCCTGTCTTTTATCCATCATAAAACTTCAAAGGCTCTTAACATTAAATTCTAATAAATACCAGCAGTTACAATAAATATTTTGGTGGATGTATGCTGGCTTCACAGCATGCTTAACAAATAATTCAATAGCTCTGAGTTGCTTATTAAATCACAAACTGAACCTCATCACAACTGGAGCAGCTTGTGCTGACTCAGTCCTATCCGACACTACCGTTAATGTGATATAAAACCATTCCAGAAAAAGTGGTTATCAATCACCTGTTCTGGCATGAGGAAACGCAGAACTGCTGTCCAACACAATAGGATTTAGAGGCAGCTTTTGAAGAATATCAGAGCCTTTCAACGCACTGCCTCAATTGATATGGCTGATTATTTTCACCCATTTCATGTTTTATTCCACTTCAGAAAATCAGATTTGTCATTCTTTAAAGCTTTGATGAAAAGGAGTGGGGAAAAAAAAAAAAAAAAAAAGATGAACATGGCGTGACTGTATTATATCCAATTAAAGGAACCTGACAGACCTGTCAGAAAGTTATCAGCTTGGACAAGCAAACCACAGCCATGAGTAGCCATGCATAACACTTGACATTTGTTGATTTGGGGGCAAAAGAAATCAACTGCTTTTCAGAAGAGGCAGCAGTATATCTGCATCAATTCAACGCAACTGGGTTTCAAAACAGGGACTGTTGTGAGGGACTTTCAGTACAGTGTAGAGGTCGGACTTTCTAGGTACCTCAAGAATTAATTAGATTTCGATTTAGGGTAACAAGACGCAATTAAACAAACGATTCTTGATGCATCTCAATCCATCTCCAATTTTTTTTTACAATTTGATTTTCTTCAGTTATTTGTTAGTAAGAGAGAATTGCGATGCACCTAAGAATCGATTATTTTTTCCATCCTCAGTATAAAATCCTGCAAGAAAGTGGTTGAAGGGTAGGGTGCAAATATTTTCAAAATATGTTTATCATGAAGTTCTGAATGTCATTTATTTAAATAGAAGTATACCGTCTGCGATATTTGCTATACTGTAGCAATATAGTTTTCACTTTTCGAGGGAGAAAAAGTTCTATCCGCTCCTCCTTCTGCTGTGCTGTGGCTGTTGAAATTGTTTACAAGCTCTGCTAAGAAAACAGACTGTTTTATATGATCAGAGCCCTACAATGTAGTGGGAGCTCATGAAAGCAGAGCTGCTCTGTGTCTCTAAGGCTACGTTCACATAGCAGGTAAAAGCGGCTCAAATCTGATTTCCTCACCAAATCTGATTTTTTTGTTTGGCTGTTCACATTATCTTTTAAATGTGACCTACATGCGACTTTAGTCTGAACAGATCAGGCTCCTAAACTGACCCGCATGTGCAAAAGAACAATGCTTCACATTACTTTATGTGGCTCATTCAGAGGTAAACAATCATGACTGCTAATGAATGAAGGATAATCCCAGAATTTTCAGTTTCATCTTCCCCAGCACCAAAGGAGCGATCATGAAGCTTCACTGACTGACAGCTGGGCTCATCACCCAGAACGTGTTCAAGCTCACCGTAAAAGGCATGTTATTCAGACATGGTCACTTCTTTGGTTCATGTCCTCAGATTCTTTAAAATTTGCTTTCAGACTTTTCCTTGACGCTGCAGCCTCGTTCTCCTACGGCCGCGTTCAGTTATTTCTTTCAAAATCTTTTTGAACACAGTGCAGTTGTGATAAGTGCGTTCTAATTGTTTTGTATAGAAACATCAGCCTAAATGTTCATGAGGTCTCAGCATTGTGAAATGATGACGAATGTCGAGTTGGATTGACATAAAAGTTGCATAAATTCCGATCCGGATACGTATCGGATTTCGGGACCACATATGAAAGCATCTCAAATCGGAATTGAAAATGTGTTTTTTGCTGTTCACACCGACACAAAGAGGACACACATCAGGGTAACATACAAAGAAAAAGATCGGATATGGGCCACTTTTACCTGCTGTGTAAACAAAGCCTAAAAAGTTTCTGGAAAAAACTTGCAGTACTGCAGTGAAGGTATTTCAAAATGTCCACAATAACGTTACCAGGCAAAGCTGAATTTGAACAGAGGCAACAATCTGATAATTTTGTTAGCAATTTGCTGAGGTGGTTCCTTAACAAGTCTTTTATTTCAGGCCTTTTATTTCATAGTCACAAACTGGTCACCATTTTTGTGTACGTCATTATGCATGAATCAGTGAGATCTTGCATGTCTTCCCTCCTCCAAGCCAAGTGGCACCAAAGCACCCTACTTTGCAAAGTCTCTGTGTGCGCATGAATTTACTTTACAGTAGGAGAAAAATACTTTTTTGTTTTGTGAATTGATTCAGAACACTTTCAGAGAACTGCGATGCATCTAAGAATCAATTATTTTTTCCCACCCCACTATTACCCTGCGAGGAAGTGGTGCAAATCGCATGAGCAAGAACACACGTGTAGTTGAATACATTCCTGATTTAAAATCCAGTGACAAAACACCTGTTGGGGCCATAGAGGCATTAAAGTCAGCCGTGTTCCTGATGTCTCCCTACAGGATTTTAATTCGAGCTTAACCACAGCTTAAGAACATGGCTCTGTGCAACGTGACTGCAGTGACTGACACAACAATTCATTAAAACTGTATCAGACTCATGTGTTTATACTCCTATGTCCTTTACTATTCATTACAGTACAGATCAGAGGATTTGCATGGCTCTCCAGTCATTACTGCTCCTCCGCAGGCATCAACATGAGACCGTTACCATCAGCCATCACTATTACAGTCATAAGCAAAAATTTGGGCTCCCTGGTCACATTATGTTTTTTGTTGATTTTCTAAGTGATAAGTTAACACATCCTCTACACACTTCCTCACATTTTAATGCATAATCACTGTTTATTTGCTGAATTAAAAAAAAAAAAAAAAAAACACAAACCACAAATTGCCTGTGCAGGCATCACGGCACATTTTGCATTTTCATATATTTTTTCAATGTGTTACACTCAGCAAATAAATAGAAATTGTGCTCTAAAACTTGCAGACAATCGCCAAACTTGAGTTTATTCCCTTTAGAGGACATGCTAACCTATTTTTACTAGGACAATCGACAAAACATCTAATTTGACCATTGGTGTTCAAACCTTTGCGTACATATATTTATAACTGCAAGATTAGACTCTGTATAGCTGTGTCACTGACCAGTTGAGCATATGTTGCACAGGGTTAGAGTCAAATAGCAGCATGCTGTCTGGGACACACTGGAAAGGGCACCATATGACTCTTTATTCAAGATACAGATTAAATGTTTGTCACTCTTGGACCCTAATCTAATCCCTGTGGCATTAAGTGAGACAAAGGCTTGATTCATTACAAACTCATTGTGTATCATTTCATTAGGATAAAGACCATAAACAAAGGTAATGAAAGACATCACTCATGAAGATGGATGCAGAGAGGGAGGTTAAAAAGGTTACCAGGGCGTGCAGCTTCTCTTCCAGGTCCTGATTGGCTCTCTGTGAGGCTGTATAGCTGTTCTGCAGTCTGTGGGAGAAACAGACACACATTTAAAATGAATACTGCAAACAAAGAGCAACACTGAGCTCATTCAGTGCATATAAAGTTCACTGCATCCACTTAGGTGCCAATTATATTTACCACTACAATACAATCCAGCAGAAATGCAGAGTACCCCTTTAAAGGGCAATTCCACCATTTTTTCAAAACCACTGCAGAATTCAGTCACTCAGATATAATGAAAAGCATTCAGAGCCTTTTAGAGTGAAATGGTTTAGAGAAACTTAGTGACTTAGTGAGTTTTCTATACAGTGGTGGTAATAGGAACCAGGAGTCACAGCATCTAAAATCATCTAAAATTCAAAAAGAGCCATTTAATTTACTTTTCAAAACATTTTGGCTCACTTAGTACTTTTGGGTGGCCCCTGACTTTTGGCTCACTCATGTACCTCTCAGACAAGAATGGACTTTCCTAACTTTCCTGAAGCATATTCCTAACTATTTCACGTAATACTTTTCTGTGAGGTGGCTTTTACAGACATTAAACACTTCAGACATCTGTTTCCTGTCACCACCACTGTGAACAACTCTGATTGGTACGTTTTTTTCTTGAACAGAGTATTTCACATTGAACCACTCAGTGACTTTTTTTATAATTCCTAAACATTTAATTATACAGGTTTTTTTACATTTTGGTGGAATTATCTTTTGAGTCAAGTGCTTCATTAAAAATAGTTGTGAAAAGAAAAAAAAAACACTATCAGCATCAGTGGTTTCTAAATTGATATCTTGAAAAAACAAAATAAAAACTGCATCATCTCTACAAGGCCATCAAATTTTCACTACTGGTGATTTTCAACAGGTCTGACACACGGTAACACTTTACTGTAGGGCAGTTTATAAGGCTACATGACCATGCACATAAGCTTGCCATGACAACTGACATAACCCTACATAAATGTTTATAAATGCTTATTCCAACAGGCATCATCTGTCATAAAGGCTACTTTAGCTAACTTTGATCAAAATTGGCAAATACAACCTTTATAACGATTGACATCTGTTGGAATAGACATTTATAAACATTTATGCAGGTGTTTTATAAATGTTTATATGTTTATAAACATCTATGTCAGTCGTCATGACGAGCTTATGTAGATGTCATGTGGCCTTATGAACCGTACCCTACAGTGCATTAGTGTGTCAAGTAACTGTGTGTTACCTGACACACAAATGCACAACTAAGTGAAAAAGGCAGGAAAGGAGAGGGATGAAAAGAAGGAAAGATAGACAGACAGGCATGTTCTGCACATTTACATCAGGATGTAAACCAATATTTCTCGCATCCCACTCGGGTTCTCTCAGCCACCTAAAAACATTTTCACAGTCACAAGAGCTGCAAATTTCATTTCCCAGCATGCATTATGTGGAGGACAGACATGCAGTGTTCTCACACTGTGTTCCAATTGGTGGAACACATCACTACAAGCAGAACGCACACAAGATGACAGTGAGGTTCACAGAAACGCATTTCAGCTTCACTGAAAATCTATAACCTGTGGCCAGATACACCATTTTGAATGTATTCATTTCAGGTTGGAATGTAGATGACTTTTCTATATTCTGCTTCTCAGAGTTGTGTTCGATGACGAGCGTATTTTTCATGCTCTAAATACTGACAGATTGCAGCCACTGAGTTCACAGAAGTTTAAAGTTTGCTGGAGGGTCAAAACGAGTCAAAACGGTGGCACTAGAAATGTAAGAGATGCAGAAAATCATAAAAATGAGGAATGAGAGCGACCATCCCTACTGCTAAACGGATTAAACCTGCTAGCAGATTACTGTGGAATGTCATACGCTGTTGGTCACTTCCCTGTGACGAGAATGAGTAGGCTTGTGATCGTGTTTACGTCAACACTTGTAATGTTGGCTGGAGCCTCGGGCGAGCAGGCTTATTGATCTATCGACCACACAATATTACAAACAGCAACACAACCAACATAACCTTGCTTTGGTTTTTAGTCACATTATGCACAAACAACAACTACGACCCTGAGTGCATTCTGAGTTTGTGTGCTGGAGGGCTTGAATGAAGCATCAAACTGAGTATGATTCACAGTTTTTGTCTTATTCAATTTACTACATCTCAGCCTTGTATACGCTGCCTACATCACTACATTACATCCTGCAAATGCTCACCAGGGCCTTTTTAAATAAACCATTAAAAGGGGCCATCGATATAAATACAATTTATGCTGATGAAGATAAGTGGGACTGCGTGAGACTATTTCCCACCCAAGCCCCCAAGTTAACTGAGGAAGCCTCCCCTCTGATCAATATCACTTCTCTGTCAGCAGAGATCATCAGGGGTGTTCTGTTTCGTCTTGTAACAATTAAAATTGAATAAATTCGCTAGCAAGCTCTGCTGATTCCCGCAGAGTACAGTCATAAACTCGCGCTGCATAATATAACTCGGACTGCCAGCGCCGGCAGAATGCAGAATGTGTTCAATGATTAGCATCACTCGATGATCGTTCTGCAATAGAGAAAGAAGAGTCCAACTGAATGGTCTCAAGGCGGGGGTGAATTAAATCAGGTTCTCAGAGAAGTAAAGCGAGACTGACGATGCAGTTAAGCCAGGGATGAAATGAGTGGAAGAATAAAGAAATAAATACATTGTCCTGCCCATTCTGCCCTCCTCATAAAACATTCCTCTTGTTTTTCTTACTGTTCTATTAGTTCTCCTCATAACAATGTATTTGTTGTTGTGCTAACGTTATTATTATGCTAAAAGACAGGTTTGCAAACGTTTTATATGATTGTGGGAACAAAAACTCATTTTTTAAATTTTATTATTTATTTATTTTTACTGAATTTGAAAAGAACAGCTACCATTTTCATTGTATTAAAATGCCATCAGAAATGGACCAATAGAAACAGTCCAGAATGACATATATTAGGTAAATATGTACTGACTGGCCACCTCATTAAGAACAACAACTTGTATCTGCACTCGTTGTCTATTTTTCAGCTCCACTTACTATATACGTGCATGCTGCAAGTGGAGCTACGATTAGCCCTTCCTTTAACCTGTTCTTCAATGGTCAGGACCCCCGCTGGACCACCACAGACCAGGTACTATTTGGGTGGTGGATCATTCTCAGCACTGCAGTGACACTGATGTGTGTGTTAGTGTGTGCTGCGCTGTTACGAGTGGATCAGACACAGCAGTGCTGCTGGAGTTTTTAAACACTGTGTCCACTCACTGACTACTCTAATAGACATACACACCTTGTGGTCCGCCTTGTAGATGTAAAGTCAGAGACGATAGCTCATCTGCTGCTGCACAGTTTGTGTTCGTCATCCTCTTGTCCTTCATCGGTGGTTACAGGACGCTGCCCACAGGACGCTGTTGGCTGGATATTTTTGGTTGGTGGACTATTTAGTCCAGCAGTGACACTGAGGTGCTTTTTCAGAGCATATCATGGATATCGTCAGTGCTTAAAGCACACTTAATAATGATGATATTAGCCCTGTATAACTGGACTTAAAAAAAATCACTGAATAAAAATCAGTGTAGTTGCAGGACTTTTATTATTTTTATTATAGTAATTTTTATGTGGCACTACAAGTTCTATTTTGTCTGTTCAATCTCAGAAAAACAAAATATCATGATGCATATTGTGTATTGTGAAAATGTCTTGAATTATTGTGATACAATATTTTTGTCATATCACCATCAACCACGCCACCACCATGTCAGTGTCACTACAGTGCTGAGAATGATCCACCACCCAAATAAATCTTGCTCTGTGAGGGTCCTGTGGGGGTCCTGACCATTGAAGAAGAGGGTAAAAGGGAGCCAACAAAGCTTGCCGAGAAACAGATGGACTACAGTCTGTAATTGCAGAATTATAAAGTACATCTATATGGTAAGTGGAGCTGTTAAAATGGACAAATAGTGTATTTAGTCAAGTGGCTGGTCAGCATATATTGTTCCATTAATTTCCATTCAAAACTAAGTTTTTTTTTTTCCTTCTACTGTCAATGCTCCATTTTTAGAGACATAAGCTTTGCCTCTACAAAAAAACACCCCTGTGTGTGTGCGAGAGAGTCTAACACAGTATAATCACACACCACACAGAAACGTGTGCACACTTGGTGGCACACAATCATTAACCGATTGTTATGCAATTAGACTATTAGCTGAGACTGCACTGAGGTTCGGCACGTGCAGAAGGGGAAACGAAGCGGGAGCTGTGCCGCAGTCCCTGATTTACAAGGAGAGGAATGCTGGATAATTGAATCCGGTTTCCATCTAGGTGCATATGAGACAGAGCCGCATCCTGATTGGAAATAAAGACAGGCATGATTGCAACAAAATTAGACACTGACTCGATCAAAAAAAAAGCCTGCTCTAAGAAAGCCAGTGGTACAGCAGCACTAGATCAGTGTAAGCCAGGCTGGATGATCAGGATCTGGACACAATCCTCAACTTTACAGATATAAAGAAAACCTGACACTGAACTGATAGAAACAGGGGTGCCCAATCTTGCTCCTGGAGATCTACCACCTGCCTCAGATTCCCCTGAAAGCCTTCATTACCTGCATCTTGTGCTAAATTTAAGTTGGAGTTAAACTCCAAAGCAGAGTTGGAGGCCTCCAGGACCAAGATTGGGCACCCCACGATAAAGCAAAGAGCTATAATAACTCTAGAAGCAGCACGCTGTGCTAGAGATGCAGTGATATGGAATGTTGTGACTGGTAACAATAAACCATAATTAACACCAGGGCTCGATTGATATGAGAAATTCTGTGACACAGTTACAGATTTTACAGGGCTGTGATAATATTGGCTGATACAAGTTTATACTTCAATATTTCATTTTTAATTTTATACTAGTATTTTATAACCGTTTACAGTGCATTACTGAATGATTGCCAGCTCTCAAATGAAAATTATGTATGATAGTATTATCAGTTCTCATCATAATAATATACTGTTGTCAGTATAAAACCTTGTATCTCCATTTTTTTGTGCATGGGTTGTTTTATTTTTTGAAAATACCAGCTGCCTTTTACAATGTATTAGAATTTCAATGCAAATGGACTAAAATTATGTGGAAATATATCTTGTTTCATTACCTTCCATTCAAAATTAAGAACATTTTTTCTTTCTCCTGTAAAGTTACAATTTTACAGACGAGGTTCTGTCACGACAGCAAACCACAACAAAAACAATCCATGATAGCATTTTGTGTTCAAATTCACTTGTTCAGCCTGTATTGCTGGGATGGAGTTAAATAGAGAGTGTCTCATATTGGGTTCCACAATGGCACAACCATCTAAGGCAGGGCTGCCCAAAGTGTGGCCTGTGGTTGTAGTGTAATGTTGCCAAATATATTGATTTGAAATGTATCAACCTTTTTTTTTATTTATATATTGTTTTGTTTTTTTTGGCGCTTGGCCCACCACTAAACATTGCACTGTGGCCTCCCAAAACACAGAGGTTTGGGCAACTCTTTGCCCAAAAAAAAAGAAAAAAAAGAAAAATATTAATATGTTTGTAATGTTAATATGTTTGTTTGAAAATTATTAACACCTTGCTGTAGATATCAATACCAATAACTATATATATATATATATATATATATATACACATATATATATATATATATACACATATATATATATACACACATATAATATATATATATAACACACATATATATATATATACACACACACATATATACATATATACACATATATATATATATATATATATATATATATATATATATATATATATATATATATATACATACACACACACACACACACACACACACACACACACACACACACAGAGCTTGATTTTCTCCTTTCTCTCGAAGATGAAAGCTTTAAGTGCTATTTATCTGACAGGGACAGTTTTGGTGGTCTAGCAGGTCTTGCACAGTTGTTAGAAGTCCCATTTTCTCTGTAGCTTTCAATAGTTTTCTTTTTTTTGACTTCTTCCTTCCTTCCTCAAGTGAATTATCTATTGCTATGTATCTAATCTCCTAAGAATTATTTCTTCTAACAAAAACTTGTACTTAATGGCTGTTTTGACTGGAAATTAAATAAATAAAGGATTTTGAACTTTTGCACAGTACTATACAGCAGCCCCATATACTGTACACCCCTACACCGTGCTATGGGAGGCTGAATGAAGTTAGACTGCTGAAGTAAGTTTGGGCAATGTTCACTATGCATAAATGGCTGGGTTGGAGACTCTGCAGTTTTCCTGTATTAAAGACTGTGTGTTCTGATCATTATGGTGTCACTTCATCATTATATTAGCAGAGTAAACTCTTCAACCAGAACTCCCAGAATGTGTGCACTCATTAAAACCAGATACACACTGCTCGGCAGCTCTTTATGTACCTGTAATTAAACTAGCAAATTATTTTTGCTTAATTGGGCCTCAAAAGCGAGAAACACTGCTCAAACGTCAGAGGTGAAGTCTGCTTGATTAATTTTTTGAGCTGCAAATAATAATGGACTCATAAATAACGTTTCAACAAAAACTGCACTTGTGAAAGGGAAAAAATGAAATGGTGAATGCACAAGTAAATTCAATTCACTTAATGTGATTAGTGCCTAGTGTTGCAGAAAAGGAAGAACAGACTGGAACAGACGGAGCAGTACTGTCTGCTTCTGTAACTGACAGGTCGCATTAATGTCTCAGAAAGTTGTGATTCATCACTGAAATACTGGCAGCTCTTTGGCCCACTGTGATCTGATAAGCGACAGTAACCGTAAGCGACAGTGAGGTGGGGACAGGACTGCCCTTTAGGCAAAATCCCCTACATTCAAAAAGATCTAAAACATTGATATGGAATGATGATTTTACAGAGTCATTTCAAGCATGATGGAACTGCACAGTGGACCGCCGTAGAATCGTGGTGGTATATGACCATAAGGCCGCAACTTTTATTGCTATAATAACCTATAGACTATGATTCAATTCATCAGACTAATCTAACTCTTCCACCGATTTTTTTCAAACTTCCCACATAATTAAGACATTAACAGTCATTTAGGGAGGTTTGTTGCGAAATGCTCTGTTCTAAGGCTTCTTCTGCTTGGACTGGTTTAACTACATAAATAAATCTATTACATTATGTTACACCCCACATTAGGTCGTGCCCCACATTCCCCTAAACGACACACTGACAAATATCCACATTTTTTTCTATAATCTCTTGACCTTATCAACTAACTGTTGCAGTCCTACTGACTGCCGTGGCTTGCATCCCAGTGGTTTCATATGCTACCTCTCCTCAGCCCCTTGTCTCAGAGTAACACCTCACGGCGCCCAGTCAGCTGAATTAAAGTGATGGCTCCCAGCACAACACACTGAAAAACACTCATTAATTTTCTCCCTTTGATCACGGTCATTAAAGATGGATGGAGAAGGTGTTTGTTGCATCTCTGCCTGCATCTCCAAAGAGGAAATGAATGTCTCGGAGACAGATCGTCACTAACAACTGCTCACACAATCAGGTGGGGAAGCCAGTGTGTCGGGGTGAAAGTGACAGAGTAAGAGATACTGAGTGAGTGTGGATGTACAGTACTGTGCACTGAGGCACCTTAACAAAAAACAAAACCATTTATCTGGGCAATAAGTCTGCTTTTCCTTTTAAATATACACCATATAACATCACATTAAATAAACAGAAATTCAGTAAAAAATGACAAGAATTTCTTGTTTTCTAAAAAGTAATCTTGTGAGTTGGTTAGAACTCCACAGGTTTGGTTTCTCCTCTATGCTTCCATCGAATAGATCTGTCCAGTTTAATCAGCAGCCTACCTGATTTAATTTAATGAAGCATCGATTAGCCAAACCAGGTACTTACCAGGTAATTACTACTGTGTGTTAATGTATAGCGAACTTGTATAGTACTTGTATAGCGAAGAAGAAAAAAATAAAAAAATAAAAAAACACTTAAATTTAGTTTTTTTTTCCCCCCCTCAGGTACCTTTTGCACAGTACTGTATATGTACCTACAATTGTGTGATACCACCTCTTCTTTTCCAATACTTGTGTCACAATTTCATGATGAAAAGACAAGCAGAAATGTTCTAAAATTACTTTTTACCATGATTAAAAACATGTTATATTAACTTGCTTTACAAATTAAGAACGTCTTTTCCTTCTTCTGTACAGTTACAATTTTGGAGATAAGGTAAGGTTTTGTTTCAACAGTGACAATATATTTACGTCAGGTCTTTAAATAAGCCTTGTGTAATAAAACAAAAAATGAAATAAAAGGTACTTTGACTCAATGTGTGTCGTAGAACAGCAGAGAATGCACGAATGCACATTTCACTGCTGTCAGCTTTTGACATAATTTGAAAATGCCTGTTGCTCTTTACATTGTGCGTAAATTTCATGATGAATGGACCAAAAGAAATGACCCAAAATGACTTGGAAAAAAGTCTGGTTCCATAGACTTACATTAAAAGTAAAGCAGGTTTTTTTTCTTTTCCTGTGAAGTTATCATTCTGGAGATATGAGGTTTTTCCAACAACAGCGATTTGCAAACGTATATGTAGTCACAAACTGTACGTATATCACATAAAGGTGTGTATATGAGGTAAAACATAGCACTACACAGCTAGCACAGTTTCATATGAACAGCTTTATATGACAAAAATCATAAACTTCATGAACTTGAAAAACAAGTCCCCTCCCTACTAGCTACTTACTGTTCTTATTTTAACATCAGGTTATGAGGCGACTGTTATCATGGGACTTCATTTACATCTCTGTATATTTTGTTGTCCTATTTCAGAGTAGATGCATTATACAATCGAATCAGATCCATTTTTTTCCTCCGAAACCCAGCATTTTCTGCTCATACTGGCCAAAACTTGTACAGGGATCACAGTCAGGACACAAGCAGATGATATCACACCTTATATGGCAACATCTACGCTGTTCATAAAAATATTTTAAACAAACAAGATGACAAACTTGTGTAGTGTGAGCAGATTCTGAATTACCGTTCTGCATGTCAACTGATGGAGTGATAAATGACATTTTCTCATAATCACTGAATCAATCAAACTTACAGATCAGCTCTTATGCTAGCTGCACCCAATATAACAATGTTAAGCCTTCTGGGCTTTTGTTGTTTATTCAATTTAAAACATATTGAAATGCTGTTCATTTAAAAATAAAGATATTCAAACAGCAAGTGTATCTTGAGAGATTGAGACAGAATATAATTAAGTCAGTGGATCTCACCTTCGGAATTTGTCTCTCATCTTCTCCAGATCATCTCTGGTTCGGCCCATCTCTGCCTGCATGTAGTGACGACTCGTCTCAAACTCTGTCTCTATGGCCTCCATTTTGTGAGTGGTTTGAGTCAGGCGCCGACGCAGGTCTTCATTTTGCTGTTGCAAGATTCTGGAAAATGCATAAAAAAACATTAATTCAGAAGAAAATAAAAAATAAAACATTTTTTGTTCACTAGAAGAGACTACATTTCCTAAGCACCAAGTTTGAGCCATACAGCCTGTAGTTAAGTATCGGTTTCAAGGTTTTTTAGTCCGACCAGCTCTAGAAGTTCACAGCAGAATATTGTGCCTCACACAGAGGAGCACAACACAAACATGTTCAGAAAATGAACATTACGTTAAACAAAAAGCTAAACAGGCAAAAACATTTGCGTAAAAGCCGAGCTCTGTGACTAAACACCACCCGCTGGTGAAACATTAAGAGTGTGGGTGTTGATAGACTCAAGTGTCAGTTGCGCAGGTATGTGCATATTTGAACAGCAGGCAGAGAAAGACTCTGCGATAACACGGCACTGAGAACACTATGCTTGGGGAGCAGTTGGTTATATGTTGAGGGGACAAGGGCAGCTGTCAGGAGACACAATACATCTGCTCCATGCCACAAGCTTCTCTGCCCAGTTCCCTCACTACACTGCACCGGCTCTCAGCAGACGCTGCATTTACACTGACCCAACTTCCATCAACCCTCTCCTTTCCAATTACACTATACAGTAGGCCAGTTTATTAAGTACAGTTGCCTTGTATCTACCCTCTGGGCATTTTATCATATATCCCATAGAATTATGAACACTCCTGGCCACCCTCTACAGAGAACAAACTGATTCTGTAGATATACTTCTGTAATTGTCTGTGCATAACTTCTATTTATTTGCTCAGTTTAACATATTGGAAAAAATGACACGTAAAATAAACTTTTACACAGGCCACATTTTATTTTCCCAATATGTTAAATTCAGCAACAAAACAGTAACTGTACTTAATATGTGCAGAAGTGTGTTCTCTGTAGAGGATGTGTACTAGCTTCATGTTGCCACTACCCAGCTTGATATTATTGAATACTGCGATCATTTAAATAAGGGCAAACATTATTCAATATTACTCATGTATTGTTCTCTTTCACATGCTACATTATTAATTTATAGCTGTATCTTTACTTAACCATTGTACAATCACTCTAATCTATGTTCAGTTCAAAATGTATACAACAGACGACAACAGGATGCACAAACAGAACATTAACTAATTAACTACACGCATACATACCTTGAACGCAACTTAGAAAGATAACAGATTGTCAAGCAATGCAAACGCAAATGAAATAAAGAAACTCTGTTATATGAGATCGACTGGAGAGAGTAAAATGAACAAGCATCTCCAGAAGAAGAGTGCCAGCACTCCAGTTCGGCAATATTTCGTTTTACAACTAAGTGAACAGTGCACATTAACAGCGTTACATGCTATCCGTGCAGAATATAGTTACCATTATAAATTATTAAGTAATACTGGAGGCTAGCCCTGTCGGCAATTATGTGGTCATTTTATCAACATCAGGGAAAATGCAATCTATAGGTGAGGCTCTCACCTCACATGTGGTACTTTAAATTCAGATCACTATGCACAATTTATCAGCCCTCCTTGCCCACTGATCAATTCAAAAGGACCACCACTGGATAATTGGCCAGATATTATTTGGACCATTTGGAGACTCACACTGTTGAGCTCAAATAATATCTGTTCAGTCAAATCCGGAGCTCCCAATCTCAGTCCTGTATTTTCTCCCCCTATACCCCCTGACCCAGCCCATGAGGAGCTTGTTAATTGGGTAAGGAGCTGAATCAGGTTTGCTCGATGAGACAACGGCCCAAAAATCTGCTTATTGTGGGGTCATCAGGACTGAGACTGGGAACCCCTAACCCAAATAACACCTGGTCAGAAGAGGTCCTTTGGTGGCCCATCCCATTAATGGACGGGGTAGAGGGGGGCTCATAAACCCAGCAACAGACGGTCTACAGTCAGAAATTTAACAAGGTAACACTTTACTTGAATCCTGCTACATAATATAAACATAATCATGCCATAAAACTGTCACAGCAGATGTCCTATGCTGTCATTAGTTGCCACGACAGATTATGTCCAGTAATATAACAGTGACATGTTACCATTACCACTGACTGACACCATTTTTGATGTCATGAAGGCTAACTAGGACCAACATAGGGCTGTCATAACATGAAGATCCAGTCTGACTTAAGCAGTAGTGCAACGTTAACTGCCTACTGACACCACTGAGGCAACGTCAGGTGTTGGGTCAGGATGGCCAGACTATGATGTTGCAAAATGACTTCCTCACCGCTCTCCCCATTCACGGCACGGATCGATTGGGGAGATTTTTTGGCACCCCACAGCCTGCAGACACTAAATTTTTAATTGATGCTGGCTCCTGACGTTCCCTAAGCGCACCACCAGACCTCTCCTGCTCACTCCGTAGCCTCTCCTACAGCGCAGAGTTAAAGCGAGCAAATATCTCACACATGGGCATGCATGCTCACGCATCTGCCAAGCAGTACAGCTGAAAGTAAAAGCACAGCAAAAGAAAAGGGACATCAATGATTCATGCTATAGTTGGAGGGGCAGGAGCTTGTTTTAGGCTATAAATACACCTGTACAATTTTCTCTTTTCAAAGCAATTCGCTTGTTCGAAGGTACACATTCAGCACACAAATCTCAGGGCACAAGAATTGAAGAAAAAGACAGAATAGCTTGACCACAGCAGGCCCAGACTGTGTGTAATTGCTTCAAGGCTACAGGAAAATGGATCTGACACAAGGGGACACTGAGATTCTCACCATGAGGTAAGAAGTGGGGGTGTGCGTCGACAGGCACATGGGAAAAGTACGCAAGATAAGAGATGATAGACATTTCCACCCTCTCTGAGGGCAACAGCAAAAAGCTTGAGTGGATAAGGCACTTGCTGAAAGCCGTGATTAGAAGATGGAGTTTAGCATGCATTAAACGCTTTTCTCTGTAGCGCTAGAAAAGGAACCTGCAGTAGAAGAGGAAGTGAAAATGTTTTAGAAAGAAACTGCTTTTGAAAATGCATCAACAGCCTGATCTGGTTTGTTCAAAAACGTGTTAAAAAATGTTTACAATTCCAGAAATTATTTTTTTTCCTTCTGCAGGTTTCTGCCAAATCTGGTCCCAACAGAGTACTGAGAAATCCCTTAATAACAGGGACCAAAAACATGGCCAAGATAGTATTTACAAGCGAATTAGGGTGGTTTAATTCGGTCTCCAATAATAGAAAGTTTAATTTTGCCATTCCTGCAAATATCTGGTGAAGCACTGACCACAGAGCTTTGTCAATGTTTCAGTTCCCACCGCACATTAGGAAGCATCTAGGCCAATCAATGAAGCTGCCAGTGCCACCATGACACACGCTTCCGCTCTACGTCACTGGGGAGACCTACGTCTGGTTCATTCAGCCTGATTGAAAAGCACGTGCGAGAAGAGGACCACCCTGTTTTATTCAACAAATGCTGCTAATTCCCACCAGGAGCTAAATAATTCAATCAAGTATACAGCACAATGAAAAGTCTCCAGGTGAAAGTGTATTGAATAATCAGCAAAACAATGCATTACAATACAGAAAACACACTAACCACCCTCTCACAGAGCTCCCACTGTTTGTTTCAGACCTGTGGGAACACTGTAGCACATATGCACAATACAGATAGAAAATGATAGTGAAAGAACAGCCAGAGCAGGACAATATTGAAATGTCCAGCAAGCAGAACAAAAGACTGAAGCACAAGTATCTGGCTGTGTGGCAAATCAACCAAGTGTACAGAGTGTTAGGTCATCATTATCTGCATGGCTCCGTCAGTGGCAGTGCCTCTCAGACTGTAGCAGCAGGCTCTCCCAGGAGAAGAGCAGCAGCGGCCAATGAGACAGCAAAGATCACAGAAAAGCACAGCGAGTCCTAACACACTTAAAGCCCGGGATGATGAAACGAGTAAAGAGGGTGAAATGAGTGCTGATCGGACTGATCCGCTTAACCCTGTCTCTTCAGGACATCACCTGTCTGACAACTACCCTGCCCCTTCCAAAAATCACTCTCCCTACCAGCAGCTTCACACCAGGCTCGCCGGTCTTCACCCTGCTGCCTGAGACACGCTCATGCGCCTGGCACCAAGCAGCCGGGGACCCGAGACAGCTTGCCTGTGTTTGACTAGCTACGTCATGCTGACAAACACTGCAGGGTCATATGATCCCAGTAAGTCACACATTATTTGGCCAGCACACTAAAACATAACTAAAAATAAATCTCATGAATTATGCAAAGCCCATAAAAACCAACACAGAAATGCACACACTGCAGGCTTCCACCCAACATGAAGACACAATGACATTTTAGCTCGTGTGTATTCCTATTAGAGTATAGAAAAAAAAACAATACTTACTTGATTTTGTCCGCATCTGATAAGGACTCCTGTTAAAAAGAAAAAAAAAAAATGAACATTAGTTTAAACATACTGATTTTCTAAATTCTATGTACTTAAAACATTAGTCACAAAGCACATGGTTTTCATCAATAATTCTTCCATCTTTATAGCTATCTTTAGTAAAGTACACACATGCTCTCTCTCGTCTTCTAAAAACATTGATCGTCTGTCAGCCAGTCATTATACCCACATCTTTAATTAGCTTCTGCTGCACAATTTTGTCTCTCTGATAATTGAAAGTAATGATTAGGAGCTAAACAGTAATTAAGAGATAAGGAACTGCTTACACTTGAATAACCTGATATTGCCATTTGCAATTAAGAACAAATAGCTTGTAAAGCAGATCTAGGAAACAGAAAAAAAAGGAAATTAACAAGAACTTTGAGATATTCCTCATATATAAATGACAAAAGTATTTGTTGCTAACACTTTACTGAAGGGCAGCATTCACAAGGCTACATGATACCTACACAAGCCTTTCGAAACAAGGGACAAATGTACATACGCATTTATAAATGCTTAAAAAGAAAAACTAAAGAAGTATTCAAAATGCATATATATACTTAGGCATGTTATGGTCTGTTTAGATAGTTAATTTAGATTAGTTACATGCCAAATATATACAAAATCATCATTTATAGGGTATTTTCTATTTGCAGGTTTCTGTCCCAATCCCTAAGGCCTAAATTTTAACTTGTGATACTTAACTTTTTGTGCACTGTCTTCTAAAGTTGTTTTTAAAAAAGATCTTTCTAATTCCTTTTAAAGTTGAAATATTTAGATTATATATTATATTATATAATATTTAAATTTACCAAATAAAAATGTTCCACGTTTTCTTGTCATTACCAAAACACAGAGAGCTTTAGTCTGTAGGCGGACCATTATTTTAGCGACAGTGAGACTGCATGCCTGTCCCTCATGATCACATGGTGAGCAGTTAGAACCGACTGTTTCGAAGTAAAAGTATCCAAAAATCTATGTAACCTTTAGAATTTTCACTACTGAAACACATTTTCTGCAATTAAATCATCCTTTTTTGTTTAAATGAAAAGTGTTATGATTTTTTGTGTGAACAACTGTTCAAAGCTGGGTTTACTAGTCTTGTACTTTTTGAGAGTGTTTCGGAGTTATTTCAGAGGAAAACTATTTTAGTCTAAAGTCCAAGTCTGTTAAAAGAAATGTGTTCTTAACTCTAACTTCGAACCAATTCGGTAGAATGATTCATATAGGTTTTTGTCAGTTGTCATAAAAGGCTTACATAGGTGTCATGTAGCCTTATGAACGCTGCCCTTCAGTAAAGAGTCAGCATTAGCTGAGAGTAGTGTTTCTTAATCCGGATCCTAGCAGCCAACAGCCCAGCACCTCTAATAACCAAGTCCTTCATGAGCTGGATCAAGCGTGTTGGGGGAGTAGGGAATAGGTGACACTGCACAGGGCTGTAGATCTCCAGGAGCAGGATTAAGAAACAACAGCAAAAGGAATATAAAGGGTTAACTGGTACTTTACATGACGGCAGTGCACAAGTCAACCGCTCTTCTGCAAGCTAAAATCTATCATATCCAAATAAGCTGCAAATACTACTGGTAACATTCTGTTCTACTACCATACAAAACCATCATTTTTTTTAATTTCATTAAAAACACACTAAAGAAAAATAACCGAAGCATCACTTCATAAGAAACTGAACAAGAGGTGATACAATTCAAATGAGGCAATCATGAATTTTAGGGCTGGAAAGGGAAGAGAACTGTGGAAAGGAAAGGGAACTGAAATGTACTCCAATGCATCTGGAGCAAGACCCGAGCAGAGTTGGACGGTGTAGTGGCCAACGAACACTTTTGTGGACAATCCGTGATAGGAAGTTGTGGGGGGGATTAAAAAGTGCACATAATAAAAAGCTTGGCACACATACCTTAATCTGAGATAAAACAGAAAAAGAAGTTGATGCTGGCATGTTTTCACTCTCCATGTGAGTTGCAGAGATGCCAACCTTTGGTGGCCCTAATCTATCCATGGTATTCTTTGGCTGAGCTCTCATCTCCAACCGGGTTGACTGGTGGGGCGGAGGTTGATGTTGAGCCCCCCGTCGATTCCTGCCATCCCATTCTGTTTCACTGCCGCGCCTGGAGTCGCAACTACCCCCTATCCGAGCATAAACCGGACCCTCCGCCTTAGGTCGAGCCCCCTCCCTGTTGGGGTCCATATGCCGTTTGTCTGGCTCCTGTTCCAGACTGTCCTTTTTCAAAGGAATCTGCCACGTCTTGGGCCTGCCTTCCCTCTCATTCTTTGCTGGTCTGCTGTGCTGAGCAGCCCAGTGGTCCCAGGGTCGGTTCCTCTCCTGCTTCTTCTCTGGAGGGAGTTTGGGATCAGTTTGCTGGGATGGAATCTGCTGCTGGGACTGCGTACATCTGGAAGGTTCCAGCTTCTTGCCACCCAGCATCTTTAAACTAGCAGGGCTCAGAACTCTGTACGTGATCTCATCTAAGAACTGTGAGAACTTGAGCTTCTCCTCCAGGAGCCGGATCTTCCATTCTGGTGGCACAGAACTGGGTGAGGCAGAAGATGTGGAGGCAGCACGTCCGGGAGGAGACATTCCTGGCTCCCTCTCCCGGTCCAGGGACATGCTCTTCGGCTTCCTACTGCGACCACAACTGTGGCTCTGTCCCAACATCTCTGCTGACCTAGACTTGCGAAGGCTGTCACTGGAGTGGACTCCCAGCTGGTGTGGCTGCTTGAGAATACCCTTGGGTGGATGGGCCGGTGTTGGGAAAACAGATTTAGGGATATGATTCTCTAGTTTGGGAGCAAGAATCTCTGCCTGCTCTTTGAAAACCAAGGAGCGCTCTCCGCTTCGGCTAGAGTGGGACGGCGAACTGCCACGAATACACTGCTGCGACCCCTCTGAGGTAGGAGGGTCCTCTTCACCGGACAACGTCAGGAGGTCCTCGCTACGGCTGATAAACCGGTTCATGCCCTTCTGCTGCTTGTGAGGGAGGTCCATTTTAAGAGCACCATGGCTGAATATCCGTGGAGGAGGGAGGACAGTGACCTCCAAGCTAGAGAGACTAGAGACATCCAGTTCGCTGTCTGAGGCTAACGACCATGATGATGAGAAAACATCGGAGGCCTCTGGACTGTCCAGGCACTTTGGGTAAGGTCCAGTAAAGTGAGTGCGCTGCAAAATGGGAGAATGTTTTTGGAGGTAAATTACCTGGCTGGGATCAGGCTGTGCTGGTAGCGAAGGGTTGCCAGTTGCTGGGTTACTCCCGCTAAGGTCATCCCGGAACACGGGCAAGCTGTGGCGCGTCTCACGGTGTTGCGGAGGCGCCTTACGGTACGGCTTCCGGGCTGGGGCGGTGCTCGTCATCCTGGGAGCTCAGCGTCCGTCCAAACACTGTCTGTTAGTCCTGCCAAGAGAAAAGCATGAGGAATGGCAGAAGCACCAGCCCTGAGTCCTGCCCTGTGTAAAAAGACCGCTCAGTTTCTCTGCACTCGCTTTCCCCTGACTCCCTACCTCCACCTCCCCAAGCGACTGCCATGAAAAAGCAGTTTGAATCAATAGGCTTTGATGAATGCAGCAGCACTGGGCAGTAACCAAACAAAAAAAAAGGCAGACCGTCAGAGCTTGGGGAAGGGAGGGAGGGGCATGCCACTTCAAATAACCATCAAACATCTGTCAATGCTTATGTTGTGGTGTAGAGTGCTTTTCAAATATCTGTCTCTGGAGTGCACAGACTGAGAGTGTGTGTGATGTAAAGGAAGAAGGACAGTAGGATGTAAGCCTTGTGAGAGACAGAAGGGAGGAAAAAGGCACCGATAGAGATTGAAAATCGGTGAGGAGAAGGAAGAAGTGGGCACACCCTCAAGGCAGCAATTGATTACAATCTGGAGTGTGTTTCGAATAGGCAAACTGTTGAACATCTGCTTGCTGCCTGACTGCATGACTCTCATTGATCACAGCAGGCTAACTTTAGAACAGGAAAACTCAGAACCTGATTTCATTGTGAACACCCATTGACACAGGGCTGACCCCTTGCTCAAAGGTCAATCTTTTAAATGTCGCTCTTAGTGGTGTACTGATACGGGAATTCTGGGCTGATGCCGATATACGATATTTTTCATGTATATGTCTGTTGATGCCGATACCTAAGCAGTCATAAAACGCAGGGACTGAAGGTACATCAATTAGCATTATAGAAAAATGTAACCCTTCTTTGCAAAGGATTATCAACGCAGTAAAATAAACAGAACGCAGACAAGCAGATGCCATGAAATACTGGTTTGAAAGACTAATCAAGTCTAAACATCTGTCCAACGCCGATTATCTTTTTTTTAAAGAAAATATCCACTGATAGCATTGAGACTCAATTACCACTGTTTATCCCTAGTAAATTTATTTAAATTTCCCTTTACAGAGCAATAACCCTGAACAAACCTCCACAAAATAGGTAATGTAGGTAATACTCCACAAAAAAAAATGGACTAGCAACTACCGATATGGACAGAACCACATGTTGTAAAAATAATCTTGCTGTAAAAATGTTATAAAAAACACTCTTTGCCAGCACTACGACCTGGCTAGAGAGTACTGGCTCACTTTTATAGCTAAAATGGTTTTAGATCACTTTCAATATCATGCTACCAACAACTGTCAGGGGCACTATGAACATCTTGCCCAGAAGCAGCCAAAAGCTCCTACAGATTTCTCTACTGCTTTGGTGCAGCCACACCTGACTGATGAGCAAAGTTCTTCCTTGGCATTCTTTAATTAATTACTTAACACATTAACCAAATGCTCTAAAACGTCACTTTTTAATTATCTGGGAAAATTCTCCTTATCTGGGAAGAATACAAACAATTATGGATTTGGGTTCTCAGCCTAACCGGGAAAAGATCTGGACTAATCCGAATATGTCTTCTAAATGTCCTGCTCACCCTTTGATACATTATAAGATGATCGATCCATCAAGCACATAACGTACCTTATATGAGATATAACACCATAGCCAACATTGAAATCACTGTCAACACTCCACGGGTACTTTTCTGCATGTGTTTTTGTGGTGCCCAACCATTAGCTAACTTCTGGAAAAAGTTTTTCAAATGTTTATTGGCATTAGTCTCAAACCAGACCTTTGACCTATTAAATAATGATGTTATTGTTGTTATTATTGTATGTTATGTTATTCTGCAATTTTGGTTCAAAACAACTGAACTAAATGCTTACAGGACATGATCTTACTTGAGGAAACCTCTACTAGATTAACACCGAACAAAGCCAAAATATCCACTAATGAGTCATGGAAGGGAATTTCCATAGTCATAATAAAGAATTTAAATTCTAATCGACTTGACTTGCATAAAAGATTGATGCTCTTGCATGATCTCTGTCAGGAAATTGCAATCCCATCCCCACCCCCTGTTTTTTCCATTATCAGTGTCTACAGTCATGTATCCCTGTGTTTGTGTAATGTTTGTTTAAAAAAATGAAAAATTTATAACAGGAAGAGAAATCTATTTCAAGAGAACCTACTCAGTAATAAAACGGGAGCGACAAACTGGGAATATGCTGGTGTGTCACTGCATTCCACCACTGAAAAAAATCAATTGCATTCCCATGCAGGGCTGCTAATGTGCCAGGGAGGAGTTCCGGGACACACAAACACAAACACACAAACACACAAACACACACACACACACACACACACACACACACACACACACAGAGGCTCAAATGCACCGCTGTCCAAACGTGTCGCTGTGCTAAATACTAACTGGCTCTGAACTGATGTCATTTGCTATGTTCCACTACAAAACACCCACACAAACAACACAAGACAGCAATGGGAGCTGCAGCAGACAACAGCAAACTGGTACTCTACAGTCTTACTAGGTCAAGTAAGGAGCTGTAACATTTGTACTGCTTTTAACCCCCATCACAAGAACCACACTCGACAACACATGTACTCGCAGGAATGTTCAGGTTTTATCTAAGCAAACAAGAATTAATTTGTTCGAAGGCTCGGGATGTGACGAGGTTTGGGTTTGTCCACCATTTACAAATCAAATCCTGAGTAATCTGGTGAAATATTCACCTTTTTGTCCTGCCCAAACTAGGCCAGGTTGACTCTGACTTCCCTGTAGCCAATGGAACATTCATTCAGTGAGCAAATGAATTTTTTGGGGACTGAGGTGGCTTATCTTTAAGATTATGTGCCTTTGTGTGTGAATTTCACAAACATCTAAACCACAAAGTCTCTGTGTCACACAAGTTTGGCAAGAACATGTCTGTGAAAATACATTTTGTGAGTATAAGTATGAGAAAAGGTGAAAAAAAAAAAAACATTTAGATGACTTCCTTACGTGTTACAAGGACATCTAATTTTAATTTCAACAACTAAAGGAAAACTTTTATTCTTGAGTGATTTACCAAAATTTTAGCCATTAAAAACGTCTTAAAGAGAAAAAAAAGCTAGGGAAAAAACAAAAACAAATAAAAATATATTAATTAGGCCTATAATTAAGTGTCAAGAATCTGCAAATAATTTTAATGGTAATGAAAATTTGAAATTGTGATTAAAACCGCTGTTTGCTCTCTTCGCTCTCCTGACCCGATCTACAGACGCGTTCAAACAGTTTGAGCAGTAGCAGATCAACAGTGAAGGTTTTGGCCATGTGGAACTATTTAACAGTTTCTATGAATGATATCACACAAGTGATTTTAATCTCTGTTCACAAGGAGTATAAACAGGAAGAACACCACCCAAGAACTTCTCCACTACAGGTTTAATGTCACTTGAAAACATGATCCCACTTGATGCACAGAAACAGCAACAACCGAAGCAGAAAAGAAAGTCCCTGCAAGTCTGTCAAGGCAATTTGAATCCTCGGTTTTGAAAATAATGAACTAAATTCACAAACGACAGCGCTAAATCATTTTAGTGATCATTCGTTGTCATTTACTTTTAGTTCAATTTTGTCTTATTGAAAAGACATTCAAATGGGAATTTATTTACTAAAACAACAAGAAATAAACGCAATTTTTTTTTCATTATTTTTTTACATTTGTATGCAAAAATGCAAAACTTTAGGCACTCCTTGGTGAAATTATGTTTTGTTGTTAAAATGCAACGTCATTGGATGGCTCAACATGCCTGGAAGGAAAATTCTGTTACATCAGCTAACAGAAAACAATTTTGGCAACACAGCGCTGCGTGATAAAGGAGAGGGAGGCCAACCTACCCGTCCAGAGAGAGCGGGAACGATTATGCTCCAATGGATGGCTGTGGCATAGTCAGGGATCAAAACCCTGCTCTCCTAACGAAAGGGCCAACAGTTGCGCCACTCATGAACATGTTTTGTTGAAATAAAAGTACATACACTCTGCAGCAGTGGTCCCCAAACTATTCACAGTTTCATAGCCCCTCAGACATTAAACATCCTGCTGCGTACACCCCTCACTCTTTGGCCCAATCCCATTTCACCCCTTGCCCCTACCACTTAGCCCTTAGCCCTCTGTTTTGCGTGTTCATGTCTAGAGTTAGGGCGTCCCAATTTTTCTTGAGATAGAGGGGTAGGGCGAAGTGTTAGGGCTACATGGCCCTCCAAACGGAGGTTTTTCAGAGACACTCCAAACAGAGTGTTATGAGAAAAACAGAAAAACCGGCAAGATGGCTGCATGAGCGACCAAAGAAACCCACAAATGTGAGAATTTTCTCCGTTAAAAAAATTACGATAACCATTATATTATCTTAGTTTAATGTTGTTTCAATGTATTATGGCCGTTTCTTCATAACAAGCATAAAAAAAATTGCTAATATTATGCTAATGTCTCAGTAGCTAGCTAGCTAATTTTCCCCGTTCCACCTTAAATAGTCCTGCAGCATTGACGCCTCAAGCGCTAGAATGTAACTGCTGCACCATTTAAGACGGAATGGGAAAATTCAAACAAAAACCTGGTGACTTCAGCTTCGTACCACCAAAGAATTAACGGTGGGCGATAATAAATAGTTGTCCCCCTCTTTGAAAGCATATGATGCCCTAAATGTAACTAAAGCCCAGCAGAGAGGAGCTGAACTTTTCCCTTCTCTGCTATCACTGAAGTCGGGCCGGGTTGCCTACAGAGCAGCGCTAGTAGCTGTTAATGAAGTAATGTATTTGAGGGTTGTCCCATTTCATAGGGCAAGATTTCAACCACTACCCCTTGTAACTCTGTTCCAAGGGGTTAGGGTGACACTCGAAAACAAAGGGTAGGGGTAAAAAGAAGAAATGGGATCAGGCCTTTATATATACACACTCACACACACACACACACACACACACACACACACACACGCACACGCACGTATATTGCCATGATGCATATGTGCAACATTTTGACTTATAAAATCAATCCACCCTAATACTTATATATTTTGATGATGCAATGACAACAGAGCAGATGTACACTCTCAAAAAAAAGATACTGAACTGCCACTGGGGTGGTGCTCACAGGGAAACATATTCATCTTTAAGAAGGAAACATAATTTTGGCATATTCAATTGCAATTATCTATTTTTTTTAGACATTTCACTGATTCCATATTATCCATCTTTACTACAGGCTTATTACTTTATTTTTTATTATGAAATATTAGGTTACAAAAAGATACCAATTTGTTGCCTGCACATTCTCCACCCTTACTCCAGACTGTTTAAGTTTTTATTTTAAAATATTAGGTGATATAAAGGTACAAATGTGACCTTTTCCCCTGGGAAAGTGAATGTAGTGCACCTATAAACCTCATTTAAGGTACACAATTAAGCCTTAAGACAACTACTGTGCTTCAGAGGGTATATTTACATTGTTTGTACCTTGGTGGACAAATGTGTACTCATACAGTACCTTTTTCTGACAGTGTACAACAGACATTTAGTTAAATGGTTACCTTAAAATAAATAATCCTTCATAAATAAACGATGTTAGGGATGTTTCTGTATGACTGTATTCTAGGTGTGCGTCACTGCGGTTCCTGTCAGAGCTCAGGGAGGCAGAGGACTGTACTTACATTAATAATCATAAAGGCTGTAGCATCAATATCAATAAAAGAGAGTCTGCGGCTGTAAAAAAAAAAGAACAGGGGGTAACAAAATGTTCACTAACCTGAGCCACAGATCGAGTGTGTCACAGTAACATCGACAGCTCAGCATTTAACAGCACTACAAACATGAAGCAGTGCTACAAACATGCCAACAAAATGCTCAGAGCAGCTACAAACTAATCGCTCACTACAACCATGAACTAAACCTCGTCTGTGAAAGTGAAACTAACTCAAATCATATCAAATCATACAGGCCTTAACAGCACTCAGTAAAGGATACTCACTTCATTCACGCACACAACAACCCACAATAAACAATGATCTATTGTTAGTTTCTCTTGATTGTGCAGTGCTCAGAAGAGGCTGGAGTGAAACATTTTCATCTCTAACACAACCTTTTATAATAAAGGAGCAAAATACCAAACTATTAGAGCTCGGGTTTGCTATGTGCCGGAAGGTGTTTGTGCAGCTTGTATCGGTGAAGCACCTACGTAAGTGTGTGGCCGGCTGATTAAATGAAATTTAATGAAAATTAATATTGGAATTTTTCAAGTATCTTCAATGTTACTCAAGGTACCCCCAGGGGTACAAACACACAGCACAGTCTAGTAAGCACTGCTCTACAGAGAACACTCCTGCACATTTAAATGCACAGCTGCTGTTTATTTGCTGAATTTAACAAATCGAAAAAAAATACAACATAAAATGTGGCTTGTGAAAAAGTTATGGTACATTTTATATTTTTTCTCCAATATGTTAAACTCAGCAAATATATAGAAACTGTGCACTAAAGATGTTGTATTTATACGTGTTCTCCATAAAGGATGTTTTAACTTATTTTCACTCAAAAAACCAATAAAATGTGTTATTTGACTGGAGGTGTACAAAATTTTGCATAATACTGTACTTAATCTGCCAACCATTCTGTATTAGAAAATCAATAATCTGTTATGCTTTGCCTCATTATAACCAACAGGAGTCTCTGTATCCACACCATTCCACAGTCCACGTTTTGGCCCTCTTTTAGTTGCAGGATGTTCATGTACGTGAATGCCATTATTATAAGAGGCAATTAAGGGCTTCGCTTTCGCCACCTAAAGCTCTGTAAGCTTTTACAGAAGCACTACACCTCTTGTTTGTCACAGCAGAGGCAGTGAATGGCATGACTTTTTGTGTGTGTGTTTGGGGGAAGGGCTACGTTTCACTGGACTTACAGTAGCAGAGCAGAGCATGGCCAGGCCTTGGACTCCACTGCCAACAGCGAAGAGAACTGTTACAGCATGTGGCCTTCACATACACATGCCCACACAGGAGCTGCAGTCCTATAATGGAGTGCACTTAGTTTTTCATTGCTGGGGAATTTGACATTTTAATTGCAGACGGATTTTGATTCAGATTCTGTAATTACTTTTTTTTTCCTCTAGTTTACTCCTACTGTTGATTTTCACATGGATTAGGCAGGTCTCTCTAAGCAAATTCATCAAAAATGAAGAGATGTTCTCGTCAGTGTAATATCCACACTGTGCAAAATGAGAAAATATTCACCATCACGCAAAAGGCGTTAGAAGAGAATTTTTATAGACTTTATAGACTAAATTTTCTGCATAATTAAACAGTCAAGATGTAAACCAAGTCATCCAGAGTGGCTTGATGTGAAAATCTCAGTATTAGAGGAACCTATTGGGCCAGGATTGTCCACAGTGGGGATGACAGGAAAATAATCGGAATGTCTTTGTTTATATCTCAATAAATTAATTATACAAACTTCTTCAAAAGTAGACTTCCCCTTTAACACTTGGAAGGATCATAAAGACAGATTATCAATCAAGTCATGAACAAAATTAACATTCGGCTACAGTCAGCTTTGTTTTGACAGCAACTATATTGGCTGTATGGCAGTCCTTTGCATTAGATGAGCTAAAAGCTCACACATTCTGTATGTGAGCCGAGAGGCTCAGGTTACATCGACCTGCGAGGGCTGCCTGAAATGTTCCAAAGAGATCACTAACATGATGCCCAGTGCTGCCAATCCACAAGCTTCCTTTTAGTGACTCCCTCCTCTTGCCGTCAGAGCCCATTCCCCACTCTCTAATGACCACTCTTTCCGATGCCAGAGGTCCGGCACCAACCACTGCAGTCTGCTTCACTAAATATCAAGCCTATGACAGAGGACGCTAGTCCTAATGCCATGAGGGAAAAAACAGCAAAATAGCAAGACTGTTGGAAAAAGCTATAAGAAGGCAGATATATTAGTTATAGGGCTGTCTGTAAAAATGGGTCTCAGACATAAGTACTAATGCAGAGTCTCCAAATCTCTATGTAAGATGTTCTATACTTGCAGTAAAATGCAAGACTGAAGAAGTAATCCAGTACATCTGGTGGTGAAGAATGTATATAATTTTACAGCTAATTAAAGTGACTCAAATATCAACACGGTTCAAAACCATCCCTTTTCCTTAGTGACTAGTATCTTCCCCACTTGAAGGGCAGGTGCAATCACAGCAGTCTAAAATGTGGCGCTCTCTTTCATCAGGGAGATGCAGCATCTTTCTGCTCAAACTGTCTGCATCATCCTGTCATTAAGGAAACAACTGGGTTTCACTGGGGAGCCCAACTGAGAGCGATGGGTTTGGCCAATTAAGGCTATTTCTGGAGGCTGCCACTCCCAGCAATCCACAAGCCAATGGTGAATGCACACAACAAACTTTTAATTGGCTCTTCCTTCTAAATAATGAGCGTACCAAAAACGGAGATGGTGTCTCTGCGATGTCCTCATTCAGTTGTAGTCAGGCCCAGGGCATTCTGAAACACAAACAGTGGCCAAGAGGAGTCAAATATGACATTCTACACAGATGGACATAGTACATAAAAATTGTATGAATTAGGAAAAAGCAAAGACTGTTAGTTTAGTTTTATTGTAAACAACATCCATAAAATGTGTAAGAAATTAAAACATTTACAATTTCTCCTGTACATGTATCGATCTCAATCTCCTGATACAAGGGATGTAATAAAAGGCAAATAAAAATGACAGTTAATTCATGCTGTTTTGTATTAGAGGGTAAATTTTCCAGAGAGAAAGCTGTCAAAAAGGCAGAAAAACATGACGTGGTATACGTCCTTGGTCTTGTGCTTGCAAGCAGTGCCTCCTCAGCTGTTCAGTTCATATTTCCTGTTTAATGACCAGACAGTGGCAGTTCTTCCGAAATGCAAACTGAGCAAGTTGCATACGTGTCTCTGCGATGACAAGAGTGACATCATATACTGTATAGTTATTTATTACATAAGCTAATTATAGATTTCTAAACAGCGCAGGATACCCCAAAAGGCCAAAGCAATTTGTTATGTTCGGCCAAACTGTAACAATGAGCCATGTTATTCTTCTGGCATCCATACAGACATAATAGCAGAAATCTTAACAGGTCAGATTTAAAACACTGCTAACCGTGAGGGGCTGAAAAACGACAAAAAGAAGAGCCGACAGTGAGACGAGATAAAAAGATGCAGGAAGCTACATGCTGCATTGCTCATATGAGTCATCATTAAAGTGTGAACACGGGAACAAAATCGTTTGAAAAAATCTGCTTGTTGCAGCTCACGGGATGACTATGCTAGCTAACGTTCTACGATTGGGTTTATCTGAAATAGCTCCAACATCCATAGGTAGTGTGTTACATAAGTAAAGAACTTATGAACTCTACACCCCAAATAACAAATATAAAATGAGCAAATCCTTAAATAAACTATTGTTAACAAGCGTGGCATTGTTGTTGAACCGACAAGACCACTTCTCACTTCTCACTGACTTTTATTTTAATATTTGAAACCAATCTGTCACAGCAAGAGTTTATTTTTAAATCTAACCTGCAGCCCCTGTATGTAAAAAGACTGATTTGCGTATATTATCGCTTCATAAAACCAATCTGTCAGAACTCACTTCATGCAATTAGAACTTACAGCTATTCCTCTTTACTGAATAATATACCTGTTCAAAGGCTGCTTTTTACATCATTCTCCCTGAAGTACTAATGACATTATAGGACTGCAGTGCCTCAGACACACCTAGAGAAAAGCCAATTTCAGGTGAATGGCAGACTACAGAATCAGCGCTCTGAAAAGGGAGACCTTGGTTTCACACTACCGGAGCCAGTCTGGGCTTGTATCTCTGCTGTGCATCTGGGCTAAAGCAAAGTGAGTTTTAGATTTGAGAAAATGCTTCAGGCTTCACCAACAGGGAAAATAAAACTGGAAAATCGCAGTGAGAAAGTAAATGCTGTGAGGCATATGTCTACAACAGCAAAGGCAGTTTAAGAAATACATTATCAGAGGATTTGCAGAGTGGACAGTATCGAATATGGGCACTTTTATCTAATATAACATAACAGTGTGAATCTGCCTTTCATATATACAGTTTCTTATATAGTTTGCACAATTTATATATAAGCAATGGAGCGGTAACCCTTCACTAAAACACCTTCAAAATGCTTTGTAATCCTGTCCAGAGACATGGCAATCAACAATGAAAAACGTTCTGCAGTGGCGCAACCGTCTAAGTGTTGGCCGATCCCTGGTGATGTTACAGCCATCCATGGCGGGAGTCCAAGAGAGCAACTATATTGGCTGTATGGCAGTCCTTTGCATTAGATGAGCTAAAAGCTCACACATTCTGTATGTGAGCCGAGAGGCTCAGGTTACATCGACCTGCAAGGGCTGCCGGAAATGTTCCAAAGAGATCACTAACATGATGCCCAGTGCTGCCGTCAGAGCCCATTCCCCACTTTCTAATGACCACTCTTTCCGATGCCAGAGGTCCGGCACCAACCACTGCAGTCTGCTTCACTAAATATCAAGCCTATGACAGAGGACGCTAGTCCTAATGCCATGAGGGAAAAAACAGCAAAATAGCAAGACTGTTGGAAAAAGCTATAAGAAGGCAGATATATTGGTTATAGGGCTGTCTGTAAAAATGGGTCTCAGACATAAGTACTAATGCAGAGTCTCCAAATCTCTATGTAAGATGTTCTATACTTGCAGCAGAATGCAAGACTGAAGAAGTAATCCAGTACATCTGGTGGTGAAGAATGTATATAATTTTACAGCTAATTAAAGTGACTCAAATATCAACACGGTTCAAAACCATCCCTTTTCCTTAGTGACTAGTATCTTCCCCACTTGAAGGGCAGGTGCAATCACAGCAGTCTAAAATGTGGCGCTCTCTTTCATCAGGGAGATGCAGCATAACATAACAGTGTGAATCTGCCTTTCATATATACAGTTTCTTATATAGTTTGCACAATTTATATATAAGCAATGGAGCGGTAACCCTTCACTAAAACACCTTCAAAATGCTTTGTAATCCTGTCCAGAGACATGGCAAACAACAATGAAAAACGTTCTGCAGTGGCGCAACCGTCTAAGTGTTGGCCGATCCCTGGTGATGTTACAGCCATCCATGGCGGGAGTCCAAGAGAGCACAATTGGCCTCGTTCTCTGGGTGGGTACAATGGCCGCCCCCCCATCTCCCCCATTACCAAATACAATGCTAGTCAACGCAGGCGTCTATTTGCTGATGTAACAGATCTGGCGGTTGGAGCTTTCCTCCGAGTGTGTTTGGCTGTCCAGTGACGTTGCGTGAGCGGCAGTTCGAAAAGATATGGTGGCGCTTCACAGGTCTCTGAGGAAGCCTGTGTTAGCCTTCACCCTCCTAGCGCGGAAGTATCCTGTGATTGGGGGAATCCTAACTAGTGGGTGGAATTGGAAACGACTAAATTGGGGAGAAAACTGGGGAGAAAACCGGGGAGAAAAGTAGGGAGAAAATAATCATAAAAAATTATAATAATAAAAATATTTTGCATATCGAGGCCCATTTACAGTCCCAGTCTGAGTACACTGATTGGTTTAGACATTTTGTACATTTGCACTGGGCCTTAGTTCTCAAACACTAGTTTAGAACAGTGAACAATGGAGGGATTGAGCTAATTTGCATTAAGGAGTGCCACAAGAGGCAACGAGTCAGAAGAGGCTCAATTCAGAAAGACCATTAGAGCAATGTGAAGTAGTCAGGCACACGACTGTAAAATGAGTCCCTAGGCCAGTGGGTCTATAAACCTTGCAGAAATTGCCAAATTGCTTATGATAATGGAGCAAAGAAGCTAACAGGCCAACACAATCAAGTATCATTATAATAAATTCTCACACACTTTATTACATTTGCAGGTGAGGGAACACTAAAAGCTGACCTCAAAAACAAACAAACTAAAAAGCAACGCCTCCAAGAAGCTCAAAAAAGTGATTTTACCCATACTTGATCAAATATGACAGGCAAGACACCTGGAAGGTTAAAGTTGAGCCAACTGACGATGGCTAACAAGCTGGATGATTGAAACATTAGAAGATACACCGTCTGTGGCTTTAAAGGAATAGTCTGGTGAACAATCTAATTTACACAATTTTCCTCTTACGCTACAAGTAGTTGACTGGCCAACACTTGTTTGGAGTCCGTATTTGCCTTTTTTTTATTTTTGAACTGGAGCTATGAGGCTAACATCGCTAACAAACACAAGAACTCAATAATCACCCAAATAGCGCAAACTGTTTCTGTAAAAATACGTCATCAAAACTTTTTTCAACCTGCTCAACCTGCATCCATGTCTTTGTTAAGGTTGGGTGGACTTGCTGATGTGGTTTAGAGCACAGCATGACTTAAGCCAGGGTTATATTACACGACGTTTACCCCAATTTTACCCCTGATTCTCAGTCTGGCCGAGTCTGTGCTAATTGGCTCTAGTCTGCAGATTTTTGGGTCACTCTGAGACGACAGTTGAATAGAGAATCGAGCAGTGTGCGTGGGACACAGACTCAAATTTTTGGCCTCCCAATCACGTTTCAGACCAGTCGGGGTTTATCAAACATTTTTTCGACCCGACTCTGAGCGTAATCTAGTGTAAACTGGTCAACGACTTAATCTAAACGGATTCCTGCAACAGCCAATAAAAATTGCGAGCGCAAAAGAAGAGAATACAGCAAGTAAACAAAGAAAAATGGTGAAAAATCATTCACATGTGGAGCGAAGCTTTTTAATGAGTTTAAGGCATAATCAAGTTTATGTACATATAAAACTCTAAAAAATACCAGACTGATCACATTTTTAAATCCATGAGCCTCTTAAACATGTTTACCTGCTGCTTCTTTACTGCATCAGCGCAAATGGCAGAAAAAAACAGCAGCAGCTCCACGTTTATTTGGGTCTCTGAGTAACAGGAGGATGCGAGAGTTCGCGAGAGTTCGCACAACCTCACACAACTTTTAAGCTGTTGCTGAACCGAACGGAGCTCACTGAACTTGCGCGAACTCTCGTGAGTTCAGTGAACTCCATTCGGTTCAGCAACAGCTTAAAAGTTGAGTAGCGTGTGATCCCTAATCGTTTAGTGTGTGATCCCCAATATTTCAGTTGCCCAAAAAATCTGCTAAAACCAGTCAGATATTGTGAGACGCCCAGTCTTTTTATAATCTGTTAAGACTTTAAAAGTTGTGTAGTGAACCCAAGGCTTTACTGTGAGCTATAAAACTCACCGCACACCACATTTAGCGCGTTCTCTTTTTCTCTCTAATGGCTCTGTAAAGAGGGAAGGAACCATTTGCATGCATGTGTGTTCTTTGCATTGTCAAATGGTTCTCCATGCTGAAAAAACTTTCGTGGTTCTTCAAAAAACCCTTTAAAAACTGTTCCATATAGCACCAAAAAGGGTTCCACTACTGCTAGATGTCAAAGAACCCTTTCAGTACTCTGTAGAACCTTTTTTGCTGTGTGTGTAGCAGTGTAGTGTAGCTTTAAACTGAAATGTTTAACCTCCAAAATGTAAGCAAATAAGTGTAAAGATGAAAAAGCAGCTCAGAAACCTGCCGGGAAAGTGTTTCATCAAGACCACTGATTCATTTGCAGGCCGTTTATACCTCCTGAGCCGAAAGCATACAATATTTACTGACTGTAAATGTGTTCTTTTCTGTGGTGTTTCAGGCCCTCTGCTGTGGATATGAACGCCTCGGAGCAGGATGTGACAGAGAATAACAAAATGTGAAGGCCTGTGGCCGCCAGCCATGCGTGACAGTCAGCTGGTGGTGCACTGGAACTGAGCCACGCACATACGCACAAAATCTATCTGCCCTCACAACAGAGGCAACCAACACAATCACAGGTATGACGGCCACGGCCAGCCAGGCAATCTAACACATCTTGAATGCATTCGTTTCAGATTGGTCACTACTGCAGGTGTCAAGCACAGCTAAACGACTGTGAGCTATATATGAACAGGCACCTCACAGCCTTCAAAGAGAACACAGACAATTAACCAAAAAACCCACAAGGTTTTCAGACGAAATTCAAAGAACAGAGTCTTGGTGCTTTATTATTAACAAGCACCTGAGCAGGGTGAGGGTGAGCTCAACTGGCTCACATGCCAGTCCAGTCTGAATAATTTACCGAGACACAGGAGGCCACGGTTCATATATCCACGCTTCTGGAAAAAGTCATTATTTCAAGGGATGCAGAGATGGGGAGCAACAATAACCCAGCTCTTTATGAGAAAACTCCCAGCTGCTTGACACAGGAGATAGCTACAGTTCTTTAAATCTCACCTTTAACTGAATCAAAATAATGAGACTGAGGGTCAATGATTAAATGATTAAATAATGAGGGTTTTTTTTTTTAAACAAACAAGAACCTTTGTTTTGTATGGACGGTAAGAGGTCAGATCATTCTGTGTCCTTTACCGATTTAGGCATCAAGAAGAAAGAGTAGCTATTGGTTGCTTATAGTATAAAAGTGATTCCAACAAGCAATTCTTGTTGATTTTAGAGAAACAAGGTCAACATTTTTCCTAACTGCTCAAAATTTAAAGAGCAACAATTAATCTAAAAACTGAATCTCACTTATTTTTTCTGAAGCTGAATGTTCATGTTTCGAAACATACCATTAACTCTCCAGTCCACTGTTTCTGCGATGTCCCAAGGACTAACTCATTTACATATATCCACATATACAGCCTATAGCAGTTTAGCCCCGCCCACTTACACTGATGTTATAAGGAGAGTTTCAGCTCTGCTTTTTGAAATGAGGGCAGCCAATCAGAGAGCTTGTTAATATATATCAGCCTTTAAGGCAAGGTAACAGAAACAGTCTGCTGGATTCTAGGGGATAATCAGAGGTTGGAAAATGGTCATGTCAAAACTAATTATGGCCATTTTTTATTTTTTATAAGTGGACCTTGAAGGGGGCAAAAATAAAAAACTGCAAAAATATAAGATACAGGGGTTTGTGAGTAACACAAATTGTAATTTGAGGTCAAGCGAAGGCGCTCAGAGATCAGACTTACTATACTGTGAATAAACCCTTGGCAGCGTGCTAACTGATATGTTCCTGATTTGTTATGATACCAATACAAAGCATGTGTGCACAGTTAGAAAGCATGTATGAGGAGAAATCACTACTGCGTTTAAATCTCAGAACGCAACGTTTACATATTAGCAAGAGTCAAACCTACTAGGGATGTGCATTCTGACTAATTTTGGGATTAATTAACAAATTACAAAGGATTAATAAATAAATAATCAGCTGACTCTGGGTTAGGACAATAAATACAAACAAAGAAAAAGAGGCCGTGATGAACGTAGGGCTGTAGCCTTATTTATTGATTTATTTATAATATTTTATTATTCAAAAACAGCTGAGGGAAATCAGTAGGTTTGGATGCCTCTTCATGTGAGCTAATGAGCTAAACTAGAACTAACTGGAACAACAATACATGTTGAGGTCTTTTTCCAGATCGACGGCTTGCAAACATGTAAGTCTGTCAGAGAAACAGTCATATGCAAAAATTTGAACATCTCTGATCAAATTACAAGTTTTGTCAATTTTCTAAGTGAAAATAAGTTGGCATCCTTTACAGTGAAACTTAAATATGACATTTTTCTACAAATACCAGCGCACAATTTCTGTTTATTTACTGCATTTAACATACAGGGGGAAAAAAAAATGCGCAACTTTTACATGGGCCACATTTTTTGTTCTATTTTTTCCCCCACATATATGTTAAATTTTCTGTTAGTTGTCCTTAACAATGCGTCTTTGGCAATATGCTAACGTTACAGCAATCGAGTTTTGTAGAAGCAAAGTGTGATAATATACAAACCTATTCACAAATACGAGTAAACCCACCACATTTTACAGGATTGTTAAAACACAGAATTGCTGTTTGCCTGAATTTTCAATTTGTATATTTTCTCCGTTTACTTATAATTAAATGAAATACGCAACAAATGATTTCATATAAAAAATATAAAAGTATGCCAGTATAAAAATACTGGCATGTCATGCTGTTAACCAAGTACTTCAGCACCCACACACACCCTTAAAACCTGAAAGTTTTTCCAGGAAGCCATGTATTCTATCATTTTTAAGCTATGAATTCAACATAAAATATCAATTATGTTCTATGTGCTGTTCTGTATTACACTGTACCACACTGTGTCGCTTGTGAAATGATATAAATCATAAATCTGCTGTCTGCCTGTCCCTAACAGAAAAGTTTTTTTAATGAAAATATGCAGTAAAAATGTAGCTCTCCAGAAAGAGGACAAATTTTTGGTGAGTAAGAGACAAAACAGCAGATTTCATGTGTGAATGTGACAGACGCAAGAACTTCCTGTCTCCCTACGAGTGTTCATACAACCCACGCTCATAAAGCCAAGGACAAACGACAGATTATTCGTCAAAGCGTGACGGACTGAGAGTGGTAGGCTGTATGTGATACATCGATAAAATGGCTGAAGTATGAAGTTGAGAGTGAGGCTTCATCAACATCGTCTGAAATAACATGCAAGGACAGCTGCAATAAAGTCACACACAGAAACAGTTCACTCTAATACAGAAGGTTGCAGAAGAGCAGGAAAAACCCAGCATGGCATGCGTTGCCCCTCACCTCAAACGTGCATGCTGCGAGCTCCAGTCATCGCCCTGAGTGTGTCCCTCTGGTCGCCAGGGAAACTCAATCCAGCTCTCGTCCCTCTCCTTCTCCTCTACCCCCTCCTCCTCCTCCTCCTGCTGGCATGTGAACCTCCAGGCTATCAATGACCTGAAACAAAATGCAGGTGGATGGGAAGAAAAAAAAAGAAAAAACAAACGTCAAGAGTGACCTGCTGCCAGTCACTGAGGCCTGTAAAATAAACCCCTGTGCAGTCAGAGCCAGGGCTCATGGGACAGCTGCACCCGGCCTCACACATGCATCTGCCCGGCTGGTTCACATTCCCTGCCTCACGCTCCTCCGGGCTCCGAGTCCCCACGGGCCGAGCCGGAGACGGCAGCGAAAAAGCACTTAGATCCTAATTAAAGACTGTAACATCATGAGAGGGTGGCTTGATAAATGGCTGTGAGGGACAGAGCTGGGGTAGGCTGAATATTCCCCTGATACTGCGCTCAGAATGCCAAAAAAAAAAAAGGCTGGCTACGAGGGGAGGAGGGGGGCAGTTGGGGCACAGCAACGACAAACTGAAAACGAAAACAAAGCAAGCATTTAATTGTTTGAAATGTTGAATTCAAAAAGATCTGAAAATGGCTTGTTTCTGTTCACTGATCCAGCATTATTAACCCACTGTTTCTGCTTGTTATGAATCGCTGATGGGAGCTGCCGTGTGCGCCAGGCTGTTCCTGGTTCATCTGAAACACTAGAGATGCACTTATTCAACTTTTCCTCTCCATTCAGAAACCTAAACTTAGGGTATCAGTCAAAACCGCAGTAGTAGTCTAATCACAGCAGTACAACAATTATATTGTTTAAGAAGTTTTGACCACAACTATAAAGCAGTGTTGAACGTGGACCGATCACGTCTGACTGATATCCGATCTGTTTAAAAAAAATCAGTATTCATACTGATACCAACGCAGTATATCAGATCGGTCTATCACTAATAAATACACACATAGAATAACACCCATGGTAATGGGGATGAGTAATTAAGCAAATTAGCCTCTTACTAAAGCTATTTCTCATATATAAATATTCTCATATTTAAGAACTGTAAGACATCTTAACTCCATTTTGCACCAGAGGGCAGTGAAGAGCCTGAGTCTTGCGTTTTGTTTTAATCTGTTCAATCAAATGACGTAAAAATAGAAAAACACAGATCTTGCAAAGAGGAGTATTACCACTCTGCAATGTCCTCCAGGTTTCTCAAATGCTAGAGGGCGCTCCCGAGTGAGTCCAAAATGAATGGGTTAAGATGGATCAATTGAGCAAAATCATAGTTTATAAACCCTTGAACTGTTTCAATAAAAGAATACATTTATTTCCTGAAAACTGAACAGCATAAAACATTTTAACACTGCTGTTATATTTTTAAGAGCTTTTAAACTCGACTTATAGGAGTTTAATACGGCGCCTCATGTATGTCCATGACTTGAGGGCGGACAGCCAATGAGCTGCTCTGCTCACCACCCAACTGTCACTCTGCAGCAGTGATGCTAGTGTCCTGCCGCCCAAAACCTATTTACTGTAGAAAAAAGGAAACATTCAGGTAAGTTTTCTTTGCTTTTTAGTGAAATACATTCTTCTACTTTCTAAAATTAAAGGAAAGTTCTGGAGTGATTAGAAACTATTTTAACTTTTAGTTTTTAGCCAATTAGCTCAATTCACCCCCAATCATTGAGGACTCTCTCGCGGCCACCCTCTGGCACACTGCAGTCATGTTTTTGATATAAAAGGGGAAATAGGAAGAGGCCAGGCTCCTCATAAACCGGCCCTGGAAGGACTACTGCAGCTGTCTAAAGAAAACTGCACATCAGGTCATAAATGCTACGTAGGAGATATGCAATGGAACTATACCACAAACTAAGTGTTCCAAAAAAAATGCAGATAAGCAACAAACTCAAACTCATTTTACACTGTACTTGTACGCAAAAAAGTAAAACATCAGAAAATGATGTTGAACGTAATCACGTTTGATACTAGCAAACTCACTTTTCACCAGCTCACTGTGCTCAAGCTAAAAGCTAAATAAGTTATGTGACTAGGATAGCAATGTTAGCTGACAGAACAACTTAGCATCTGTATGTTCATCATAAAGACTGATTGGTTTTCTAGATGTACATTTCAAACCACATCAGCCTACTGTGACTTTCTGTGGTCTGGTTCTGGATTCAATATAATGCAGTAATCCAGGGACGCTGACTGGTTCTCAGAGACACTGAGCTATGCTAGAAGTGGCCTATAAACAATAGCTTTGAGTTTTTGGATGCTGCATCTCATCCGTCTAACACGCTTTCTGAATATTTTTTGAATTATGACCTACGAACATCAAAACTGTATCGCAGATGCCTAAACACTAAATCAGCTTTAACATCACACTTCCAGTAAAACCTTATCTATGAAGCCAAAATCCCCAAAAAAAAGTCTTATTAAACCATGCCTATAGCTCTCTAAGCCCCTATAAGTCTGCTAACTGCTACAGAAAGCAATCCCCTCTTCAATTTGCATGCAATAATGAAATAACAAATAAAAAAGTGAAGGCTATCCCTTCACTTGGGCAATAGTTATATGTCCTGCCAGGCCAAAAAGACAAATTTACAGACTTCAATGGAAAAACCTCTGCCAGTCAATTACACGGCTGCTTTAACAAATCAAGGCTACTGACCTGCATCATCCCACTGCTCTGCGAATGAGGAGGAATACCACCCCAAGCTAAAGGCTAAATCAAGAGGCACCAATACCAGCACTTTGAAACAGAGACAGATAGATGTGGCTTGACTCAAACTGAGCATTTTTATTAGCTGAGGCCTGTGTCGATCAGTTAAAAGAAGAATTAAGGGAATAATTAAAGTGAACGTACCTTAAATACAGACATAAAGAGATAAGAAATCAGACTCTTTATTGTTCCCGACTCTCATGACTGGCAGGATTTGCAGGAAACAAAACACTGAGCGGTAATTTCAACACGTTTCTACCCACAAGAAGTATGCATAAAACTGATTTGCCTGCCACTGGAGGTAGAGTCATAAAAAATAAGGAAAGTATTACACCTCTGCTAATGCAGGCTGCCTGCACACACTTTTCATGCTGTCACTTTAAACCACTGTACTACCTTTCTGCACTGGTTGTAAGCATTCTGTATTACCGCACTGCATTTAATCACACTGGAAAGTCTCCTGCACCACTGCTCATCTGTGTATTACTGCACACTGTTCATCAGATTGTCTATTCCACTACTGTCCAATCGCCTCTCTACTATTATTACTGCAACTCTGAGAGCAGCACAAGTATGTATTCCAATGTACTTGTCACAAATGGTCAATAAAACTCTTTTTGCTTGGAAGTTCTAGCTTCTCCTGGCAGTCTGCTCCCAGGGACTTCTTGCAAACGTAAAGCTATTCTTTTATTAATAAACCAGTCACCCTTGCCGGGAAGGCACACAGGCCAAGCTGGAGGGATCTTTGATTTCCTTTCCAATAGAAACCCCACTAGTGACAAAGCGGAATGCACTGAAGCGGGAGGGGAAGAAAGTGAACGAATAAAGTGAGGAGGCTGCATTGTGGCGGTGTCATTGCAACACTGTGTCATCAACCACACGGCTGATTTGCAAATCAAGAACGGCTTCAGGCTCGCACTAAATAATGGGAAGAGTTCTAACATCAAGGTCATTTCAAAAGCTCTGAATAAATTCAGCAGAGCTTGCCACTGAAGATTGGAGACATTACATGCACTGACCAATATCAAAGTGCCATCAACCTCCATTAGAAACACAATCAGGCCCAACTTGAGTTTTCAACTGTCACATCTCGCTGGCCTCCTTTAACCGATGGAAGCTTAGAAAGATGAGCAATTTCTTCTCAATCAGCCAACGTACCGAAATGCAATAACCTGCTCAGCAGTCAAGTTAAGAGTCAGGAGTCAGAGATCTGACAAATCGTGTGGCACATTAATGGATAAATGCGGTGAAGACATTACGAATCCACGGATCAACTGGAAGGCTTTTAGCAAGTTGAAATGAAAGGAGGCGAACTGCTTTCACATCAGCATCGTCAAGACATTGTGGGTCCTTGATGTGCCTTTCAAGCCCTGAAACATAAAGTGGTGGTGATGGTGAACAAAAACATGCACTTCTGAACATACTCGAAGAAACATTTATCTGGAAAACCATGAGAAGAAAAAAAACTCTTTCCAAACCAAACTGGGGCACTGATGAGCATTTGGTCAGAGTGCTTTTATAGAAACATGGCTCAATTTAAAAGGCTTGTCTGACATGCAATAAATATGTCACAGTGCCTTTAGCACAAATAGGTCTTTTTATGATGGGTTTTCTTTTTTCCTTTTTTATGAGAACGTAAGTGAAGCACAATGTCTTCCTCATCATTTATAACAACGGCCAAAGAAAATCGAAATACTACAAACCAAAGCGCAAAAAGATGCATTCTTTCTTTGTGAAAACATAAAGCTATCAATATGCACTTAAGCACATCCCAACAATGTTACACTGTAGGGGTGGGTGATTCGGCAAAAACACACCATCACATTAATTTAAGATGCACGAAACTATCACAATTTTTACTTACTAATAGTTAGTGCCATATTTAGTGCCATATTTATAACAAATATGACTGAAAACTATTAATACAATGACTTTTATTCAATGGCTGTGTTTACATGTAAAGATTTTTGCCAATCCGATTAAATACATTCTGATTATAGATTAAGACTGAGGTGCTTACATGCACTCTACTCAACAATCTGATGGAAAGTCTCCGTTTACATTCACACAAGTAATCCGATCCAAACTAACACGCATACACAGAGTACCACTTAGTGTGGACATTACCATGACAACGAGCATGCAGTCAGAGTGAGATGAGCAGCAGTGAGCAGTGCTTGTGTTTTCAATTACATTAAAATGATGTGAAAACGTCCTTCACATGTACTCATTAAAGAAGGCCGAGAGGAAGACGTCGTGTTCTGAGACACATAAGCTGGACGTCCGTCCCACCGTCGTCTTTTAAAGATCAGAGCATAAACTGTCTCCTCTGCAGACCAGTTTCTCCTCCGCCATGTTGAACGCTATAAACTTTCACTATGACGCGATGCGCATG